GACAGCGAAATAGGGAGTGAGCTAGGGAACAGTGATCACAAAGAAATCAGATTTAGCATAGAATGGAATAGACCTGTAGGAGAAAATTCTGTTACAGTGCCAGATTTTCGAAAAGCTGATTTTAATAGCCTAAGAATTTTTTGGGGTCAAATTGATTGGAAAGTCTTGGGTATGGGGTGTGGGCCGGTCTTGGAGCGAGACATGAACCCAGCGATAGGTGACGTAAATGGGGATTTCGATGTGGATTCAATATATAACTTATTTAAGAATATTCTAAACAAAGCACAGGAACGTAGTATACCATACAAATTGAATAGATCGAATACTAATGACCCAAAGTGGATAACAAAGAATTTGAAGAACCTTATAGGTAAAAAGAGAGCTTCGTACAAAAGGATTAAAAATGGGGAGGTCACTTTAGAACAGGAATTCGTACAACTGGTTAGAAATGTTAAAAAAGAGATAAGGAAAGCAAAAAGAAACTATGAAGTTCGCATAGCAGGGCAAGCAAAGACAAATCCTAAAGGGTTTTTTCAGTTATATCGTACTAAGACTAGGGAAAGGATAGGTCCATTAAAAACTGAGACAGGTCAAATAACAGATAGTGATGAAGAGATGAGTAGTATTTTTAATAAATATTTTGTATCTGTATTTACTAAAGAGGAACTTAACAATATGCCTTCAGCCGAACAAGTCTATGTGGGTGGGGACGAGGACAGGTTGACTAGTTTAACAGTTACCAGGGAGGATGTTCTTAAACAAATAGTAAAACTCAAACCAAACAAATCCCCAGGGCCGGATGAAGTGTTTGCCAGGGTGCTTAAAGAATGCAAAGAGGAGCTTTGTGACCCACTGTCAACCATATTTAATAAATCAATAGAGTCAGGCAGAGTGCCAGAGTTTTGGAAAGTTGCTAATGTGATACCAGTTTTTAAGAAAGGAGATAGATCACTTGCATCTAACTATCGACCAATTAGCCTAACGTCTATTGTGGGAAAGTTACTCGAATCTATAATAGCAAATAAAATTCGTCTTCATCTTGAAAAACATAAATTAATAATTGAGTCGCAACATGGTTTTATAAATGGCCGTTCATGTTTAACAAATTTGTTATCTTTTTATTCTAGCATTGTTGAGGCAGTTGATAGTGGTAAGGATTGCGATGTTGTGTACCTTGACTTTAGCAAAGCTTTTGATACAGTGCCACATGAAAGACTGATTAAAAAGTTAGAGTCTCATGGTATTGGGGGTGCTATATTAAGCTGGATTAGGGCATGGCTATACCAAAGGAAACAGAGAGTTAGTATAAATGGAGTCAAGTCAGAGTGGGAAAATGTTGTAAGTGGGGTGCCTCAGGGCTCTGTCCTGGGTCCTCTGTTGTTTATAATATATATAAATGATTTAGATTCAGGTTTGAGTAGCAACATTTGCAAATTTGCCGATGATACGAAAATCGGTAGGGAAATTAATTCGGAGGAGGACTCACTATCACTTCAAGTTGATCTAGATAGGGTTTTGAAATGGTCGAAGGATTGGCAAATGCAGTTTAATGCTGATAAATGTAAAGTTCTGAGGTTAGGTAATGATGATAGGGTTACAAGATACGAGCTAGATGGTGTTGAGATTGCGAAGTCGAATTGCGAAAGGGATCTGGGAGTTATGATTAGTAAGAATTTAAAACAAAAGGATCAATGCATAAATGTTCGTAATAAGGCAAATCGGACACTTGGATTTATTAATCGCAGCGTTAGTAACAAGACACCTGGTGTAGTTCTCAATCTATATCTTGCTCTAGTTAGGCCCCATTTAGATTATGCAGTTCAGTTTTGGTCGCCATATTATAGAATGGATATAAATTCACTTGAACGTGTCCAGCGTAGGATGACTAAGTTAATTCGCCAAATTAGAAATCTTTCATATGAAGAAAGATTAACAAAGCTTAAGTTGCATTCACTGGAAAGGCGAAGAGTTAGGGGGTGACATGATAGAGGTTTACAAGTGGGTGAATGGACATAACAAAGGGGATATTAATAGGGTATTAAAAGTATCAACACAAGACAGAACACGAAACAATGGGTATAAATTGGATAAGTTTAGATTTAGGAAAGACTTGGGTAAATACTGGTTCAGTAACAGGGTTGTTGATTTGTGGAACCAATTGCCGCGTAACATTGTGGAGGTGGGGTCCCTCGATTGTTTCAAGCATGGGTTGGACATGTATATGAGTGGGATTGGGTGGTTATAAATAGGAGCTGCCTCGTATGGGCCAACAGGCCTTCTGCAGTTGCCTTTGTTCTTATGTTCTTATTAGATGAACTTATAGCTAGGTTATTGATCTACATTGTGTAATCTTTCATATAGAATAAGGTAGCAGCACATTGCTGAATATACCTAAGCTGGTTAATCAAAATAAATCCACTCTTACCGTGTACAATTAAACATATTAATAAGTCTCTACCAGTTTGGCTTTCGTTCCCAAAAGTCTGCTTGATATAATGGACACAGCCCTTGACAAAAATTAGTTCCCAAATGGCCTCTTTGTTCCTCCAAGTAACCAGAGAAAGGCCTTTGATACTGTAAACCATGACTACCTCTTACTTAAACTTCACCACTATGGAATCCGAGGCCTTAGTTTGAGCTATATTCGATCTTATCTTAATGACAGACGCCATTTGTCTGTCAAAAAAAGTTTAAAAATTACAAAAATACCAAAAATAAAACCATTTGTAGCCATCAATGACATAACCTCCCCCCCCCTCTACCATTAACAGTAAGAGTGCCACAGGGAAGCATCTTAGGATCTCTCATATTTTTTATATAAATCAATGATTTGCCAATTTTTTATATATATATTTTTATAGTTCATAATGAATTCATACAAGAATTCTTACATTCTTGAAAGAACTCATGTAAATGTATTTGTCTTGTGCCGTCTTTCCTCTGAGCTGTTTCCCATGTTGAACTCTTGTATTCTTGTAACTGTCTCTAACATTCTTAAACCAATACTATTTGCTGACGCTACGACCTTCATCTAGTCAAACCCCAACCCCCCACACACTAAATAATGCTGTAAATAGCGAATTAAAATAAAAGTGCACTCATGAATGTCAACCAACACACACACTAAACACATCATTTAGTTTAGTTCATTTATTATGCATCCTATACCCATCTTGTGGGCGGTAGTGGAAAGGGTTAGAGAGGCACATAATGGGCTCAGGGACTGAACCCCACAATTCATTTAGTTAAGCAAGTTACAATCTTGATGAGCTAGTTACAAAATTCAATATAAGTCATCACATCAACAATGAGTTCGAGATCGACCACAAGTACAGGTTCTAAATTAAGCAACTGACATATGTGGAGAGCTAGTGTCACAATTGATGTTTGTCCTGCACACCGCACCCCATCCAGTGGGCAGCGTTGGATAGGTTACAATCAAATCAAATATTTATTCAGGTAAAGTACATACATACAAGGCGAGATACAAAACAGTGATGGATTTATAGAGAGGTAGTACATACAATGCCTAAAGCCACTATTACGCAAAGAGTTTCGCGCAGCTCAACAATCACTTAGTTACTACCTACAGTTAGCAAACTGGGGATATTTGGCCAAGACTTCTGGGAAAATCATCGAATTACTGATCCTCCCCAGAATGCAATCCTATGACAAACTGACTAACTCCTTGGTAAATATTTTCTGGACAGGGATCCTATTAATAGAGCGTCGCATTTTGACGTATAGTCTACTTTAGGCCAACAATTGCCGTACTAGAAAATGGTAGCGGCTCGCGAAATTGACATACTGTCCCGTTTTCTGGCAGGTCAGGATACGGGCACTTTAGTACGACAGTTTCTTGACGTTGGGGAACCTTAGGAGGATATTATCGACCCTAAGCCAACAAGAACCTTAGGGGGACGGGCTGTAGGAAACTCGCCCAGCCATTTCTGTCCCGCACGGGATTCGAACATGAAATTCTCGAATGTGAGTCGAGAACAAACCCGACTATACTACCAGGACTATCCCATAAGATAAGGGATATCTGTTAAGACCGTTAAGATTCAATACCCTTACCTTTATCAGTTACCTTAAGGACTTGCCCGAACCGCTGTGTGTTAGTGGCTTTGCCAGAATGATATTATGTACTCTCACAACCCAATACACCTTGTATATAAATAAATATAATAAATAAATAAAGATTCGCCCTGTCATGTCTAGTTACAGAGCTCAGTGTAGGGAGACTGTGATTGTGAAAGACATGCACGACCGTAAGAGGGACAATGCAATTAGGACAATAAGGAGCAGGGCAAAGGTGGAGAAAGAAGGACATTAAATAAGGTTACGAGGATGGGAAAATGGTTATCGTTATGCAAGTCAAGAACTTTCCCTGTCTTTTCTATAGAAACTGAAGACTAAAAAATGAAAAGATCAATACAGGAAAGGACGCAAGTACGAGAGAGAGAATGGGTTGACCTTGTGAAGTTCAGAAAAGGGAGTTGACATGTCATGTTGACATAACTGCTAAAACTTGCCCAAAAAGAGCACAGACTCGTGCAACTAGTCTTAAGTGGTCTATTTGTCTATTTTTTTCCTTTTAGCCATTACAAACCGTCTTAGTCCAGCGAGGGGTATAGCTCTAGGTACTTCACCCATTATTTTACTGCAATCCAATATTAATTCAGGTACAGTACAAAAGCTTACCCAATGAATGTATAATATGGTTAGACAATACATCGTTTCTTATATGCTAGCCAATGTAATTTAAATTAACGACTAGGCCAAAATTTATAAAATTTTATTCATCAGTTACCGAATTGTGAAAGTTATTTTTTGCAGAGGTGGAGCCCCAGTGTTGAAAGTTGTGGCAATGTAAACATTCTCTAGCAAACTATTCAGACAAACTAGTCACTCCATTGGATATCTTGATATCTTGCGCAAATCATGATCTAGTAATTTGGTGGATGGAAAATAGGTTACCCAAATCAAACTAATTAAAATATTAGAGTAAATTTATTATTCAGTCGAGAGTCCATTTAGTATGCACTTCATGCATCAGTTTCAGTATAACAGTAACTTGGTTAACAAGAGTGCGCCGCCGCGAGTACGAAGCACAGATACACTGCTCCCGCACGTTTAGGACTTATGGTAAGCAGAAGGTATAAGCAAAGTCGCTTGTGGATGAAGTTAGAGAACGTGGATATTCCAGGAAAGGAAGAGATACAGATGGATCATAAAGTTGCTGTTAATGATAAGGAAGTGGTGGAGTCCAGCTCAAGAGCTACTGACGTTGAAAGTATTGGAGGTAATGCCAGTCCAGAAAGTGCTGTAGGTCCTCACCACGGTCGCCCTGTAATGTAGTAACGGCAGAAAATTAATTTTGCGCCTTTCAAGGTTTTGAAAGTGGTACTTCTAAATTTAAAGCCAGCGACATTTTATCTTGCAACAGCAAGATAAAATATTTGCCATTATATCAAATTCTCATTCACCCGACATGTGGATTTCTCAACGCTCAAGTTACCGAGGTCAATTTTGTTCTGTTGCGTCTCCAAGTACAGTAATGAAGGAGGCAAATTACCACTTACTTGAAGAAAGCTTGCCCGTTGTAATCACTTGGTGGCTGCCATTGGAAGGTCACCATCATATTCTTTTTGTTACTGACGTGAGTTGCGGTGTCATTCTGACAAGAGAATACAAATTTACACATTCAAGTCAATACAACTAACAGCGATTCCTAGATTTTCACATACAGCAGCACTAAAGGGGAGCTACTTTAGTTAACACATCCTAAAATAAGTCATTTGAACAGTTACCATAAGGGGTTCCCGGGTTCGATTATAGATTGAAAAAAATGGTTAGACACATTTCCCCTTCACTTTATGCACCCAGTTCACCAAGCAGTAACCAGTCCTAGTTCACCTAGTTACCATTAAAAATAAATGTCTCAATTACACAAGTTTGGGGTCAAGTCAGGGAATACCACCTGTACCCAAGCTGCTAGGGAGACAGAGGGCAGGAGTGTACGTCGTCTCCCCCTCTAACATTTGAGTGTGGCATACTCTAGTTTACATTCTACCACACTATTACAAAGACCTTGCTCCTCTCTCCAGCATGGACACTCCACAGTCCTGCACGGGTGGTTCGTTGACCCGAACAAGACCTCTACGTCAGTAGGTTCTGCCGTACAACGCCTGGAGAAGGGGCGTAGTAACCCCACCGAACCCTGAGAGCAGCCCCCGTCTTCATAAGCAAAGGCGAAAGTCTATTCCATGCACCCGCCAAACCCCGTTTATGAATGAACATTTTACACTACTTATGACGCTCGAACACTAATCAAACAATTGCTTCGCTGAAAACTTTTGTTCGAACCACAAAGCTGTAAATGCTTCACCCACGTATTACAAATACAAGTAATATACAAGAGTTTACATACAAGAGTTTTTACATTCTTGTAAAGCCACTATTACGCGTAGCGTTTCGGGCAAGGTCCTTAACCCTAATTTCCCCGGAATACGACCCCGCCGAATCGTTTAACAACCAGGTACCCATTCACTGCTGGGTGAACAGAGGGTACAGTTAAGGATTGGCGCCCGGTCAATCCTCCCCGGCCAGGATTCTAACCCAAGGCAAGGCGCTTGCGAAACGCCAGGCGAGTGTCTTACCACTGCGCCACGGAGACTGCTAATTGGCTAATCGCCAACAGAACCTAAACACTGAACCAAGCAGCATGATAACCATCAATTTATATTTGAGAAAATTTCTAATTGTGAATGAACAGAAGGTTAAAATTTATGAATGCGTCTTTGGGGTCGACCGCTGGATGGACTGAGGAAGGGTTGCAGTTACCCATTGGGGGGGGGGGGGGGCCGCCACACAAAGCTGAAATCCATAATTAGTACAACGGTTACTTTAACAAAAACCTGCTTAACCATTTATGAACTTTTGTATATTAACAAGAATGAAAGTTAAATGTAAAATATGACTTCACATTCGCATTGGCAGAACATTATGGGATTATATCCGACTTTACGTGTGTATACAAAATCCAGTTAGATTTTTTGTGGAACTGCATCAGTCTCCCAGCAGACTACTGCAATGGGCAATTTTAAATTTGTTTATAAAAAATTATTTATATTTACTAGTAATTATTGGTAATGTTCTTGCCAAGAATACAATATTGTTCCTTACCGGACGTTTACAGGTCATGGTCTGTACGAGTCCTGGTGTTGGGGTGAAGGCGCCCAGAGTGTTGCCACTGGGGTCGTGCACCTGCACCAGGAACCCCTCCGCCGGCGTCTTCCCCACCAACAACACTGCCGGAGAGGAAGTTACTCTTAGCTGCCAGCTCACGAGGGGGGGGGGGGGGGGCAGACAAGGGATTAAAACTACCACTTATGTCAGAGCCCAAATTATAAGGCTTTGGAGTAACTGAATTACCAGACAACTCAAGAACTCTGGATACGTTGGAACTCCAACAAAGCATCGTTATTTGTAGTCTAGACTAGCTAACTATTCTAGTTACGGTTTCTAGTCCATCTCCGTAACGTTTATGCTGGTTAATTAGCATCCTATTCGTCCTCATATGGTGTTTCTGTAATTTTTAAGACTAGCAAACTCCTACAAATACACCAACCCTTCAAGTATGAAAGCAATATTACTAGACGCTATTCAAATTCTTCTAGAGGGTTTATAATTTTTTTTAAGATTACTGGCCAAAGTAGGAGGCTAGACGCTTAGGGGCTAAGATCTCCCAACACTGAGGAGACTGGCAAGGGTTTGTGACCAATAGAAGCGAGTAAGGGCCGACCCCATTGCCCTCAAAGGAAAAGATGGGAGTAGTCCCACCATGGCTTCCCCCCATGGAACTGGTCTATTATATAGAGGCTATCCCTCCCTAGGTGCAACCTTTTGGTGCCTTGGGTGACCCAGTCACTGCCAGCTACCCCATCTAATGCATTATAAACCTTGCTGCTAAGAACAGTTTGTACTAGTCCAGCTGTCCCAAGGGTAACAGCACAACTCCAGGCGACCATCAGTAGGCCTAAATATACACAAAGGGGTGCCTGGCAGTGCCTGGGTCCATTTCTTAAAGCGTGCAATCCCAGCAAACTACCAAGTTTAAAATTGTTACTTTCGTGCAACATTTTAACAATGTAGTTTAAAACTTAAATTACACAAATGTGATATTGTTAACGGCTGCAAATCTTTCAAAAACATCTGGAAAACCAAACCTTCATTAAAGTCAGACTCCTTAGGAATCGCTGGGATTCCCGAACAGAAGCCTATACTTTAAAGAGGAGCATTGGAGGTAGATCCCGACCACCGACTTCATACAATATTAAATCACCGTGTAAAAAAGGTCAATGGTGCTAGACAAATGTATACTAGCAAAGACCTTAGCAAATTTTACTCTAGAAATACTACAAGTCTAACTTGCCAGGATAAAAACATGCCTATGGTTTACTTTGATATTACGATGTATTCGGCTACAGAGTTTGACGTTACTGTGTTCATTATATAAGCAGATTGACATTACAAATCTAAAGTAATTAGTCGGCCATGCCATCTAGGAGACAGTAGCATTCTGCTATTCCAGAACAATTTTATAACTGTTGCAAGAAGGGAGAATACTTACTAGTGACCGTCATGTTTGTCAGGACGCGAGTGTCGGAGATGTTGAGTGTGTAGGGCGGCGGGTCTGTGGAGGGCTGGGTGAAGGGCACGTGCCAGGGCATCGTCCACACGCACGCACAGTCTGGCGGCCTGTCCGGGAGCACCCAGGCCACACTCACGCACATTGCGTACACCACGCACACCTTCGTCACCATGACGACTGTCCTAGTCATACTGCTGGTAAAAGCGGGAGACCAATGCACAAGATTTAGTGACCTAACTTTTCAAACTTTGGTATACACAGCCTTACGGGTCTTGCTCTGAAGCAAGACCCGTAAGGTTTGACAAGCTAACCCACAATTGTTAAACTAGTATTTATGGACGGCAGCCATTATATACACCGAATAGATCTGTCGAGCACCATACACGTTGTCAAGGACAACACTACTCCAGTTACCTAGTTCTAACTAAGCCCATACACGGAGACTGAGCACCAGTAGCTACAGGCCAGCCATGGTCACTATATACACAAACCCCGGCCAAGTTTACCAATCCACATTGCGAACTTAAAATAAATATCACTTTTAGGCCTACAAGTTCTTAACTCATCATCAATACAATATAGAACTATAGATGCTCGAAAATTTATCCCAAGCTATAAAATAAATTAATTGTGCGTGAAGTACTTTAAAAGAACATTAAACTATTACAAGACAGTCGTGTAAAATATATATTAAACGCCAGACACCAGCAACTAAATAGATCTTCAAAAACTAAGTGGCACACACCTGTAATTGATTAAGTATTGTTGAAGTGGACACCCGAATTTGACGCGAGTGAGTTTACCCGGACACTGATAATACTATCGACTGTTGCTCCCAGCGTTGACGCTGCTTATGTACTGTAGAGAGAAAAGTGGAAACCTCAATTTAGAGTTATCACAAAAGGGCAACTGCAAGTTGACAAAAACATGACTGCTAACCCGCCATATGTTGAGAACTTCACCAATAGGTGGGGGGAACCGTCGCGGCGACGGCTCAGAAAACGGGGCGACGGCTCAGAAAACCCGTCGCCCCGTTTTCTCAATTTCTCCTTGGTGGCCATATATTTACGATTAGACTTGAACAGTTTAGTTACTTTAGTACAACAACCACAGTTTGTGTACCATTCATTTACAAAAGGAAAATGATTTAATATGAAGTTTATTAAGTTTATTAATAAATATTTAATAAGCCTGTCCTAATTTAATAATAAGTAATTATCTAAAGACAGGTATTTTCTTTTCTGATTCCATGTATGACTAACCATCCTGGGAGATGGGAATATTATATGAACTTATAGCTAGTTTTTTATCTGCACTGTGTAATCTTTCATATAGAATAGTGTAGCAGCACATTGCTGGTTACCTTGAGATGATTTCGGGGCTTAGCGTTCCCGCGGCCCGGTCCTCGACCAGGCCTTTTCGTTGCCTGGACTTGGACTTGTCCGCGTCCAACAGGCTGTTGGACGCAGCTGCTCGCAGCCTGATATACGAGTCACAGCCTGGCTGATCAGGATACTATCCTTTGGATGTGTTTATCAAGTTCTCTCTTGAACACTATGAGGGGTCGGCCAGTTATGTCCCTTAAATTAGTTCTGGGACTAGCCTAGCGGCATATCTCTGAACTTTTTCAAGCTTCGCCTTGTGCTTGACAAGGTACGGGCTCCATGCTGGGGCCTCATACTCCAGGATTGGTCTTACATATGTGGTATACAAGGTTCTGAATGATTCCTTACACAAGTTCCTGAAGGCAGTTCTGATGTTAGCCAGCCTCGCATACGCCGCAGATGTTATTCTTTTGATGTGGGCTTCAGGAGACAGGGTTGGTGTGATATCAACTCCTAGATCCTTCTCTCTGTCCGTTTCATGAAGGACTCCATCTCCCATTCTGTATCCGGTGTCTGGCCTCCTGTTTCCACTGCCTAGTTTCATTACCTTACATTTACTCGGGTTGAACTTGAGTAGCGATTTGTTGGACCATTCATTCAATCTGTCCAGGTCATTCTTGTAGCCTCCTACTATCCTCCTCTGTTTCAATCCTCCTCATAATCTTTACATCATCAGCAAACATTGAGAGAAACGAGTCTATACCCTTTGGGAGATCATTTACATATATTAGAAACAGTATGGGTCCCTGCGGGACCCCACTGGTGACGTCTCGCCAATCTGAGACCTCACCCCGCACAGTGACTCGCTGCCTTCTGTTACTTAGGTACTCCCGTATCCAATGGAGTACCTTCCCTTTCACTCCTGCCTGCATCTCCAGCAGAGATGCAGGCACTCATCTCTTTCGCACTAGTCTCTGGTGTGGCACTGTGTCAAAGGCTTTCTGGTAATCCAAAAATATGCAGTCTGCCTACTCCTCTCTTTCTTGTCTGATTCTTGTTGCCTGATCGTAGAATTCAATTAATCCTGTGAGGCATGACTTGCCATCCCTGAAACCATGTTGGTGTTGTGACACAAAGTTCCTTCGCTCCAGATGTTCGACTAGTTTTTTCGCACAGTTTTCTCCATTAGCTTGCATGATATGCAAGTTAGGGACACTGGCTTGTAGTTCAGTGCCTCCTGTCTATCCCATTTCTTGTATATCAGGACTACGTTTGCCACCTTCCAAATTTCTGGCGGTTCACCTGTTATCAGTGATTTGTTATACACCATGGAGAGTGGCAGGCACAGTGCTTCTGCTCCTTCCTTTACTATCCATGGTAATATTCAGTCGGAGCCTATAACCTTTGTCACATCCAACTCTAGCAAAAGCTTCCTTATATCTCTACTGGTAATCTCAAATTCCTCTAGTGGTGCCTGGTTAATTATTCCTTTTCTTATCGCTGGAACTTCTCCTTTCTCTAATGTGAAGACTTCCTGGAATTTCATATTGAGTTTCTTGCACTTCTTTGTCGTTTGTAGTGAATCTGTCTGCCCCTATCCTCAGTTTCATTACCTGTTCCTTCACTGTTGTCTTTCTCCTGATGTGGCTGTGCAGTAATTTGGGTTGGGTCTTAGCCTTGCTTACTGTCGATTTCATATTGCCCTTCTGCCTCTCTTCTCACCCTGACGTATTCATTCCTGGCTCTCTGGTAATCTTCTCTGCTCTCAAGTGTCCTGTTATTGCTATAGTTTCTTCATGCTCTTTTACTTTGTTGCTTAGCTAGCTTACATTTCTGATTAAACCATGGGTTTCTCATCTACATTTAATTTTTTACCTTTTGGGTCGGGATAAACTTTTCTGCTGCCTCCTTGCACTTCTGCGTGATGTATTCCATCATGTCTTCGGCCGTCTTTTCCCTTAGCTCTGATTCCCATGTTATATCCGTTAGGAATTTTCTTATCACTTCGTAATTTCCCTTACGGAATGCTAGCCTTTTGCTTTCCGTTCCCTTTCTCGAGTACTTTAGCCCTTCTTCGACCAGATACTCAAACGTCAGTATACTGTGGTCGCTCATTCCTACTGGGGCCTCGAAGTCAATTTCCCCTATGTTGGAGTCATTCAGAGTGAAGACTAGGCCGAGTCTCGCTGGTTCATCGTTTCCCCTCATCCTAGTGGGTTCCCTGACATGTTGGCTTAGAAAGTTTCTTGTCGCTACCTCCACTAGTTTGGCTCTCCATGTATCCTCTCCTCTGTGCGGTTTCTTGTTCTCCCAGTCTATCCTTCTGTGATTGAAGTCCCTCATGATGAGCAGATGGGATCAATTTCTACAGGCAGCAGAGGCTGCCCTCTCAGTTATGTTATTAACTGTCATGTTATTTCTGTCATACTCTTGCTTGGTCTTCTGTCATTTGGTGGAGGGTTATATATCACTGCAACTACTACTACTCTAGGTCCTCCCATCATCATGGTGCCTGTTATGTAGTCTCTAAACCCTTCACAGCCTGGGATAACCATCTCCTTGAAACTCCATCCCTTTGTCATGAGTAGGGCCACTCTGCCTCCTCCCCTACCCTCCCTCTCTTTCCTTATTACAGTGTAATCCTGGGGGAACACAGCATTTGTTATGATTCCTGAGAGTTTTGTTTCCGTGATTCCAATTACATCTGGGATTATTTCTTTTGCTCTTTCCCTAAATTCACTTACCTTGCTTGTAATCCCATCTATGTGTACATCACCTTGAAGCTGACTCTTTTCTTTCCATCCACAGTTTCTGTTGATTCCACTGGAGTAGGTAAACATGGAGGGTGTGTGTGTGTATGTGTATGTGTGCGTTTGTGTGTGTGTGTCTGTGTGTGTTGGTGCGAGTGGTGAAGGTCCGCGACGGTCGCCAGATGGCAGTGCGCGCCGCCCCACACGGTCTGACATGGAGCAACTGGAGAAGGCGGCGCAGATATTGATGGTTAGTGTGCTCAAGTCGCTTCCCAGCTGCCTATAATTGACTTACTAGGGCTCGTAGAAGCCCGGGGGATAGTAGGAGAGGGATAAATGAGGTGGTGATGGCTAGGAGGAGAGAAGCAAGAGGGAGCGGCCGGGGTGGGGGTGGTGCACAGGATGTAAACAAACAGGGTAGGGCGCCCCTTTGTGTGCTCCACCTGGACCCGCCCTCACCTGGGCCCGCCCACACCAGGGCCCGCCCACGCCAGGGCCCGCCCACACTTTGGTCCACCCACACCTCGATCCGCAGTTAGGAAGGAGCTGCCTACACCTGGGGCTGCCTGCCCACACCTGACCCTTCCTCACCTTGACCTGTCCTCACCTGGGTCTATGACTTGCCATTGGTTTGCAACTGACGGTAGCAGGTTTCATCCCCAGACAGAATGGAGATGGGTGGTCATGTTTCCTTTCACCCGATACCTCTACTTTTAGCAGTATATGTTCACCTTAGAAATTAGACAGTTGGTGTGAGTTGCATCCTGAGAAAGGTGAGTAGAGGATAGGAAAGGACATTTATCAACCTAAGTACAGGCCTCTTGTTCCAGACAACAAGAAACAATATCCAGACTTGCTGATAACTGGATACTAGATCTGAGTAAATCTAGTGTCTTAACAGTCTAGATCTAACTCTAGACCCTAACAGCCTAGCACCTGCATCAGTTAATAAATCAAAATGATAAAAATACCAGGAACTCTTCAAATATAATATACTTAATAACATCTAAACATGCGAAGTATCTAATATGAAACCTAAAAATTTTCCAGTTCTCCAAGATGTAATTAAAAAAATCATAAAGAATTTAAGTGGTCATCAAACATAAAGGGTTTCTTCAAACATACAGTTTTTCTTTTATATTCTAGCTGTAAGGTTCCAAAACTACAATATTGCAGGGAAATATTTAGAAAGGGGCATTGTGTGTAATTAATGATGTAGGTAGGTAATATATTCTACAGTACAATGTAATTGCTCAGCCTCCAAAAGAAATAAAATTCAGTACTGTTTCCTCAAATCGGTTAAAATTTTTGCAAACCTGCTAAAAATGCCATGCCATCCTGCATATTAACACTTTATCCAACCTATCCAACCCATCCACCTGTTTAGATACTGTAGTACTTTTTGCAAGTGTGTGGATTATTGTATATATATTGCCATAATGGCCAGTAGAATTTGGTACTGTTTAATTTATAGTTTGGGAAAATGAAGATAAAAACTAACCTTAAATATTCCCAGGCCTCGTATAGCACAAATATGTGCTTTATTATGCTTCACAAAGTGTGTATTAGGCCCTAGGATAGTTTTAGATTAGATTTTATTAGCAACATAAATATGAAACCTTTTCAGGTTTGTCCATATTGAATACTACCAATTTTAATTTTGAATTGTCCAATATGTCAATATATGTATGATGGTCCACATCATTAATATAAGTACTGTACTATCTAAGCAGGAGGATATGCTGTAATATCAGACCCTAACAGCCATTTTTTCTCAAGGAAACAAGCATTGAAAATTTCTGCAATGACTATCGAGGCAGGATGGTGCTGGAATACAATGAGTAAAACTCAGGAAATAGCTAGCTTAACCCTTAAACTGCACATGGCGTATATACATGCCATGAGTAGCATGTCCTACCGAGCGCATGGCGTATATATACGCCATAGGGTGCCAGGCACGATTCAAATGGCCTGCGGCTACATGGGGTTCACATCAGCTTCCTCAGGGCTCTTGTAAACAGATGCCATGTTTTAAAAAAAATCGTGGGCAATATTCTCTGGTGTGAGAGCCACAGGTTGGCGTACGCAGCATGAGCTAACAGCATTGCTGTTCAGCTTGTGACCACAACATCGCCTAAAAATGTCAAAATAAATATGTAACTGCCATTATTTAGCGATGACAGTATTACAGATGACCCCTGACTATGATAAAAATGACTAGGATTGTGATAATAGCAGGATTATTTTGTCTGCATTCACCATCACCATTTTATTACCCAGTGGTTCTCTATGGTGAACACAAATGTAGATACTTGTATATAATGTGTGTATTAGTGTAATAACAGGATTATGTTGGGAGGAGCCATTTGGGTGATGGAGGTGACGTCTGCATGACTTGTCTAGCTGTGTAGAGGGTGGCAACTATGCTCTTTGGAAACTCTACAAGCTTAGGTGTACAGTTACGGTGCATACAACATGTAGATACTAATATATAATGTGTGTATATAGTGTAATAACACCCCAAACAGTATTATTGGGGGAGAAATTTTAGTGCGCCTGACCTTGAATCAGTGAGGGAGGGAGCCGCCAGCTGACTGTGTGTGTAGCGATGTCTCTTAGTGACTGAACTAACTATATCAGATTAGTTGTACAGTTGTGGTGAACAAAACATGTAGATACTTATATATAATGTGTGTATATATAGTGTAATAACTGCAAAACTATTTGTTTATTGTTTTATGAATGTAATAATTGAATCACTAATATGAACACCATACTTTTGAGCATAGCGATGATTCACACATTTTATTATATAAATCTATCACACTACACACTATTGAATAATATTACTGCAAAAAATTAAGAAAAAATCAGAGACATTGAAATAATTAGGTGATAATAGCTTTGTGGCAGCTCCCACCTGTCAGCTCGGGTGACGTTGACCACCTCTGACGACCGCTCTGTTAACACCCACATTTTGCCAGACTTCCTCGGACTATTGCGCCCAAAATATGTCTCCCGCGATTTTTTTTTCTGTGCTCAGTGAACACAAATTTACCTTTTTTAGAAGTCAAAAAAAAAATTTTTAATTTTTTTTTTTTGCACAGAGGGGTGTAAATATCCTCAGGATCTTTTAGCAGCTTAAGGGTTAACCTGCTATTATTTGGTATGTGATGGGTTGTGGTATCGCAGCTATACTGAACCAAGATGGTATGGCTCTCCCTCACACAAATAAAACAAAATGCTGCTATTGGCCTTGCAGTGTGTTAGTGGCAGGTAGAAACAAATGAAAATCATCAAATAAATAATTAAACAATTTACTGAAATATTAATGAACATAAATGCCCCTGAAAATACTTGGCTAATATGTAATGCAAGAGTAAACAAGTTAATGACTTTAATACAAAAATAAACCATAAGCAATGAATTAAAGCATAAAGATATACTGAAGACAGCTACCATACCACCATGGCATCAGTCACACGACGTTGGCTGGAGGCGGACGACGGGTGAGACACGTAAGTGATCCTAGAGCACTAAGGGAGAGACTGGCTCTCCAGGGTGGCAGCGCCCTTTATATAGTCCGGCGGTGATGACTCCAGTGTCAACGCAAGGTAGACATCTGGTCAACTAGCAAACTGCTCGTTGTGGCTGGCTGTGCCTTTGTGTTGAGCTGCACCACTGTCAGTTGAAGGCGGCTAACTGCTTGTTTGTGGGGGGCAAACTACCAGTTAGCAGAGGCACCTGGCTTGCCTCTGAGTCATACCAGGCCGTGGCAGGACTGATGACTCATCTGGGCTGGTGTAGATGTATACTTCCAGTGCAGAGGTATTGAAGGTGAAGGGAAAAGGCAGTTCCATTGCTATGCAGGGGATTCACGTGACGGGTAGTACAGCTGAAATCCTTCCCTGGTTGACACAAACTACTGTATGTTCCTCAGAGCCTCAACCAACACTTATTTTCTCTTAAGTTCTTACACTAAAACTTGCTATGAAACTTTGCCCCTGGAACATGACCATGCCTCCAGGCATCAAAGGACTATGTTGACCAGACCACACACTAGAAATTGAAGGGACGACGACGTTTCCCCCTTCCATTTCTTTCTTTCTCTTTCCCTTTCTTTCTCTCTTCTCCCTTTTTCTGTTCATTGTCTTCTACGCTCCCTTGCTATCCTCTTCTTATTCCTATTACTATCTCCTTCGGTGGTTATAATAGGAGCTGCCTCGTATGGGCCAATAGGCCTGCTGCAGTTCTCATTACTACTATCCCCTACACCTGACTTTCCTCCTCAGCTCTCTCTTGCCTATTTAATGCCTGTCCCTACCTGTCCTCATCACAATCGACTTGAGAATGGTCCAGGACGGACCGAAACGTCGTCGTCCCTTCAATTTCTAGTGTGTGGTCTGGTCAACATACTTCAGCCACGTTATTGTGACTCATCGCCTGCATCAAAGGACTAATCACAAGGCCAAGGAATCTGTTGACCTACCGTTATTTCTTGCCTGGGACACATGGTTAAGTAATCCCATGGGAAATCCTGGTGCCTGCTGCTACATGGTCACTAAACATGATTTGTCAACTGACAGCCAAGGGTCTTCAATAACTGTGGAAAAACCTCCAAGAAGTACCTCCCAGCAAGGCCAGGAGATCAGGAGGCAGCTAGGAGGTCAGGAGGCCAGGAGGTTAGGAGGAAGCCTGGAGGTCAATGGATGCTGGCTACAGGCACCTAGCTAATGGCTTTCTGAACCACACCAGATGGGAGAGTCCGCCTTGAATAACAAGACAAGCTGTCTTAGTCAGCCCTTGTGTAAACTCTATATTTGGGTTAGCTACTGGTATATTAAATGCTTGATATATTTTTGTATACATGGATATTAACTTGTACATTGTTCCCAAGTAAAGTATTATATGAATTTTACAGGCACCACCAGAGTTGGTGAATGCAGAGCAACGACATGAAGCAGAGCAAGTTTTTCTTCAGTTACGCAACACAAAAAATCCTTTTAATCTTTGTCGACAACTATTAGGTTAGTTATGTTTTAATTTCAAGTTTTATTTATTGGTATACCTCTTAATTTTTTAAGGGTGAGGTATGAATATCTACATATTACTCTTATTGCTAACAATATTAAGGGGCTCCCGGATTGCAAACCCTTAACCATTTTTTCCTTATAGGAAAAAATTAATATTTGTATTGCTAGCACTATTTGAATATTATGGTGAAAAGGGTTAAGTAACTTCCCTTTTATTCTAGGTAAGAAGTAATTGTTCCTTATGTATAATAAATTATTTACTACAAACTTTGTTTTTTGTAATTTTTGTTAACATTGCCATTCACAGAAACATCACAGGTTGATTACCTGTTGTTTGAGGCAGCAACTCTCCTGCGGGTCGGGGTGATCAGAGAATGGCGTGACTTGAGTAAGGAAGATAGCTTGCAGCTTCGACAGTACATTGTTCATTATGTTGTTAGCCGGCGTACTATCCCTCATTATGTCAGGGAGACTCTGGTACAGGTTTGTACAGTATTTACACATGTGCTACTTTCACTGAGAACATGCAAATATACAGTATTACTGGTTTTATAGTGCTTTTTAATATTGCTCAAAAACTGCTAAAAAATTGTTTAATCATGCTTTAGGTTGTTGGCATAATGGTAAAACGAGGTAGTGTAGAGGACCAGGGCGAAGACCGAGGGAGACTGTTGACCGAGGTGGAGCAACTTATATCTTCTGGTGATAATACAATGGTGGGTCACTACTTTATGCCAGGCTGATGAATTAGTTATCCCCAGTAAACCAGTGTTTCTTAAACTTACTACAGCTCTTACCCCTTTGGTTCTGAAAATATTTTTATGCACCCCTTTTCATTTTCAAAAGTTATAGTCCTGCTCAAATTTATAACATTAATTTTTACATGGATATAAATTACAGTAAAGTACATAAGTTTTTGTGTGTATTCTTAATTTGTGGTTTCGATTATTTAGTACCTACAGTACTAAATATCTGGCATGTTTTGCACCACAGATTAAGAACTAGTGTGATAAATGGGTATAGTTCTTCATGGTTCTGTCTTGTTAATTAGGAAAAACAGATAAGGAGATACCTTATGATTGTCATGCTAATTTTGTCTTGCTTGAAAAAGCATAAACATGCTGGCGATAACGTAAAGAAGATGAATCACATTTTGAAGATAGCATTTTTGTTTGTAAGGGTTTTATCAAATATATTTCTTTCATACCAAAGAGTAACTTACAAATTAAGTGGAAATGCTCTACAGTCTGCATTATTTACATTATTTTTCTTATTTTACTGGAACATTTCTGTGATATATTGAGATCTAGAAAAACACCTAGAAAATGGTGTTTCATTACATTCGACCCTGGGTTTTTTCCAAATTTGTTGTTTAGGTAATTGGAGGCGAGTTGCAGTCTTGGCTTGAGGGTTAAGCATTTAGTATTCATAATGTTGTTTGTATTGAGAGAGATTCTTGACCATGGTTACTTCCCTTGATCCGCTACATTACAGAAATATACAGGTCACATTTTTGTTGAAAATTCTCTTGAATTTTGAATACTAGCCAAAATTTGTATGTATTTGATGAATATTTATATTTTTCAGCGCATGATAGGGTGTAGCATTATCAGTGCTTTAATGCAGGAGTATGCTGTAACTGTTAAGTCTACTGATGTAGGACTTACCTGGGAAACGCACTTCAAGGCCAAAAAACAATTTGAGGTATGCTGTAGTTTGTTGTGTATATTTATTTCATGTTTAGTTTAAAATAATATTTCACAATGAATATATATACTTTTATTCCATTAAAGAGTTTTTTTTATATTACTTTATTCCTAATAAATTTCTAGATTCCAGGACAGGAAATAGTTTTGACATGTTTAGAAGGTTATAAGTGGTATAAGAGGGATAGTCTAAATCAGAAATCAGGGTTATAAGCAGTTCTGGACTCTGTTGATCAGTTTAAATACCTGAGGAAAGTTACTGGTATAAAGATTTTGTGCAACAAACCAAAGAGTTCAGGATGTTTTGGAAGGAAAGTGCCTGGTACAAGTGATGGGTAGGATTATTGTTTAACTGACATTTTCTACATAATGTAGACCTATGTTATGGAGAATAAAATTGCACCAGCATTAAATAATCCATAGCTTTAGTGCTAGGGAATAATAATAAGGATTATAATAATAAAGTTTTTAATATTTCAGTATTCTTACATTTGATTTGATTTAACCACCATGCTGCTCCGAGTTTATTGTGAAATTCCACCTGTTCGCATGAAATAAAATGTTCCAAAAAAATTATCTTTTCTTCGTAAAATGATAAATTCCTTTCCCTGAATGTTTATGTAAAAATAAATACCAAATTCCTCTTACTTTGGCTGTGGGGACAAGGTGCGTTGTGATGTCATCAGGGGCTGGTCGCCCGTGCGTGACACGCCCAGACACGGTCGTGTGGGCCATTCAAGCACCGGGTGTTACCACAAATATATTTTCAATTATTTGTTCTATGTATTTCCAATGCAGTTTTATTTGTTTTTTTTTATCATATATGATGCATATTTGTGTCCTTTACAATATGTATACAGTAGAACGTTCATAATGTTTCATGGTACTGTGATACATTTGTCAGTAATGTGTCCACAATAAATGTTTAGTGTTGCAATATTACTGTTAAAAATTCACTAAAATTACAATATGTACAGTTTCACACACTATTTACACAGTAACACATTTTATTACACACTCAGTACTTCAGAAGTGAGTAATAATCAACGAAGTAGTCCATGGTGCACAGTGCGACTTCGCTCTCAGTGCACCAGGTACAGATAGATTTTCGCTTCCTGTTTCTTCGTTCTGTGTGCTTGCAAATAACGCACTCACGTACACTCTTTGCTTTAGTACTTGTCGGATGTATGTAGCCAAGCTTGTAAAGCATAAGGTAGTATTGAAAAGATTACATGAAAAGATCAATTTGTAAGGTAGTTTTGAAAAGATCGCTTTGTAAGGTCCCACACAGGAAGAGATTCAATTAGCATCAAAGAGTGTCCGTCAGTCAGGAAGAGATTCAGCTAGCTTCAAAGAGTGTCTATCAGTCTGGAAGAGATTCAGCTTTTCTTGAAAATATCTATGGAAAACACCACCATGGAAGTCACTAACACTGTTCATCTACGCTACTTCTATCAGATGCATCATCACTGAATGCAGAAAATGATTCATCTATGTATCATCTATAAAAATTGGAGATGACATGGGTGGGCAAGAGTGGCGCTCAAAGCTACAACTGGATATGCTCGCTATATCGTCCTCATCAATGCTGTATAATTTGCATCTGACCATTGTGTTAGGTCCTTATTGTGCCTAGCTTCACCAATATTATGACCCTTATGTTCTTAATACAAACTAATAAATTAACTTCATTTAAAAATTTAGTAGGACAATTTATATCATGAACGTTGGATGGTGAATTAAAATTAATATTCGGAATTACTCGAGAACATAATACCTTCAGTGTGTTTTTATTGTTCATGTATCATGCCTATTTGTTCTTGCACTGTAGCAAAAGATTGGCCCTCAGTATTGTCTTTTATGATCTGATATTTTGGTATTGTATGCAATCCCATTCATTATGTGGCTGGAACAGAAAAAGCCTTAAAGCTGTCATATCCAAATACAATGCTACCAAGTCTTCACTTTCCTCTCATCACCTAAATTGACATTGCTTTTACTTCATCTCTTTCCACCCAATCAGACATCCAGATTATCTCAAGATGTTTGTTGTAAACCTGTGTATAACTTGCTCCTCAGACTTGCACCCCATATTTAAGCATTTTACATCATGTTGTTGGTAATTATTATTTCCCAATATCCACTTGCTTAATAATTCTAACTTGCTAGGATGACTAGCATAATATTACTTTCCTGAGCAAGGTGCTCTCAGTAGTTCCCCACATGCCTCATACCATTAGTCTTAATGTGGCAGACATTGCATTAGGCAATGTTCCATGATAAATAAAGTCAAAATCTGGATTCCTCTCTAGTCCACTTCATATCTAAAAGGAATTAGTCCAGTCTTTTTAGATTGATCTATACTTCTCTAGGAATCCTTGCAAACATATCCTCAATGAAGAAACACAGCACCAGAAAGAGTGAAGCAAGACTGAGAAATGCAAGTTCACAGAAAGTAAACAAACAATGCAACAAACAACGTGACAAATGATCCACCCAGTTACAGCTAACAACTCTCAGTATTACTAGTAGCAACACTATAGGGACTTCCTGCTCCTCATGACAACAGTCTGAGAAAACCAATTGATGCACCTCGTAGAGAGGGGAGGATCCGAGGAGCTCTTTGGGTCCCAGATATTTCTTAATAAGTATTAGCCATTCTTTGGACCCAGTCCTGTGGTAGCCCATTTGCCTGTGTATCGTTTCAATCTTCAGTGTTTGCTTCACGTGCATATGTCTACTTGCCTCACTTGTGGGACTTAGAAACTGTTTATCTCTAGCTTCATGTGGTTAGTGCTGCCTTTCACAAATTGCTCGTTGATGTTGCACCTGCCCTGGCAGGGTTGCCTCCTAGTTGGGTTCGGGTGTTTGTTCCATAGAGGCCAGCCTTTTGTTTAGGGTGCCTCATCCAGAGAAGTGCAAGGGTCTTTGATGCCACTGTGAGGCTCTGAGGGTGCAGGGCATTCTGGAGTTATTGTTGAAGGAATGCTTTAGGGGTTGACATGCTTGTACATAAGGTATGCTGCTGATGCCCTTCGCATTTGCATTTTCCTTTGTGCTGCATATTATGATAGTTCTTCCAGTGAGCATCTCTAGTGCCTAGGTGTCCTGCTTGGTCCTTGCAAATCTTGTACGTCTTTGGTATGGTTTGTATGGAACAGCCCACTGAGCCCACACTTGTTCTTGCTAGTTTGAGGGATATCCAACTTTGCTACATGCTAATAGATATTCATATATTCATTCTGTTTCTGCCTTGCTGTCTGTTGGGTGGAGATACCTTCTGCCCCAAGACCTGTGAAAGATTTGTTTACTGGGTCTCTATTCTAGCAGAGCCTCCTTTTAGGGAGGCTCATGTTAGAATCTTATCAGGCAGCTGCTGCCTTACAGGTTTGTTTTTCCTGTGTCTGTTTGTTGCGGCTCGGTACTCACATGGATGATGCCTCGAAGTTGGAGCAGTTGGTGAATTCCACCGTTCTTATGTTTGTCCATCCTCCCCCTTGGGTCTTTCTGGCATGATTTACCAGGCTTTTTGTATCCACCCTTTGCTACCCAATTTTTTCAGGTAGTGTATTTGGCTCCAATCCTTTAATTTGAGATAGTTCCTTCCTGTCTGATCAGCCATCAGGTGAGGAACACGGCTCTGCCCAGGAGTCTTCATTTATGACTTCTGGAGTTTGGGGGGGGGGGTGCAGTGATGGGAGCCTTAGGAGGGTCCCCTGAGTGCCCTTCTTCAACCTTTCCTGGTCTGTAGTTCATTCTATGGGAAAATGTTTGCTCTGGGTAGAGGACCTCATCTTTTGTGCATTGATGTTTGAGCTTGATTTCTCGGATGCTCCTCCCTGACTTGTGAGTCCCTCTAGAGTCCTCGGATGCATCTTATTTCTGGAGGTTTCTGTTCTCTCACCTTCCACCTCATTTGGCTCAGTCAAACTTAATTTGGGTTGTCTGTGAGATCAAGACCTCACTTTCTTGATTGGCATGGCCTCTTTTGATCTCAGGCCAGCTTCAGCTGGCATCAAGCATCAAGCAGGTATTAAGCCTTTTGGTTGCATTACGAAGTTCCCAATTCTTCCTAGCTTGCCGATAATGTTTTGTTTTCCTTGTGGGGCTTGGTACAGCTTTTGCTTGTACCCAAATGCTTGAGTGGCGAGAAGTAGGCTCCATTTTTCAGGTGTTGGGCAGTGCCTCTGTTGTGTCACTAGAGTTGTGCCTGTTTGCTCTAGTCTTACCCCAAGATATGAACATGTATCTCCATGCATAGCTTTTTTCATCTGGAGTCCAGGCTGTGGAGGTTGACAAGGGCTCCTGTGTTCATTTGGTGTCCATTTTGTGCATCTGTAATGTGGTTGAGCTGTTCTCTGGGGTGGCCTGGGTGTTTTGTCTTCCGTGTCAAGTGTTGCAACTTTGTTACCTGCAGTCCGGCTTTAGAGACTGCCCAAGTTACTTTCTCCTTCTTTCTGGCTCATCACACGAGTTGGCACTGTGCTTGCCCAGGCTTTAGATTCAGCTTGGTCCCTTTTCCTTATGTTTGCTTCCCATTTTTCATATCTCATTTTTTCCTGAGGTGGCTATCTCTTTGGCGCTTTCATCTGCTTCTTTCTAACCGCTCAGTTGGGTTCCTTTGCAGAGGGGTATTCCCTGCTGCTCTGAGGTGGCTTCTGTTGGAGACAGATTTTCAGGCTGCAGGACCTTCTCCAGTTTTTGCTTCATCTATTTGGCATCATGGAATCGTTCTTTGGCACCCTAACCTTGTAATTCATGTTTGTGTGTAAAAATGTGAATTTTGTTGGTTGAGGTACAAACAAATTTGAATACTGTATGTTAATTTTTGGGCCTCCCTGTTAAAAAATTCCTCCCTATCTGGATGTCCAGCTAACTCAAAGGGGTGAGGTCCATATGATCAGTATTAGTGAGCATAGGCAGTATTTGTCTGTCTGCAGTGCCCCTTTCTGGGGGTTTGTTTCTTTGGTGAGGGTGATCATGAATCCTTTGCTTCCTGCATCTCTATGAGGGGGGGGGGGGGTGAGGATTTTGCCTTTGATCTCCGGTAGGCTATTTAAGAATTCACAAGGGGTGATTGAACTTATGTGGAGCTATATCAGTGCAGCTAGCAATAGGGAAGGGGGGTTACCTGAGCCTCCTTTCCCCTCAAGAAAAAAATGTTTCATTATATTCAATGCTACTATATAGTCATAATGTCATAGCATTTTCTCCTAGTAATTACCTTACCTTAATTTCAGTGGTGATTTATTATTAAATTTACAAAAGAATTTAAGGAATGTCATTGCTTAATAATAAACAATACTGTATTATTTTATCTTTTCAGGGCACAGACTTGCGGCGTATATTCCACTTTATTGTAAATCTCCTCGGTGAGGTTGTGAAAGTTGAAGGCAAGATGAATGAAGAATTGTCTTCTCTCCTCCTGAAACTATTAGGCATAGCTGAGACGACACTCACATGGTCATTCATATCTCTACACTATATCCTTTTATGCTGTTTCCTCAGTGGAGGAGATTTTTTTTGTCTAATTGAAATTTATTTTGTTAGTCAGAAATATTTAATATAGGACCTGATGTCATTTTAGTACAAACTACCATGGGAGAATACACATCACACTTGATGCACTCTGCATTTAGGAATGCTGACAAGTAGACATGGTAGTTCTGAACTTGAATGCTAGCTGTTTCATCTTCCTGCAGGCATACAGTACTATCTTGTGCACATTAATGTCTAATATTGCCATATAATGTAAAGTGCATCTTGCTTAACTTACCTAATCTTCCATGCAAATTCTAACTGTGACCAATTAGGGCTAACTGCATACTTAACACGTTATTAATGAACTGGGTAAATTCTTAATACTGTAGTATGGGCAATTGTCTGTGTTTCTATCAAGTTGTTATGCATTAATATTAGGACATGTTGAACATGTTGTGTATAGCTGAGAACATACTAAAGATAATCCAATGTAAAAGACTATTGTGTGATAGTGAGGGTCTGTGGACAAGGTTCTATTTGAGCTTCAAGGTTTTGCTATAAAAGGATAAAGTAGGTAACAAAATTAAAAGGCTTGCTATTTGCTGTATCACAGTAAATGCTTGCTCTTGTAGGTGCAATATTGTACTGTACAGGTATTTTCATTTGTTAATGTACAGTTGTTCTTTTGTTTGTATACATACATGCTAGGTGTACATTATTATTATCCAAACTTGTTTTCATGGTGGGGAGGGGGGGGGGGGGGTAACCATCAGTCCATCAAGATAAAAACATTCAGTGTTGCAAAAGGAGGTATATAAATAAAATATTACTCATCCATTCAATACATCATTCATGGATCAACAAATCACTTAACACTTGAGCAGTCATCCATAGGAGCAACACCACTTCATCAGACCAGGTGTACAGTGCTCCATGTGCACCACTACACTCCAGCAGTCATCCACAACAGCAGTCTGCATCATACGACCAGGTGTGCTGCTGATGATAACACTTTGCCCAGCTCAGTGCACGACCCCCCTAGCACATCCGAAGGTCGACCGGGTGTGTCCCGTGAGCACACACCCGCACTAAAATGTGTGCTCTTTTCAGTTTTCTCACTTCAATTTTTGTGCTACGTCGTTCATTTTGGTATCAAATTGTTTGCAATAGAATGCTCTAAAGGGATACCTGTATATTCATACAAGGTCAAATGGCCCAGTGTGCTACCCACATTACACCTCAAGTTAGGCCGAGTTTTACCGGTGAGCACACACCCACCACCTGCACTCAAATGTTTATACTTTTGCCAGTTTTGTCAACTCGGTTATGCACACTTTAGAACTAGTCCAATAATAATTGAACAATAAATGGAATTTTAACAAATATTTTAATTTTGGACGCTCACCACCACACAAGTGTTTATACTCTTTCCAGTTTTCTGACCTCAATCTTCGTGCTACCTAGTTCATTTTTGTATCAAATTGTTCGGATGTTTACATAATGTTTGATATTATGACAGTTGTTCTGTTATAAATACTTTCTCTACAATACTCTCCCATTTTCCTCTTGTTTTGATGTCTCTCCATCCCCATTAAAATTGGAAATGGGGTATTGATGTCAGTTTATTTTTCTTAACTATTGTGCACTGCCAAAGAGGTTGATGAGTGTGTTTGAACAGGATCAGAATCCATCCCTCCGACCAGGTCAGCAGTGGAGAGAAACCTTCCTTGACCCTGCAATTGTACAATTGTTTTTCAAGGTGAGTGTATGAGAGGATTGTAGTTGTTTTATATGGTACAATTGTATTTATATAAATTTATATGTACTGGTTTTTTATAAATCATTTATATCTTGTGAGTATTTTAGCATTTATTTATCTATTGTTTTGGTTTTGATTATTATACATTTTCTTGTAACAAAAAAATTAGTAGAGATATTGTAAATCTAAATTTCCAGTAATACCTTCTCAATAGCCCTTTCCCTTTACCCATTTTAAACATTTTAAATATAGATTACCTGAGACCGTTCATTTCTTCTTTGAAATACTGTATATACAATATCTTCATGAATTATGATCTATATATTTTTTAATGTTTCTTGCAATTTATTTATCTGCGGTAGTCATTTCTTCCAATTTTCCCTCCCTGTGTCCTTATTGCTTAAGGACTTGTCTTCTCAGGAGATTGTAGTTCAACCATTCACAGAACTAAAAAGAGCACATGGAGAGACTTTGTTTATCCCACTTAACTATGTGCCCAATGTATTTAACTTAATTTATGAAAGCTTTCCATTGGGGTTTTTGCTGCTCGGCACTTACCTCGCCCTTGGGGCCAGCTGGGGTTTTGTGGCCCCTGTTTGGCCTTAGGTAGGGATTGGTACCGTGCTGGTTGGGGCGTCAAGGTGTTGTACAACCTGCCTACCTATGTGGCGGCTGGTTCCTGTTTCCTCTGGGGCATTGTATTTTTGCAGGCTTTTTCTTTTTTTTTGTTTTCCTTGCCTGGTGTGGCTATAGTTCCACTAATAATATATTGGTGGAACAAATTTTTTTGGGAGATTTTGTTTGGTGTCAAATGTTTTATTATTTAAAATATTCCTTTGTGACCATATTCTGTTCTTAAACACTAGCCTTCTTTCATAGTTGAGCTCTATTATTTTTCAGCTATATTGGCGTGTTCGTGGAGACTGGGAACTTGGCCACCATGCACTTAATTGTTTAGTACAATTAGCCTCTCTTAATGGAGCTGTGCTTATCAACAGACAAGTGCGCATCAAGTACCTTACACAATATTTAGAATGTCTCTTCTCCCTTTTATCAAGGTATTTATTCTGGGTATCCTTCATTTGATTTAAATAAACAGGCTGTAATTAGATAATATTTAAACTGAATTGTTTAACTATTTAAGTGGTAGCCTGGATATATATGTAGCTGTTTCATTTAGTTAGTCGGATAATAATTTTACGGACTCCCAAATCAAGGGACTGGATTAGTGTTATGATTAGGCATAATAGAGCATTATTTGGTGTAATTAGTGTTGTGGGCTAAGGTAATACTTACCACTTGGTGGGTTGCTTCTCTACAACACTGCAACACAGTACGAAGGATTTTAATCTCTGCCCTTTTTTTTTTTTTTTTTTACATTTTACCCCATTTTTGCAATAAAATTCACCCTGTTCAAAATCATGACATAACATGATCATGACAGCTTATGATTCATAAAATACATAGATTTTAAAATATATTTAGATAAATGCATTTTATAAGTAAAATGCATAAATACAGTAGATGTCACTTCTAATTAATTGTTTGCATTTGTTATGAGTAACATAAAGACTTGTTCCTAGCTACAGCCCTTTGACTTTAACATCAGTCATCTGCAGTGTTAATTTTGCCGTATAAAAACGGTGCTCATATATTCTAAGTTAATGTAGTATTAATGGCATTATTTTTTCACACTTCAGTACTGAGATTAATGAATTAGAAGCATTAGGGATCAGCAATATCTTCCGAAAACTATTGCTGTTCTTCCCGCCGTCGGTTTTAGTAGCTTTACCAGAGGAGATGCTTCGTCAGCTTGTAGAGAACCTCACAGCTTTGACATGCAAGTTTGCTCAGGGTGCTGCACAGGAAGAGATGGTGAGTTTTAAGAGCAGTTACATGTTAACTGAAAAAGAACATAAACTTAAAAATCCATAAATGGCCATTAAGAAAGACAGCAGTTGCACTCTTTAAACTCACTTGTATCTCATGATTTTACATAAATAGCCCTCTATAATAAGCTCTGTTTTCTTAATCTCACATGCAACTTGGCACATTATCCATGTAGGACTTCTTTTGTACTATTATTTTCACATCTACTGTGCCTTATGTCTTGCTTATGTTATTTCATCTACCGTACCTTGTGTTGGAGTCAAGGTCCCCCACGGCTCGGTCTCTGATCAGGCTTCCTGATTCTAGATTCAGTCTTTTACTCTCTTTTTTTTCCCATAAATTATTTGTATGTATGTTTCCTTTATATAACCTTATTTCCATCTGTTTTCACTATCTCAATCTGTAAGTACACTATCCATTATCCCATTATATGCATTAAAATTACTTGTAAATTCAGTACAATATTCACATTCCTTAGTACCCTATCATTATCTATAAATTCGTTATCAGGGATGAGAATTTATATCTGGTACAAAGTTTTCCACTTTTCTCATCAGTAGAGAATACCAGGTAAATGTAGTGAAGTATCTGTTTGTATTTTTGTTGTAAGAATGATGTGGAGAACCTTTACATTAACCCAAATTTCATTCTAATTGATTTCTTCTTACTGTGATTACACACACAAGAAACATTAGGAAGGATTACATTTACTGTACAGTTTTTAACTTTAAAAGTTTGTGACAGAATTCCTAATTAAAGGATAATTTTGTAATTTGAAAATATAAGACATAAAAAGCATACTACTGAACTGGTTTATGTATATTTTATCAGAAAGCATATTAAGAACGGTAATAGAAAAGTAGCTGTGAGCATGAGAGAGAAAATGACTAATTAGTATCCCACAATGATCAGTACTAGCCCTAATTATGTTTCTTGATGTATATAAGTGATTTTCCAGAAGATGTGAGTAATTCCATGAATATGTTTGCGAATGATGGAAAAATGGAGGAGGGAAGCACAATTACTTCTCAGTGTATTTCACATGCCCAATTAAACACAAGTATCTTCTCAAAACACTAATTCGTTGTGTTTCTACTTTCTCTGTGTCTTGTCTAATTTACCCTCACTTGGAAAGAACTGTTCCTGTCTTGTGCCTTCAGTATTTTGTATATTTTGATCTTTCTCTGCTCTTTCTTCTTGGGTGTTAAGCTTTAGCTTTCTTAAAAATGGAACTGGGCAGCTATTTAAAATTGTGCAACTATGTCATGGTGTGCCTTACTGTGTGCCTTACTAAAAATACTTAACGAATCAAATGGGGAAAAAATAGTAAATAGCAATTTGAGCACAAGAGGAAGTTGCAGATAATGATCGGAACAGTGTGAGGGGTTAAGGTATAGTTCATGCTTCAGGATATGACAAATCTGACATGGTGTTCAGCTCTTTTAATTTTCCTTGTTTATTAGTACATGTATAATTTTGACTTTGTCTTGCAAATAAACACGTTTTAGTGCATTTAACATGAAATAATGTTTAGCAAATAGAACTGAGTAATTGATATAAAATTTAATTTATAAGAATAGTTATAAAAATACAATTGATGTATTTTTGGATATATAGTACTACACATTCGAGTACACTACACTTTATATAGAGAAAATCCACTTACCTGGTTACCTGGTTGATTACCTGGTTGATGGGGTTCTGGAAGCTCTTCTACTCCCCAAGCCCGGCCCAAAGCCAGGTTTGACCTGGCCTGACCTGACCTGGCGTCCATTGGGCTCTGAGGTGATGCAAACCCGCTACCAAGACATTGCCAGTCACATACTCTACCACTGTACCACTACTGACTTGCAGAAGGCATACAACCAGATTTCTACTGAAATCCAGTTGTGACTTTTGATGACTGACTTCCCAAGTCAGTGGTGGTACAGTGGTAGAGTATGCGGCTGGCAGTGCCATGATCACGGGTTTCCATCACCTCAGAGCCCCGGTGGCTTTTCTCATTGATATATACCATGTTGGTGTGATTTTCTGTGTGACTTCATATTCTCATCTCCTCTATATTAGCAGCTTATTGATACAAGTCTGTGTAGCATGTTTCAAGCAGATTGGTCTGGAGCATTTGTAGTATTTTTCTTATGATCTTTTGGCCAGCCACCTTTCATAATTGGTGAAGGGTGGCTGGCCGAGTCACTAGATTTATTCACTAGAAATGATGAATCTGAATTCAGTATTACATTTCCTGAGACAGAGTGAGTAAATTAGAGGGAAGAGAAGGAAGAAAGGGCAGATGGGGAATGTTTCAAGAGAGGGAAAGGGGGAGAAGTGTGGAGAGGGGAATTAGGAGAAGAATAGATGAGAGATGGGAGGGAGATTGAGAGAGAGAGAAGAGTGGAGATGAGGGGAGAGTGGAGATGGAGTGGAAGAGAGCGACCTGGGCACATCTGGCTGCCCTTCCCCAGTCATACATTAGTTGTCACTGTTTCATGCAGACCCGTAGCAGCAAATATTTCAACTTTGTTATTCCTAATCAGGGCTTTCATTGCTCTAGCTACTTTCTGGCCTTTCTTGCTGACTGGCCTTTATCTCAACTTCATTTACAATAGTTCCTCTTGTAAGATTTTACATCCTTGATATTGAAAGGGATCAGCCACTTCTTGAACTTCACCAATCAAAATGACTGAACCGCTCATCAAAAGATGAAGACACGACGACGTTTCTCTCCATCCTGGACCATTATCAAGTCATTATCACGACATGACACTATAATGGTCCAGGATGGACCGAAACGTCGTCGTCTCTTCATCTTCTGGTGTGTGTTTTGGTCATCATATCTTCAGCCACCTTATTGTGACTCATCATCTTCACCAAACATATTTAGCGCACACAGAATTTCTATTTCCATTCACCACTGTAACTTTGTTTTTGTCTACATTATCTATTCACAACTTTTTTTCATGCCTAAAAAAAAAATAACTTTTCTACGTAACTGTGTCATCTGCACACATTAAATTTATTAATATTCATTATTCTAATTACTCATATTATTCCTTTACACTAGGATTGCACCTCTCTTACATTCTTACCTTGACTTCCTTCATGACCCCATCCATGTATATGTATTGAAGCAGCAAGTTAACATAACACTGACATACACCAACATTACAGCTACTATCAATTCAGTGAGTCATAACATCTTTAACTGTACCTTTGTATTGTTATCTACATAGTACATCTCACATCATTTAACAGCACACTGTAAGCTGCATACCTTTAAAAACTCCTTATTTATTAACTTTGCTGTAAGCATTAACCAAGTTCATAAAAGTCATGAATGATCTGAAATTTATGTATTGAAGATGATCGATTCATTCTTTTCTCAAGGTGGATCATGAAGACCAACTCTACATGGAAGCCTTTGAACAAATGCTTCAGTCTTGGGCTTGTATCTTGCAAGAAGGTAGCAGTTGCAACAGTTCTCAGGTCAAACAGAGTGCCACTCTCATCTTTGATACGTACCTCAAGTGTCATCTAGCACCTCCCGAAGGCTCACGAGTACCAGTAAGTAAATGATGGTATAAAAATCAAAATCACTACTAAGGTATGTGTAATATAGCTCAATATTTGTAAATAAGGTTTAATACTATTTAATGAGTTTCAACTTCTGACAGCAGATGAATTTCGGGTTACGAGCCTAATTTCTTCATAAAATCCGAATCGGGTTACGAGCTTTGCCTCGAGGAAATGAAGTTTGTTGATAAGCATATGGCCGACCTAGCACATGGTGGCACGGCGACCGTGCCCCAGTTTTACCAGTGCCTCCCACCTAATGACAATCGCGCCTGAATTCTTTGTAAGGAATTAGTTTTTTCTGGATTTTTTGGTATTTGAAGATAAAAGTAATTATATATCTCGCCATGGGTCCCAAGAAAGCCAGTGGTAAGGTTCAAGCTAAGAAAACACATGTGAGAATAACCATAGAGGAAAAACAAGAGATCATTTGTAAACATGAAAATGGTATGAGGGTTGTTGATGTAGAGTAGAGGATGGCCCTTCCTCATTCATTAAGAAAATGTGTGCAGCATGGGAAGAATTGCAAAGTTTTGCTGAAAAGTGTCATACAGGGAAGGGGATCAGTTAGTGTTTGGTTGTCACACAAGGGGGGGGGGGATCAGTTAGTGTTTGGTTGTCACACAAGGGGGGGACCAGTTAGTGTTTGGTTGTCACACAAGGGGGGGGGAACAGTTAGTGTTTGGTTGTCACACAAGGGGGGGGACAGTTAGTGTTTGGTTGTCACACAAGGGGGGACAGTTAGTGTTTGGTTGTCACACAAGGGGGGGAACAGTTAAGTGTTTAGTTATCACATAGGGAAGGTGGGAAGAGTTAGTGCTTTAATATAATGTATCTAGCTCCCATTCCTTGGGTGTGATTACCAGCAGTGATGCTGCCACAATGGTGATACCATTGACTTCTTGTTACAACAAATTTTCTTGTTGATAGGAAATAAAATATGGAGTGCATTCATTCTGATGTGAGGGATTTGTTCAATATAGTAACAGTTTTCTGAATAAATATACATAAAAGAAAAATATTGATGAATGGTATTGCTTGTCAGAAGGTAATGTGAAGTTAACACAAGTTGTGTAAAAGGATTGACCGATGCTTTTCTCAGCACTAGACAACATTACAATATCTCGATATGAAGAATTTTGCTCTTTAGATGCAGTCAGCAATAGTGTAGGTTATTACCCACACTAATGTGGATTACATATTACAGGACATGGGTGAATGAGTGGATTCTCTCTAGATACCTTAATGGTTCTCCAGGGAAAGTTTAAAGTTGCAGTTGGTTGTCAGTTAGGTATGTCTGAGATCCTTCCTTGTAGTGAACATCACAGCCTGCCTGGTAGGACAACAGTCTCGTATTTTTGAGACTCAAGTTTGAATCTCTGATGATACAAGTTAATTAATACATTTTACTCTGTTCTATTTCAGATTGACGCAGATGAGATCTCGGAGACAGTTCAGGCTGATAGAATAGCCTTCAAGGAACAATTGGTGTTAATTGGCCTTTGTGGGAGACAGGTATTGTGTTAATAGATTAGTACAGTATGGTATTGTGATATTCTTTAATAATTTGCTTGATTTATGACATTGATCATATCAAATATTAATTTATAGCAAGAAATTAATCCAGAGTATTTCATGTTTTCCATATACAGTACTGTATATATATCTTGTACAATCTATGAATTATTATAGCATTTTAAGTCTATACAAGCAAATGAAAGAGTTGTTTGAATGTACTGTATAGTGTCTGGCTACATGGTACGTTTGGATGCCTTTGCCTTTGAACTGGTTACATAGCTTGTGAAATTATTAAGCACTTGAGCTTCATTTCAAATTATCAAATTATCGCAGTTAAGACTTTAAGCTTTACAAAAGCCAACTGTTTTGAATGAAAAGCCAAGGTAAATAGAGAACTTTAATTATGGTGCTAATAAACCTTAACAGTTCAAGCACCCAAATGACTGCAAATTTAAAAAAGGTATATACAAATTAATTTTAGTAGTCCAGTAGATATGTTAAATACATGAGGCATTGTGGGTTTAGTGATATAGGCAAGAAATTTGACTTGCAGCTGGACGCAAATATCAGCACAGTTCCTTCTGCAGGTGATGGCCCCGAGGATGACTTAAATTTTCCCACTTGGGGAAAATAACCGTAAAAGGTTGGAATAAGATGCAGAAGATTATAGACAAATAACATAATGAACCAGGCTTGGATTAAGATAGGACCCCATACGAAAATACATTTAATTCTTGTCGAAGAATGTGGAATTTAGGCAGAGATGCATAAAAGAATGTATCCCCCTTGACCAAATTAGATGTACAGTACCTAGAATGGTGAAGGAGAGCATACAGTTTCCATAGCCAAAGCTAGCAAGAATAAAGGTTGAAGTGCATAGTCCTCACTCAACAGTGACAGTCAAAACAGAGAACACAAAACTCAATAAATAACCATATCAAGAGACCAAGCAGGTTCTAATGGAGCATGGAAAGAGAGGATGTAATAAAATGTTTTACAGTATCATGTTAAGAAATGAGAAAGAAGACAGATCCAGGCCAATACAAAATTAGCTTTGCAAATACTGTAGTGTGTGTCAGCTCAGTGAAAAGTTCTTATGCAATGTGTCCATTGCTACTATCACCTTGAGCTCGTGTTGATAGCAAAATCATGAGAGGTGTTTTTTTTTTTTTTTTGCACAGGCACCAGAACATAGTGTACCTTTGTTGACACAACTCATGGAAGATCGCATTAGTCGGATGAGAACGCAACTCACTCACATTCTTAGCAACAACCTCACCATTGCTGAAAATTCTCAGTTGGATCAACTTTATGAAGACATCCACTGGCTTCTTCTCATATCAGGTTAGAGGTTTATAATTGTAATTATTCAGGTTTTGTTGAATTAAACCAAATACTGTATATGCTGATTTGCAAGGGATATATATGCTTTTCTGCTTATTATTTAGCTATTGTGTATATGCAGTAAGATTATATTAATTAAATATTGTTAAATTATTGACAAATGATAAGCGGTATTTCTATGGTCTACCTAAAACCGCAAATCTGATGTTTTTCTTTGTCCTATTATTTCTTCAAGAGGTTCTTGTGCCCTGGTTTGCCAAAACTCTCACTCCTTATCTTGGTACGTTTTCCTGCCCGCCTTTGTCGCTCTCAGGACTTCATTAAAAGATAGCGCATGCAGTTCTTCTGTAAGATGCTGAGTCTTGATGTTGATTCTCTTTTTAGTAATGTTCCCCTTGATGATGATCTCTCTTTCCTTCGTCAGAAGGTGACTGAGGGCCTTCTTCATCTCCTGCTTCATACTGACAGTTTCCTCGAACTCATCAGACTCTGTGCTGACCCTTCTCTTTCAATGGAAAATAATTCTCTCAAGCTTTTGGTGTCAATGAGTTCCATTCTCTCCCCTGTTCTTGCCAATCTCTATTTGGAGTACTTTGAAACTGTTCTCCTCACTATTGACACTTGTCCCTCTCTCTGGCTTTGCTATATTGATGATTTTTTGCTGTATGGCCTCATGACTAGTCTTTTTCCAGCCTTACCTTTCCTCTCTTAACAATCTGGCCCCTTCTATCAATTTCAAAGTTGAATGGGAATCTAAGGCCCACCGTCCTTTTCCTGATGTTCATGTTCACAGATTTGTATCTGGTTTCTCTTTGTGTTTACTACAAAACTATGCACAGTGGTATGTACATTCACTGCATTTCCTATCATTTCTCTACTGTTAAGAATTTAACAGTTTCTTTTGCAAATAGAGTTATAGATGGATCAGGTTTAGTGAGAAGGTTATAGATGCCAAAACCATCAGTACAGTAGTTTTAAAGCGTCTTACAACAGAGTATTGGGAAGATGGGATACCATGAACGTAGCTCTCATCCTGAAAATACACTTAGGTGATTACATGAAATGAGACATTGATTGATGATAATACAGTGTAACATAATTTTTGTTCCTGGATAGCAAGTGTTATTTTCTGATTGCTTATGCCTCCAAATTATAGAAAATGGCTTTTATTCTCCTCAAACTTTGCTTTGACTTTTGCCAAAGACAGCTTAGGGATGATGTCTTTAAGGTACTTTAAGGCTGCCAACTCCTCATCTAGAGCTATGATACATTGTTTCACAAGTCTACAACCTTTAGGTACCTTTAAGACATCTTCACTGAGCTGTCTTAGGCAAAGGTCAAAGTAAAGGTTAAGGGGAATAATAACCATTTCCTATACTTTGGAGATATAACCAATAATAAAATAACATTACCCAGGGGAAATTTTATTGTTTAAATTGAATATATGTAGGAGGCAATTGTGGAACCAGACCTAAGGTGTCATTGTTAAAATGTCACATGACAGTGTTGCACTAGAAAAATAAAACCAAAATTTAGAGTTTCTTAACACTTTCGCGCTTTATATTAGAGATAACTCGTCGCCGTTTTCTCTTACGATTCCGCATAACTGCCTACTTTTCTCGTCCATCGAAAAAATATTTCTATAAATTCCATTTTTTAACCGAAATGGATGGGGATACTTTTGTTTTGTAGAGAATTTATTTGCGAATGTTTTGGTACCAAAATGAATATTATATCGCATAAACTTCTATGAGTAAAAAAAAAAATACACAAAGTATGTTTGGGGGTGTGGCGAGCGTGTGGCAGTGGGTTCCCTTTAGCCGTTGATATATCCAACACGTGGGAAATATTTGTATGTGTTTTGTATATGTCTGTGTAGGGAATTTTACTGCGATCACTGTCATACAAATTATAAAATGTTTCAACAAGTATAAACATGACAAACATCAAACGAACGAAAACAATGCGTTCGTTTCTGCCGCGAACGCATACTGAGCGACGTGGTTCTATATTTGGCGCTTCTCTTACACATGCTTTGTACAAATGTTATACAGTTCATCTTATAGAAAATTTTATTGCGAACACATTGGTATAAAAAAGAAATATGTACATAGAAAAGTAGGGTCAGGAAACGTATAAACTTTCCAAGCATGGTTTCCCCCCTGTGTTTTCGCCAGTGCGCTCGCGGCTAACTACTCTCCACTTCACACACTCTTGCGGGTGGGCAATTACCTATATTAAACATTCATATGCATATGTCCGTGTAGAGAATTTTATTGCGATTCCAATGATACCAAAATTAGCGATGTAGGACAACTGTAGGCTTCGCAACCATTAAGAGAGTGGAAACATTTTGTTGCTGTTTGGTGCTCTCGGCGAGTGATCTGCATAGTTTTTTATTTGGTGTTGATACTCCTTATGATTGGGCGGCATTTTATAGGTATGCTCTTATAGACAATTTCATTGCGAACACAGTGATACCAAATTTAAATACGTTCGCCTTCAATTATTGTCAGGACAGTCAAAAGAGTGTACACTTTTCGGTCTTACCGCGTAGGCGCGCGAAGTGCCGAAAGCATCTGGGGTATTGTTTTTTTTTGAGCGCCGAGAGCGCGAAAGTGTTAAATCTATTTAAGGCAAAAGACAATTTACATTGTCTATGTTACCATATGCATGCTTAATTCTGTGCTGTACATCATATGTATGTGAATCTTATTGTATTGTAGTAAGATTTTGTTTATATCTTGCAGGTCATGTTACAACGATGGATAATGAGGGAGAAACAGCACTTATCCCAGCAGAAATGGTTACTTACAGTATCAATGCTGCTGCAACTGTCAACTTAGAGGCTACTCTCCGACTTTTAGCAGCTCCTGCCCAGATGCCTACAGATGTGCCAAACAGCGCTGCAGCAGATCCTCTTATAAGGTCTTACTTTGCCTTCATGTCTTTAATGACTATACATTGTTTTCATTGGTCTTTCTGTGGAGAGCCCTTTCGGCTCCCCGGATCTGTACTGGGCTGATGTGTATATATTAGACCGTGGCAACAGTCAATCGATGGAGTTCTAGGCCTATCGGAGATGAGAGCCCGAACCTGGCCCCCTCAAGAAGAGGCACTAGGAGCAATGGCCTAAAGACACCCCCATGTAATTGGAAGCAGTCTTTGTCTGCCATTGACCAGGTCAGGCACCCAGAAAGGTAGGAATTCCAACACAAACTACTGCTAGTAAAAAACTGCAAGCCGAAAGACGAACTAGCAACCAGAACTCTCCAATCAAAACCAAGCAAACAAGCATGACGTCACCACACTCACCGCGCATCTGTCTGTGCAACCCTCCCCCTCCCCGAGAGGAGGACAGGGGGGTCCCAGACCTTCACGCCGGCTACTCTCCTCGGTTCAGAGGCTGAATATCAAAAATGTGAAAAAACTGCTGACTGGAGGGAGAGAGGGATGCCAGGGAGCCTCCGGGTCTCACCCAGAAAATGGCGTTTCATTACATTCAACGCTGGTTTTCTGTGGAGAGCCCCTTCGGCTCCCTGGAGCTACCTAACCAAAGATAAAGACTAAAGGGACTTACCGTCCCTTACGTCCGGAGGTGGCCGTCACTCGCTCCTTAACTCGAAGTCGAAACAACTGGTTGCAACCTGCGACCCAAGGCTACACACGCCTGAAAAAGACCAGGAACATTAACAAGGTACCATGTGGCCAGGACCTTGTTCGACCTCCAAAAGCCTTGTACCCGAATGTCAGCCCAGGACATATTACCAAAAACAGCATCCAAAGCCGCAAACTTACGAACGTGGGCACGGGGATAGACCGCAGGCTGGCTGGATCGAATAATCCTGCGGATGACCTGGGAGACCCATTCCCTGGAACAGGGAAGAAGGGAAACTGGGTCCACCCAAAGCGCGTCCCGTGCCACGGAGGCCATGGTGCGCAAATAACGGTAAAGAGTCGTAACCGGACATAAAACATGATGCATCCCCAGACGAACCAACCAAGCATCAACAACCCAAGGATCCCTGCGGAAAGCAGCAGACTCATTCATTCAAGGAATATATGTTAGCGACACTGGTCTAGAATTTATTGAATATTGGAACCACATTTGCTATTCTTGCAGAATTATGAATGTTCTGCAGATTGTAAAGTTTCATGTAAAATTGTCTCCCTTTCCATTTTTCCATCTTCATTATCTTGTATTTGTTGGCATTGAATTAGAGTAGCCCCTTATTAGACTAGTCTTGTAGCTGGTTCTCATCATCATTAATAAAATAAGATATTGAGAGAGGTTTATTTAAAACGGAGGAATTATTTGGAGGGTATGTTAAGGAAATTATAGTTTTTAGAGTAGTAACAAATTTGTTTAATCATTAAGCTAGAAACTGAGTTCTAATATTTAATTCAAGGGTCTAGTCAGTGGTCAAGTTACAGTAGTTTGAGACTGGTTGATGGGGTTCTGGGAGTTCTTCTACTCCCCAAGCCCGGCCCGAGGCCAGGCTTGACTTGAGAGTTTGGTCCACCAGGCTGTTGCTTGGAGCGGCCCGCAGGCCCACATACCCACCACAGCCCGGTTGGTCTGGCACTCCTTGGAGGAATAAATCTAGTTTCCTCTTGAAGATGTCCACGGTTGTTCCGGCAATATTTCTTAGCAATAGACTGTTCAGTTGGTGTCATAATGGTGTACATTGGGAGACATCATAAGTTGTATGCATAAAGAAGCTACAAAGTTATGTTTTTGTTAGCTAAGGAAAATATTATTTTCAGGATGATGAGCACTGTGATGCGACTGTGTGAGACAGAGTCCCAAGCTCTGAAAGCCAATTTGAGCCATCTTCTAAGTCCAGAAGTTTCTTCATCTCTAATGTGGTTCCTTAGACGGTTCTGCCTCTCATATCTTCTTCCAAATGAATCATTCTACACAGAGGTAAATCCCTGTTTTTTGCATGGTGTTTTTACTGTTTGTAATATATTAATAATAAATGTTCTTATATGCATTGTTATACTTTTAAAAATACAATTTGTGTATCTGTTTTAATCTGTTATGTCTCAAAGCCTGGAATAATTAGTAAATTGTTTAGCTTAACTCAAAATTCAGTGACCAAATATGTACTGTATTAGAGAATGCTCATTTCTGATTATGGTGGTATTGTATACGACATACTATGGAGGCTTCTACAAGTTGTTGGTGACACGCATGACTACTGGGTGACACGCATGACTGCTGGGTGACACGCATGACTGCTGGGTGACTCAATACTCTATGTTCAATTTGTTATGTTCATAGTAGTACACCCAAACTAAGTCAGATGTTACATGAATGTATAGATGTAGATGACAATCGCACTACAATATAACAAAAGTTTGTAATATAGCTGAGTTTTGCAATTAAAGGGCTGCAAGTTGATTAACACAAATTTGCAAGGATTAGTCTGACACCCACAAACCGTTTATTCGTTTATTTTGAGAACTTTATCGATTAGAGTTGTGATTCATTATACAGTATCTCCTTAATAGTCTAGACATCATTGTATACTGAATTTGTTGCAGAAAAGTGGAAGGTGCACTAAATATTAATGTTATATTTTTGTGCCAGAGTACAAAAAAATCATTAGAAATCAGCCGAATAATAAAATATTAAAAAGCATTTAGATTAGAGATGCTGGTTTTCATTTCTTACTAGCATTAATGAATTACTGTATAAAAAAAATACAGAATCTTTATTTCTTTACATTAGATTGTGTATCTTAATTCCTGTAGTTCAATTATTCCTGGGTTTGAACCTACGTCCGAAAGGATCTCAGACGAACCTTAATCTGAACGCCTTAAAGAACAAATGTCAAAAAGGTTCGTTCAGTGAATGTCAGGTAGGCTGCTACATTTTCTAAAAAAAATTGAAAGAATTTGAAAAAAAAAATTGTCAAAAAGGTTTGTTCAGTGATTGTCAGGTAGGCAGCTCCATTTTGTATAAAAAAAAAAATAAAAAAAAAAAATTTGAAAAAGGGAAAAATGTCATAAAGGTTCGTTCAGTGTGTGCCAGGTAAGCTGCTGCATTATTAATACAAAAATAAAAAATATAAACCACATTGAACAAATATGAAAAATAGAAAAAATGTCATAATGGAGCATCCTACCTGACAAACACTGAACGAACCTTTATGACCTTTTTTTTCAAATTTGTTTAATTTTTTTTTTTTTTTTTTTTTTTTTTTTACAAAATGGAGCAGTCTACCTAACAAACACTGAACAAACCTTTTTCTATATAAAAAAAAGAAAAACTAAACAAAAATTGAACAAATTTAAAAAAAGTCATAAAGGTTTATTCAGTGTATGTCAGGTAGGCTGCTCCATTATTTAAAAAATTGAATATCATATTGATGTTTTTTGGCAGTAGAATGGATTAATTTTATTTCCAATATTTTACATGGGGAAATTTGTTTTGAAAGACGAGAATTTCACATGATGAGCTTGGTGCCGGAACGGATTAAATTCGTTAATCAAGGTTCCACTGTATACCTAAAAATGGCTTTTGACTGAGTTATGCATAAGAGGGTGTTCTGGAAACTGGAACATATTGAAAGGGTCACAGAAACCCTTGTGACATGGATAAAAAATGTTGGCAAAAAAATGAGGGCAGTAATCAGAGGCAATGTCTCTGGAGAAATGTTAGCAATAAAGTACCACAGGGTTCAGTTCTAACACCAGTAATGTTCATCATCCATATAAATGATCTATCAGAAGGCATACAGAATTATGTGAATGTTTGCTGATAATGCTAAGCTACTAGAGAAAAGAAATTTATCCAAACATTAACTGAAAATGTCTTCTCTTCCCCTTTTTTCTAGCTAAGCGTAGCCTTAACATCAGCATTTGGACGTGATTCTGAGGGAGCAACTTGGACATTGAACTACTTATTGTCAGTTGTGGAACAAACCATGAGACTTCGCAGTGCTGAACCAGGTCTAGTCGAGGATACAGTCAATCTGCTGGTTACAATGGTTGACAGTAAAGAGAGGTGAGTTCATGTTATGTTATGGTGATGGATTTGTGATTAATAACAGAACCAGGCTGTGACTCATACGTCAGGCTGCGAGCAGCCGCGTCCAACAGCCTGGTTGATCAGTCCAACAACCTGGAGGCCTGGTCGACGACCGGGCCGCGGGGACGCTGAGCCCTGGAAGGACCTCAAGGTAAGGTAGATAAGGGTTACCTGAGGGAATTTTGTTCACTTGTCATGAAAAGGTGACCACATGTCTATAGTGCACTTGACACACAATAATAGTTCAGATGAGGATTCAGAGGCTCAGTAAACTTTTAAGTTCTTCACTTTTTCCAAAACTAAAGTGTTGCCTTCCCTCTTGTTTCCACAATCATTAATTTACATATACCAGGATCAGATTTCTATAGCTACTGTGTGGTCCTTCCTGGAGCTTGTTAAATTTACTTTCCAGCAATTTATTTTCTGTCCATATTCTCATCTGCTTTCCTTCATAGACATGGACCAATCCAGATGTACTTCATTGGATGGAATTTTGCAAAACCACACTACTATGGAGAATTGTCAATGGCTTTCTGGCAGTCCAGAAGTGTACAGCCCATCCATCCTTCCCTTCCCTTCCTTGTCCTGTATTAATCACTATCATAGAATTTTGTTAAAACATTTTAGCACGATTCTCCTTTCTGAAAAAAAATGATTCTTTAAAAGTTTGTTCTTTCTAGATTTTCCAGCAGTGTGTGTGTATGTTAAATAATAATAGTACTGTATGGTCTTGCAGAGGTCAGCATCTGGTAAAGACTGAGGGTCTCATGGAGTTAGTAAAGCTTCAGCAGAGTGGAACTCTCAGTGCACTTTCTTCAGTTGCTCAAAGAGGACTTATGCAGGTAAGTTAATAATTTTTGGTCAATGACAGTGTTATAGTCAAGGAGAATGAGACTAGGCAGAACTAATCAAGGAAATATTTGTGAAATGTTAAATTATTGCTGAGGAAAGTGCAGACCCATATTTCCCTCTGGGTTGACCTAGCTGGCACACCCTCCTGAGGCTGTAACAAGTGGGCTGAGTTCTATCTGCAACTTGTAGGTAGTGTTATATTTTTGCATGAATTTAATCCCTTCAATTTTGCTTTAATTGTACAGAAATGTTTGTTCTAATTTACAATTTTTATGTGTATGTTACATTCTCAAATTTACAAATGTTGCTTTTACAAAGGGGACTTACAAATGTTTGCAAAGAACAGTACAGTGAAACCTTGATTTGGTGAATCTCAGGTTGGAAAACACACTTTCTAGACCAGATTTACTTTCCTGATTTTACGAACAAGAGTTCGCTGAAGCGGGAGATAGGCAAATCTGTTTAGGATGTTGGGACAGAGTTCACAGACTGGTGGAAAAGTTGGTCATCATATCATAGATTAAAATTTAAAGTTCTCTTAAGTGAAATCAGCCCATAGAGCATGGAAAATCTGAGGGTATAAATGGTAACACTCATAATAGGGCTACCATCACCCTTTAAATTGTTTTCATGGATGAACATGAGATTAGAAATAAGAGCATTTGGAAAGCCATTGAGCATATTTAAAACAAAATTCTGTGGTTCTTTTTTATTACCAGTTGCAGAGGTTTTCATTCAGGAAAGCATGGGCCCCTTCCTTTGAAAATGTGATTTCAAAGCTAGTGTGGGGGAAATAGGCTACATGTGGTTAAATCTCTTTTTTCAGACAGGTTCTCTTGGTAGTTATTCTTCATATAACAGGTTGAAATTAAAATTTTGTTCACTGAAATCGGCTCATAGAGCTTGGGAAATATTAGGGTATAATGCCTTAGAGTAGGGTATGAATGATAACTGTTAATATGACTCCAATTACACTTTTAATGAATTTTGTAAATGGACGCAACATTAGAAGAAGAAAAAAAGAGAGTTGTCGCTTTGGGAAAGCCACTGAGCGTATTTAAAACCAAATTCTATGGTTTGCTTTTGAGATTTCTCAGTTTTCATTTATATGTATGAGCCTTCTGGAGGCATCTCCAGTTACAACGAATTGGGGTTGGTCCCATGTAGTTCGTTGATTCGATGTTGCACTGTATTTACTCTAGCGAGACTCCTTATAATGCACTTGTCATTTTTAAAATGACTTGAACACTACCATTTAGATTATGCAGCTTAATTTTGAGCACCGTTCTATAGAATGGCCACTAGTTCTTTAGAATATGTACAGAGGAAGCTGACAATGTTAATCCAGAGAATTAAAACAGTCCTTATCAAGAGAAATTAAAAGAGGTTTTTTTATATTCTCAAGTAAGGCAAGGCATAGGGGGAGGATGTGATTGAAATATGCAATTAGATGATAGGGTATAACAAGTGAGATATAAAATGCTAAATACAATATATCAACACGAAATGGAATGCAAAACAATGTAAATTTGATGAAATTAGATTTAAAGAATATGGATAACTACTAATTTTGAAAGTAGGGGGTGTTAATTTGTGGAATAAATTGCTTGTGAAATATATTACCAGGTAGCATAATAGATGTGGGATATAAGTAGCAGCTACCTTGTATTGGTCAATAATTTACTAGTAATAATTATAACAGTTGAAGTTTTTACTGAAATCATGTGCATTCTTTTGTATGAGCTCCACAATTTACTAAGATCTATATACTGTTTGAAAAAGTTACAAGGCCATGACTGCAATAATTACTATACAGTACCTGCAAAATGTGCACACATTACACACATTAAAATGTATGGCATATCACCAATCCATACTTAGGCCATCAAGTTATCTTGATAATATAGTCCTAAATGGTCTGTAATAACACTTTATCATATCTCCATAGCCCCTTGGTGAAATCCTTTTTTTGGTAAAGAAACAAAGAATTAGAGGAATCATGGTAATCCTTGACCCAATATTTAGATCTAGGTCTTTAAGCTTACAAATATTCTTATATGAAACTTATGAAAATTAAGAAAATTACTACACAAGATATAAATTGTGACCTAATACAGTACTGTATTACTACATAATGTATATGAAAAATAGTAAACAGAATACGGCCATGTAGGCCAGGTCCAAGGTTGTCATGCACTGAAGGTTCCTCACGCCTGAATTAAAGCGATGAGCAGGCAAACGTGACCCTAAAAAAAAAAAAAACATTAAATACAAGTGGAAATAAACCATGCTGATGTATTTAGAAGTGTTTAATTTTATTCTTTTTCAATGCTATTTTCTTGTTTCTTGTTGTACTATTTTAGGGTTTAGTTATGTGCGCAGCTGCCCTGGGGGACACAGATGCCCGTACTCAATTCTGGACACACGTGCTAGACCCTCCTGTGACATCATTCAAGCAGTTGATGTCCTCTGAAACTTTTACAAAACAGTATCAACAAGAGGAGATGAAGAAGCAAATTCTCTACCATATTGATAACTTTATAGGTAATATCAGATCTCATTGATTATATTGTATGCTTATTTTGGTTTTCTTATATTGGCATTATTGCATTATTATTTAGTTATGTAAGAGTATCACGGTCTAGTAGTCTTTCTGAAATGAAGCCCCCTAGAATGCTCCCCAAATGAGCCATAATGGTCCACCAAAGATTCATATCAAATGCTAGGGTTACTATATTTCAAAAGTGAGCAGTGTTCAACACAAGGCATGCCAATTACTGCTTTGCTAACTACTGGTTAGGAAACTAAGCAGCAGAGATCCCATAAGTGCCCCGGCAAACCCCTGAAGAGTAAATTGCAAAGCCATTTGGCTAAACTAACGTTGTCTGTCAGTGGAAATGAATGCGCCTTGCGGCAAATAAACACACCAATGGGCAGATGATTGGGGAGTGCCAGGGGTCTCTCAGGGAGGCAAGCATTGGCCCCCAACCCATGCAGAGAACATTGGGTAGTGAAGGCAAAAACATGGCCCCTCCTAAACACATACTCACATGGGTAAAATTCAAAAGGTCTTCCAGTGCCTCCCAGCAGAGCAGAAGCCAGCCACCCACCACATCTGAGGGCACATCAGGAGCTGTTTTTTTTTTCTGTTCCTATCCATCGGTCACTCCCAGTTGTGCCTTGGATTTCTTGCTCAATTTTATCAACATCTGTCTGTTTTTTTCTGATAGCACCAGGAATGTCAGCAATTTCAGAAGTGTGAATGTGGCATCCTTAAGACATTTGCATGAGTAGGTCCTTTGTTGAGTAAGAGTGGAGAAAGTGGATTTTTGAAAGATCTGGAAAATTTTCATTAAATTCCAATATGCTTGTAAGTTTCATTTGTGCAGTATTTGGTTTGCATAGCATTTACAGCAACAAAACTCTGTTTAAATCTAGGGAAGCCTGTGTATTTTCCAGGTATTTTACTGGTAGTTAGTATGCCTAACAGCTTTGCCTCATATCAGATTGCCCTGACAGAGCCAATGCTTCTCATGTGATTTTATTTTCTGGGGGTCCGGTTAAACTGAGTGCCTGGCTCAGAAAGGTGTATTTTAATGTATTCAGATGCCTTAGCTTTTTCAGACTTTTTATGTAAATGGTTGGATTAAATAATATGTACTGGGTATATAGTCTTAAACTTTGATGTTAAGAGCTTATTTCCTACTTCAGCTTCCATTTATTAAGTATTGCAGTTTTCATGTTATTAGTATTGTGACTTTCTCATAGCTTCTCAATGAAAACCTAAATAGATTGTATTCACCTCCTTGCCATTTATATTGTATTTATTTCTGTATTATGTTTTGCAGGTGCAGTTCAAGGATGCTTAATGCCGACGGCTCAGTGTCTCTTCACACGCTTAGTGGGCATTCTTGGGGAGAGTGTTCGGCTTCTTGATCTCTATCACAACTACCCAACTGTGGTGGAGACAGTTCTAGAGCTTTTTGTAGAATGTGGTCGGCGAATGCTGTGTTACCTCACACCGGTGAGTGACTCTTTTAGTCTTCAAACAATTTCAGTGGTATTGACATTTGAGGATCTTTACCAAAATTCTAATTTAAATCTTTTGGATCTGGATACTGTATAAAAAGTGCCTATTGGCAGTAAAATTCTGCTCTTAGTTAACTCTTCAATATCAGTCATCATTATGTAATATTCCCAATAAGGCAATTATGAGATCATTTAAGAATCTAAACAAGGAGGCTTTAAAGTCCATACACCCTGCGTATGTGAGACCATTACTTGGCTATGCAGGCTCAGCATGGAAGCAACACTTTGTGACACGATATGAAACTTGAGAAAGTTCTGAGGTTTGCAACTTGATTAGCACCAGAATTGAGAGGGTTTGGCTATGACAGATTGAAGTTGCATCCAAGCTAAAGTAGACATTAAGCCCACTCAGAATAGAGCTACAGTATAATTATTATTGGAGATAGTTCACTGGTGATGTGGAAAGTATTAGCATTCAAAATAAGGGATGGAAGAAATGGTAAAATTAAATACTGTTGTGATGACAGATATATACAAACATGATATGCTGTTGATTTATTCCTTTACTGTCCTATTTTATTTGTTAATAATTTGTCTTGATTATCATTTTGTCAAGCAATGTTGGGCAATTGTTCACAGTAATATAGCTTGGATATCCCTGCCAAATCTTAGGAAAACTATGGAGATTTCTAGAGCCCTTCTTCCTTCACTGCTGGCTAGTGGGCAGGGTGAGCAACGGACTGTAATAAAGTGCACTCTTAGCAAGTTATGGTGGTAGGCCAAGCCAATGAGTGACATGACCAGAACAGGAACTGATTTCCCCACTTCCCTTAGGTAGGATTGTGATAGGGAGAAATGACAGGTTATGGTTTATGTTATGAGGCTACAGTAATCTGTGCTCACATAGCTCACTGCACAAACATACTTGATAAACATTATTTAAGAAGGTATGTAATGATTTGTACAAATTTTCAAGCATAGGCTTCATACATACAGTACATTCATACTAATGCAATAGATTGCTACCATTTAATTAATATGGATAAAGAAATATGTTGGGTACATTCTTTCAAAAATTCATTGTATATTATTGACCAGGTAGTATTGACTATGTATATATATACACATATGAATGGTATCAGCTGGGTATTTTAGAGACCCAGCAACCAACTAGCTATCTACTTATCCCTCCGTCCCATCCATACCCTGGCAGCACCACATTCCTATGCCCACCAACCACTGGCCCACCACCACCACCACCCATTCCTGCTCTTACCCCCACCACTGATTCCACCCTTAGTGGCTATTTCCCCTACCCACCCATACTATAACCACTTCAACCCTTATAACCCCCTGCCCCCACTTACATCTGAACCCTCAAGCACTCCTGCCTGCCTTCTTCAGCAGGCAAGGATCTGTGACATTTCCCAGTGTTTTCATGTGAAGAGACTTAGGTTGTTTGTGTTTTCTCTCATCTGGTGGACCATGTTGTAATTTCCAGAGTTATATTATATTAAATGCTTTTCTGGGGGAGCCCCGTCGGCTCCCTGGAGCTATCCAGGCTGAATGGATATGTATAACTTTCTGGCATCAAACTGCTTGGAGTTCTTGCCTACCGGGAACCACAAGCCAGATCCTGGCCCCCTCAGAGAGGCATAAGGAGCAATGGCCTATAGAAATCCCCTTGTGGTTGGGAGCATTCAATGTCTGCCATTGACTGGGACAGGCGCCCCAAAAAAAATCCCTATTCTGGTGAAAATATTGCTACCGAAAGCCGAATGCTCCCAACCTCAGTGGGGTTTCTATAGGTCATTGCTCCTCGTGCCTCTCTGAGTGGGGCGAGGTTCTGGGTCGTGGTCCATGGTAGGCAAGAACTCCAAGCACTTTGACTGATGCCAGAAAGTTATACATATCTATTCAGCCTGGATAGCTCCGGGAAGCCTCCGGGACTCGCCCAGAAAATGGCGTTTCATTACATTCAACGCTGTTTTTTATTTTTACATTGATGATAAATATAATTAAGTTTTTTCCAATCTTGGCCAAAGTTTTTGGGCATGTCTAATTTTTCAAGAGCTAGTGTATATTTAAAGCAAATTAAAAATAAAATAAATATTCAGTATCTCATAATTGCCTCGGTATGTTTTTTCTCAGAGTGCAAGCAAGCAGCTGTATGAAGCATCAGTACATCTGGTAGGTACGTACGCTAAGCACAACATAGGACGGAGAACAGTCGAGTCACGGGGAGAAGAAGATCAGTGGAGAGATCTACAACTTCTCATGGAACTTTTGACATCACTACTCTCAAAGGTAAGAAGTCATGCAAAATTATGATGAAGAGATGCACTCAACCATTGAAAGTGTAAAATAGCTTCTAGGACAGAATAGAGCCTGATTGGGGCAAAATGTTTTGTAAAGCATTCATGGTGTACACTGTGATATAGTTTTTATAGTGGTATAAAATAATGAGTTACTGTATTTTATTTCAGGATTTCATTGACCTTGCGCCATCTGGTCACGGGGAAGATCAAGAAGTCGTAGCTGCTGCAGATGTGTGCTTATTTGGCTTGAACATTATTATGCCTCTTATGTCCCGTGAACTACTGCGATTACCAACTCTTTGCTCGCATTACTTTAAGATGGTCACATTTATTGCTGAAATATATCCTAGTAAAGTGTGTCAACTACCAGAAGATCTCATGAAGGTATGCATTGCAGCCACACACATGTTTTTAAAGCCAAGACAATTCAAGTTTTAAGATTAATATTAAAGGCTTATTAGATATTCCTATTTGATATATTGTGTATGTATCTTTTTCTTTTATTATTTATGATTTTTCCACTAGTCATTTTCATGAAACTGGGATGCACTCACCCAGAAAGTTTGTAAATGTTTTACTATATAGAAAAAATTAACCAAATATTGAGGTAGACATCCATCAATTTCTGGAGGAAGCCCAGTTGGCTCCCCGGAGTTATCCTGGCCGATATGTAACTATTAGCTTTCTGACATCATTCAAAGTGCATGGAGTTCTTGCCTACCGGGGACCACGAGCCAGAAACTGGGCCTCCTCAGAGAGGTGCGAGGAGCAATGGCCTATAGAAATCCCCGTGTGGTTGGAAGCATTCTATGTCTGCCAGCGACTGGGTCTGGCACCCAGAATGGTAGGCGCCCCAAAACAAACCCCTATTCTGGTGAAAATATTGCTACCGAAAGCCGAACGAGTGGACAGAACTCCCCAAATGAAAACTAGAAAATTAGCATGATGTCATCACTCGTTTTTCTCCCTTCCTATTTATGCTACGATGCTGAGACTTGGGCCAGTTGAACCCGATTTCATATACTACTAGTCAAAAAGTTTGATTGAAATCGAACCCGTTTTCATTTTTGCATATTTTCGTAATATGCCAAAACTTTTCTTAAATATGGCAAAACTAGAAGACAGAAGAAAAAGAGGTGATATGATCACTACGTACAAAATAGTAACAGGAATTGATAAAATTGATAGGGAAGATTTCCTGAGACCTGGAACTTCAAGAACAAGAGGTCATAGATTTAAACTAACTAAACAAAGATGCCGAAGAAATATGAGAAAATTCACTTTCACAAACAGAGTGGTGGACAGTTGGAACAAGTTAAGTGAGAAGGTGGAGGAGTCCAAAACCGTCAGTAGTTTCAAAGCGTTATATGACAAAGAGTGCTGGGTAGACGGGGACACCACGAGCGTAGCTCTTATCCTGTAACTACACTTCGGTAATTACGAGGGTTTCTATAGGCCAGTGCTTCTTGTGCCCATCTGAGGCGGCCAGGTTCTGGCTCCTTGTCCATGGTATGGGACCAGGAGCCAGAACCCATGCACTTTGAAGTGCATAGGTTGTTTGCAGCCCCTCCCCCTATGCACAAAGAACTCCATGCACTTTGATGACAGAAAGCTAATAGTTACATATCAGCCTGGATAGCTCCAGGGAGCCTCCGGGTCTCACCCAGAAAATCGCGTCTTATTTCATTCAACGCTGGTTTTTTGGCATCCACCACCTTCGCACAAAAATTGTGCTAACATACTAGAGCTCTTTTTCACAAAACAGAATTTTTGTATATTTTTTCTGTTCCTTTTTCTTAGCTTGAATGTATGGCCTCTAGTTCTTGTAATTCTAATTTCAAAAAATATTCCTGGTCAAATGTGTTGACTCCTATCACTATTTTGTATGTGTAATCATATTGCCTCTTTTTCCTTCTATCTTCCATCTTTGGCATCTATATAAAATGCCTCAACCTCTTCCTGTATTTTTTTTTTTTGTTCTGGAAGCTATTTAGTTGCACCCTTTCTAGTTTATTGATGTGCTTCCTGAGATTTGGACACCACACAACTATGGCATATTCCAATTTCAGTCTTGTGAATATCATAAACAGTTTTATATTTCTCCATACATATATTTAAATGCAATTCTAACATTTCTCTCAGCACCTTTGATAATAGTCCTCTGACAACAGTTTACTATCCAGAAGTACCCCTGTACCTATTTCTTTGTCAGAGTTCTTTACTATCTTTGCACAAACTTTGTAGGTCGAGTGTGTGGCCTGTTTTCCTCTATTCCATATTTCATTATGTGGCATTTATTCACACTGAATTCCACCTGCCATATGTTGCTCAATTCACTTATTTTGTCTAGAACATGGCAGTTATGTAAGTCTTTTATTCTCCCAGTCTTCCTAGTAACTTAGCATTATCTGTAAACTTATTTATGTAGCTCTGAAGCCACCCCTCTAGTAGTGTATAGGTAATGAACGTGATTATGCAAGGACTGAACCTTGTGTTACTGCTCTATGGACGTTTTTCCACTCTTAATATATTGCCTCAAATCACTGCTCTAATTTTTCCATAAAAAAAAGTCCTCTTTTCTGATGAATTTTTTCCTGTTGCTTTACAGTAGTTGTATAGTATTGTTCGAGACGGGAAGCTGCCTCATGGAGCATCTGGGGGACCTTGGCACAGAAATAAGGTGTTGAGTTTGGTGATACACTCCTCTCTAGGCTGGCCCCCTTGAATACTCTTGATTTCTTCTGTTTTTAGCCACTTTTCCAAGCCTGATTGGGTGGTCTGGGCTGAGAATAGGCGTAGTACTCTCAGCCCGGACCAGTAGGTGCTCTCTCAGTTGAGAGATTAGGTGTCACAACACACCACTGTGTGTTGTGACAAATGCTGACACTTTGTGATAGCAAACAGTAATTTAGATAGTAGTTAGCAGTGCAATAGTGTATCCTGGGTTATCACTTGCATGGGGTGTTGAGGCCATCTTTTGTATAATAGCAAGCTGCTCCATCAGTGGTGGTTAAAGTTAGATTCACCACTGTTGTAATTCCTTAGATAGAGCATTTGCAAAAATACTTGTCGTGGGGAACAAGGTCAATGAGATCCTGGTGATAAGTCCTTGGTGTACCATATGGGATCTGGTTCAGGAAGCATCCAAGGGACCAGCTCAGTTAAGAATATTTCACTATTCTCAATGTTCTATATTTTCTAATTTGTTGAAAATGTATTTGGAAAGATGAGGATGTTTATGTTTGTCAGTCTAATTATTAGGACTGAGGGGTATAATTGTTTTATTTTACTGTTCAGTTTTTTATTATTCATATACTGTGTAATTATTGGTATTGCTGACTTAATTTAAATTACTGGACTTAACATGTCAATTTATATGTATTATTTTATTTACAGAATTTGCTGGCATCCATAGAATTAGGTCTGACAAGCTTTGGAGCAGATGTAGGAACACTTTCTTTTGATTTTTTGGTTGTGCTGGGATCCTACATCCACAAGAACTGTGGTCCTGAATTGACAGTAAGACTAGGTCTTAGACCGTTTCTAAAGGTAAGCCCAAAATATTCTATTTAGTTCAAAGGTGGTTGGAAGAGTTCTACATATATAGACAGTGCATTGTTGTGACATACTCTGTCTTTAATGATGTGTCTCTTGTGTCTTAGACCTGCTGCTTTACCTGAAAACATCCTAGCTATAGTCTTGCTGTTTCCTCAAGAAGCTAAGTAAGTTAACCCTTAAGCTGCTAAGGGGTCCTGAGGACTTTTACACCCCCATGCGCAAGAAAAAACAAAAATTCTAAATATTTTTGTCTTCTAAAAATGTTTATCTATGTTCCCTCAGGACAGGGAAGGGGGGGGGGGAAGATTGTAGGTGACACATTTTGCTCGCAATAGTCAGAGGAAGTCTGGCAAAATGTAGGCATTGACAGAGCAAGTGTCAGAGGTGGTCAGCTCCACTACAGCTTACAGCTGTCAGGCGGGAGCTGCCACAGATATTATTACCTAATTATTTAAATGTCTCTGATTGATTTTTTCTTAGTTTTTTGCAGTAATATTATTCAATAGTGTGTAGCGTGATATATTTATAGAATAAAAGGGGTAAAACATCGCTATACTCAAAAGTATGGTGTGCATATTAGTGATTCAGTTATGTTCATAAAACAATAAACAATAGTTTTGCTGCTATTACATTATATACACAGGTTATATATAAGTATCTGCATGTTTTGTTCACCATAACGAATCATTAAGTTGGTATGGTGAGTCAAAAAGCAACGAGGAGTGGCAGCCACTCGCCGCCACTCCCTCCCTCAACAACACCTCACTAGTCAACATTCTCCTCCCACCATACTTTTTTTGCTTTTGTTCATTATATACCGACATTATATATAAGTATCTACATGTTTTAATCACCATAACTCTAAAACTAAGCTAGTATGGTGGGTTCAGGCAATATAAGAGACGTCGCCACGCACGCACCCACCCACCCACACGCACGCACGGTTTAGTTTTGGTATATTTTCCATGTGCACGGTGAGACATGTTACTCCAGCCGTATATATATGCCATGCGCAGTTTAAGGGTTAAAGATGTGAAGTGGTGGAAGTCGGTGAATTGTGCACTTCAGGATCTTAGGAGATAAAATTAGTGAGGCAAGAGTATTGATGAGAATTTTGTGGTAGGAAAAGGAAAGGTAGCAAGAAAAGATAAGACAATGTACTGGTAATTGCATATGTGTGAAGGCTGGGGGAAAGAAGTTTATGAGGAGAGTGATTTTAAAAAAATTGACACACTTGAAAACAAAAAATATAATACTATATTAAAAATGTTAATGATTATTATTTGACTATTAATATTGTAATATGTACAATATACTACTTATTGCTATTAATGTTGTTTACATTATCATAATTGTTTAAGTTAAGTAATTATGTGGTACAGTATTGTTATCACTTTCTATTGAACTTTACTTTCTACAGCTTGTTCTTGACCTGATATTGTCACAGCAAATAAATTCAGACCTTCTCCAAGCAGCGTCTGCCGCACTCTACACCCTCATATGTTGTTTCCAGGTATGTAGGTGTGTCTGTCATTGTCTCTTATGATAAGTTCAACTTGAGAAACAAAATTTGCAGAAAGTTAGTAAAACTCATCATTCAAAATACAGTACAGTATTATTACTTCTTTCTCTCATAATAAAGATCTTTTGTTCTTTATCATGTTACTAAGGTACTGTATCACAGAAGTGTGAGGCAGTGATTATATGAAGTAAATAGGATAGGAGGTATTATGCTTCCATACAATAGTGCCATGTAATGTATATTGAAATTTAAAATTATTATAATCATTATCACCCTGTAAACAATGTATTCTTTCATCTTTAATCTTAGAAGAGTTTCATGTGTTAAGGAGGCTTGGTTTTCTGCATACTATGTATTGTTTGAGTTCAGGTGCTCTCTTGGTAGCAATCCTATGGCCTTGGTAGCATTTAGAATTTACACCAGGTTTGATTGATCTGTATGCCCCAGGAATCAAATATCTTTTCTGACTGTATATTCTAGGGGCAGAGAAGTCAGTGGAGAGCATTTTCTCAATTAGCCCTAGGAAAAATCTTACCAAGTATCCATTCAAATCATTCAAAACTGCCCTTGCGTGTTACGGTTCTCTTCCCTGGTGTGTTCAGGATCCATTTCCTTAGGTGTTTTTGCTGCTTGTCATTTACACCACCCTTGGGGCCAGCTGGGGTTTTGTGACCTTTGTTTGGCCATGGGTAGGGAGTGGTATCATGCTGGTTGGGGCATCAAGGTGTTGTGCAGCCTGCCTACCTACGTGGCGGCCAGTTCCTGTTTCCTCTGAGAATGTTGTACTTCCGCGTGTGTTTTTTTTTTTTCCTAGGGGGAGCCCCTACGCCTCCCCGGAGTTTACTAGGCTGATATGCTAATGTCAGACTTTGGCATCAGTCATGTGTATGGAGTTCTTATGGGCCTAAGCTTGTTTGATACTCCTCAGGTGTCTTCATTTTGCAAGTAATGAAGATGAGACTGAGGATGATAGGTTTTGGAGGGTGAGGCACGTTCTGAATGAACTACTGGAAAATTCTGAGAATTCTATGTACCAGCTCAGAAGCTGGTGATTGATGAATCCCTTGTACTTTTCAAAGGACGTGTTGCCTTCTAGCAGTATATTCCCTCCAAATGCGACAGATTTGGATTGAAATTCTTAGTTCTCTGTGACTGTGAAACAGGAATTATGTTGCACCTGATAATGTATTCTGCTACCAATGTAGACATTCCTGGTAATGACCAACATGGCTTCTCAGATAGTGTAGTGAAGACACTGCTTGCACCTTGGCTGAACAAGGGCCACATATTATACATATAACTATTATCCCAGTCTCTTGCTAATTTGGTTCTTGCTTGATAGTAGAACTGGAGTGTGTGTGGCACAGTAAAGGCAAAACGAAGGGAAGTACTAGTGTTTGACAATGCTTTTCTTGTAGGTGATTGCCAGCTAAGAAAAACTAGTCAAATGCTTTCAGTGCAGTGGAAAGACAGGCGTGAAATGAACATGTTGACCACTATTCACACTGGTACAGTGGTGGACAGTGGCAAGGTACAGAAAATCACCAAACAAAAGATTTATAAACCAGATTGTGTTAAGGACTACAACATAAACATGCATTTATTTTATAAATGTGACATGATGGTGAGTGCTGTCGAGTGTGTACAGAAAACAATGAAGTGGACCAAGACGATGTTTTTCCACCTTGCTGACGTAACACTGGGTGAGCCCCGGAGGCTCCCTGGCAACCCTCCCTCCCTCCGGTCAGTGTTTTTTTTTTTTTTTTTTTTGCTTAGCTTTCTAACTGGAGTGCTGGGTAGCGGGCGTAGAAAGAGGAGGGCTGCGTGGATGAGCGACGTGGCAGTGGAGTGTGACGTTTGCTTGTTTCCTTGGGATTGAAGGGAGTTAGTTCTACCTCTCTTCGGTTTTTAGTTGTACTTTTCTTACCATGTCTGGTTTGTTTTGTTATGCCTACCTTTCTGGGTGCCTAACCCTGGTGGATAGTAGATAAGGATAACCCCCCAACCACAGGGGGGTGTTTTCCAGGGCCATTGCTCCCTGCTACCTCTCTAAAGGGGGCAGGTTCTGGCTCGTGGTCCCCGGTAGGTCGAACTCCTTAGACTAATGCCCCGGTCCAATATATCACACATTAGCTCAATAGCTACATGGAGCCTCCAGGGCTCACTCAGAAAATGGTGTTTCTTTACATTCAATGCTTTTTTTTTCATAATTTGAATGGGTACAGAAACAAATATTAATTTTATTTTTGTTTTTTTACAGGGTGAGTATGAGCAGCTGGTGCAATCTTTACTTCACAGTCAGACTGACCAAACAACAGGGCAGCGGTTGGCAGAATCCTTTACACAACTCACCACTAATGTTGAGCTTACTGCTGACCGCATGAACCGTGTCAAGTTCAGGGATAACTTTGAAAGATTCATTGCTAATGTTAGAGGCTTTCTTCTTGTTAAGTAGAATACACAATAAATTTAATATAAGAGATCTGTAAATATTCTTAGTAAATTATGAAAGCCCATGACCTAGGTAAGGCTACAGAATATTAAATTTTATTTTATTTACAAATTAAACGAATCTCTTTCTTTTGAAATTCAGAATTTTCAGGAGCTGTGATGTACCACAAGTAAACAGTGTAATGATGAGCTTCACAAATGTTGTGTATATAGAATAACAAGTATTGTGGTACTATTATTGTTAAGGTTTCCGATAGCCTTGTGAGGCTCACATATATAAAGAAAAGTCCAAGATTGTTTACCCTTGCTGGTGTATGGAGGGTTTTTCTAGTGTCTTCTTATCCTTAACAAGATTATATTGAGATCAATGTTAGAGGATACTTTTTTAAGCCCATTGGAAAATTCTATCTGTCTTTCTCGCTCTCTGTCTGTCTCTCTCCCCGCCCCTTTATTCCCTCCCTTTCCCTTCCCCCCTTCTTCCATCCCTACCCAAGAGTTGTCAGGTGGACTCTATTAGAAGACATTAAAGGGTTTTATTTCTCCATGATAAAGTTCTGACTAAGTTGTATGTACTGTATGTTTCCTTGAATTTAGTAAACATGTGACTAAAAAGTGCATATATTCACACAACTAAATAAGTGAGGCGGCACTTCTTTATTTTATCTAAAAAAAAAAAAGAAAAAAGAAAAAAATTGCCAAGGACTGACTTATTATTTGAAAGGGACAGTTTTAGTTTGTTCTCTCTTGTTAGGATTTGTATCACTGCTGTAATGTAATTAAAATATGAACAGTGTTACCTAGATTTTTATAATTCTGTATTTTATGAATTTCTATTTGTTCTTAAATGCTTAAAAGTGTAATGTATAGTACAGTAGTTTCGAATAAGGAATGAATTTTATTTACATTATTTTTTATGTTAAACATAGCACACTTTATTTTTTATCTCATAAACATCAGTGACTTATTTGAGGAAATGAGTCGAGTACATGATAAAGGCCAATTAAGAAATGTTCTCAACAGTGGAGACTTTCAAACTTTGAGCACGTGAGCCTAGTCATATGCATCCTGATTGCCAAGTAGGAATTATAATGAATGGACATTTGCTAACTCAAAAGCAAATAGTTCAGCAAGTACTAAACCTATCTGTAGTGACATTTAACTCCTGGAAGGCGCTTGCAATTATAGCCTGCAACACATCCAGGTGCAAGAAATACAAAAAAATATATAAATAAAAATTTTGTCGTATAAAAGTGTTCATTTGTGTTCCCTGATCATGGGAAAAATAATACAAAAATCGTAGGTGACATATTTTGTCTGTAATAGAGCAGGAAAGTCTGGCAAAATTGAGGCATTGACAGACTAGGCGTCCTGTGGTGGTCTGCTCCACCCGCACTGACAAGCGGGAGCTGCCATAAAGATATTACCTAATTATTACAATGTGTCTGATTGATTTTTCTCTCTTTATTTGCAGTAATATTAAATAGTGTGTAGTGTGATATATTTAATATAAAAAAATGTGTGAACCAACTGTACAACTAAACTGGTAGGGTGAGTCAAGACAATAATTGAGGTCACCCCACAGTCGGCTGACACTCCTTCCCTCACTCGCACACATTCCTCCTCTCACTATACTGTTTGTGCTGTTTTTACACTATACACACACTTTATATATAAGTATCAACATGTTTTATTCACCATAACTGTACAACTAAGGTGATATGGTGTCCAAACAACATAGTGGCCACAAAAAACTGCTTGACGAGAGAGACAGCAGCTACCAGATGACCCCATCGCCCTCACCAAAATGGCTCCTCCCAACATACAGTACACCTTTTGCTGTTATTACACACATTATATATAAGTATCTACATTTAAGTTCACCATAGTGAACCACTTAAGTTGGTATGGGGAGTTCAAACAGCAAAAGTGGGTTGCCACACCGAGCAAGCCAGCCCTCAACACCTTCCACCCCAACATTCCTCCTCCTACAATACTGTTTGTGGTTTTATTACACTATATACACATGTTACATATAAGTATCTACATGTTTTGTTCCCCATAATTGTACAACTAAGCTGGTATGATGTCCAAACAACATAGTGGTCATGCAGTCATGTCATCCTGTGCAATATTCTATGGCATGTTGCACAGCAGCCAGCAGACAACAGCCTCACTCACTCCTTCCCTCACCAAAATGGCTCCTTCCAACATACTCCTTTTGTTGATATACACACATGTTATATGTAAGTATCTACATTTGTGTTCACCATAACAAACCACTAAGCTGGTATTGTGAGCCAAGACAATAACAGGTTGCCACACACAGTCAGCAGACGACACCACCTCCCTCCTTCCTCACCAAAAATTACTCCACCCATCATACTATGCACATTGCTAATTCTCACCACAGTGCTGCTATTATCAGAATCCTGGTCACTAAATCCTGTAAATTAATAATTTTCCACAAGTTTATTTTATAAAGGAACATAAGAAGTAGATTGAAGGTTCTTAGATGGACGAAACAATGGCAGTGTGCTGTGGCTAGCGCTGTGAACATCATGTGAACATTGTGTTCACTGATATCTGAACATTGTACACAGTCTTTATCATGGTCAGGCTCTTCTGTAATACTATCATGGCTAAATAATACTAGTTACATATATTTTGACATTTTTAGGTGATGCTGTGGTTCTGAGATCACCCACGATTTTGTTTAAAAATGGCGTTTGTTTACAAGAGCCCTAAAGAAGCTGATGTGAACCCTGTGTAACCATGGGACTTTTAAATATTACTTGGTACTCCCAGCCATACATAGCTCTGGTGCACCGTTCCACGATAGTTACTCAGCCCAGCTATATATGCATTGAGCCCTTTAAGGGTTAAATAAGAATAACAGCAACATAAAGTAAATATCAGTTTTTCCATTAGGTGAAATCAGGGATAATTGTAATAAAAGAAAAATTAGATGAAAATGATAATGTTGAAAGGTAGTACATTGTGTATAAACAGCTAGGATGCAGGGCAAAAAGAGCTTTGTATCACATCCCCTTAGTTACTGATCTGTAAGCACAGCCCCACACACTTGCTCACTCATCTACTCATACACAGATGCACACACTTGTCTACTTGTACACAACCACACACCATATCTAACAATTGTTACACATTTTAGAAAAAATAATTGAAGATTAAGAACGTAACTAAATGCATTAAAAGCTGAAAATTAAACATTTATAACGTGTGGTCAAATTGTTATATATGTAAATCTTCATGTCTAACCCATGTAATAGTAAATATTCACTTTGCCTCTTTTGTGTTCATTCTTTTTGGATAATTTGTTGGTGTACCATTGAGGTTTGGTCCACATTCTTACTCCCACTTTTATACCGAATATAAACAACAACTAAGAATTCTGTAGAAGACCTATTAGGCCTATTCTAGGCAGCTCCTGTTTGTTTATATCTAAGCAGTCCACTTATTTATCAACTGACTTTTTCAACTTCCCAGTAAATTTGCTTCTCAGATTTTATTTGGTAAATTATTTTATAGGCCTGCAACCCTACTTCTGAATCAGTTATGCTTCTTGAATCCATTATTTCATATTCTGGCTTAATATTTTGAGTGCCTTATTTATATTCCACTTGTAAAACTATTTAAATTATTTGTACACTTGAGTCATGCCCCTGCTTACTCTGTGCCTTTATCAGGTATAGATGGGGGTGTTCTTAATCTCTCTCCGTTGGTGAGGTTCTTAATTCCCTTCTCGCTTGTGTTTGGAGGAAATGAAGGAGGTTGCGTTCTTATCTTGTTTTCGGCTATCTCGGACATTCTTTGCACTCTGGTTGGAGTCCATTACATGGTGTCCTATGGCCATGGCCTAGCATTTTTATACATGCCTGACTGTTGGTGTCAGGGCTATTTTTTCATGTCTTTTGTTCTAAGGGCTGCCTTTCCCAGGTCTTCCATGTGGTTGCTTGATTCAGCTAGCTGGTTGGTTGTCCCCAATATGTGGCTTTTCAGATGTTTGATGTTTTAATGATTTTCATTACTATTTTGTCTATAGCTCAGGGCTTCTAGCTGTCCTTCTGTTGATGATCTCTCATTCCTTGTTGGACGTCCATCAGTCTCGGCTTTTGTGTTCACTTGAGCTTTTGGTGTGTGCAGCTTTTTATATTAACATATGCTGTACTCTCCTAGCTATCTATCTATCTGCAGAATACCCTCTTGCTGTTCTTCCCCTAAAGGTCAGCCTGTCCACCTTTTCTTTTTTTCAGGAGAGCTAGCCTCCTCTATATCGAGGCACCATTATGAGTAAGCTTAGGGAATGACTGAGCAGGTTCTAGAAATTCAGCATTGAATTGAATTTCTGCTGGCAAAAGTCAGCATTGTAGTTGAAGTGTTATTCAGTATTGGTAATAGTTGCCCCCTTACCAGGAATGCTAGGGACTGACCTCTATGTTTTAGCACTATACTAAAGAATATATATTAGTAATTATTTGTATTTTTCCTAATTATATGACATTTCTTTATGTTCTTTTATAGAGAGACAGACAAATTGGTCTAGTGAAAACCATGAATACATATGTGAAACCTGTTACATGGCTAACTTGTTTTCATGTTGGTAGAATATTTACATTAATTCTATGCCTTTGGTCTCTGAAGGATGCCTTTAACAGTGTGATACCATGTTACAAAATCTCTTCCTACCAATAGGCCAAAATAGTCGAGTTTTAGTTGATGGCAACTCTAGTTTATTCCGATCAGCACATCACCTTAATGTTAATAACCATATGTTGAAATAAATAAATAAATTTAATCTGTATTCATTAAGAATATGGCTGTGACCCCTATTTCTTTAATAATATATTTTAATTAGCTGTATTAACCTTGGTAAAAACTCCCAAGTGTGTTGATTGTAGCCTTCATCTGTGTTTCGTCGACAATTAATGCATTTTAGTGCTATACTGTTCCAGGTATACTGGCTGATCAACAGTTGATAATTACTGTCATTACATTTTCTACTCTAGCATAAGGAAAGTCGGCAGTTTTTATTTTATATTACATTTAAGACAGGTTGCAGGCACGCACATGCATTCACTCTGACTATACTGATAATTGGACCTGCCTTTTAATTTTAGTTTTAATTAGGAAGAACAAGTATGTATATTGAATTTATCATACATTGTTGAACGAGTTTAGGGGTACCCAGGTCACTTAATAGTAAGGTATAAAATAATGTTTGAATACACCCTTTATATCGAGAGATAGAGTCCAGCTGATTCCTAATTTCCTTCCCCACTTGACATTCTCAGAAGTATGCTTTGTTGACCCATCCAAGGACTGTAGTGAAAACCCTTTCTTGAGAGTCTACTATTTTCATATTTCCTAATGAAAGCATAATGACCCATGCATAATTCTTTAAGGTGTCTTATTGTTTAGCTGATGTGTGTCATCATTAAGCACGAGGTGTTTAGTAAGTCATACATGTATTGCTCATGTCAGTCAGTGCAGCTGTTAAAGGATCTGTTTCAGCAGTGCTACTGTTTATTATCTCCGCATGGCATTGCTGCTCCAAAAATGTATGTGTGTTAAAAATGTCTGCTTAGATATTTTTTTAATTCAAATTAAACTTGAATGCTAATATTTCTCAATGGAGAGTGATGGGCAACATGGTGCTCGTCTCCAAAGCCATGAGAAAAATATATATTAGATGTCCACAAACTTAACGTTGAAGAATACCCACTGTACAACTGTGGCAACATGTTATTGCAGCTACTAATAGGCATGGTAGCTACTTTATATGAGAAGTCATGCTTTCAGGAACTGGCATGTGAAATTATGCTTAATATATTTGTTTATTTTTCTGTTGTTTTGTCATTTAAAATTAATACATGCATTAATACTTCTTTCTTTGTAAGATTTACTTGGATTTGACACACATACATAAGTGTATATTAAAATGTTCATCAAACATGAGAAAATGCTAATATGTTGACTTTGTTCCTAAACTGATGCATAACCAGGACTTTACAAATGGCTGTGTTTATATTCAAAATTCTTGCACTTTGTTCATTATTTAAAACAAATTGAGTTATTCCTATCATTTCTTGCATTCATAATAGCCATTGTAAGTGACTTTTCGTGATGTCCTTGTACATAGATTTTTATTAGAAATATTGTATTTTGGTAAATTGCCACAAGTGTTCCTACCTATTATTTTGTTTTACAAATTGTAGCTTAATTTTATTTATATTACCATCTTGCATCATTGCTCTTAACATTCACATATAATCACAGAGTCATCACTTGTAGATTGTTCATGTGATATTGTTTTTCACCTCATTTTTCTTCAAAGAGTATTAAAACCTACGAAGCTATATTGTTCGTATTTACTTTGTACCATTTAGCTTGCCATGAACTAAACTATATTACAAGTAATGTCATAATTAAGAAGTTTTATATTGCTGCTTGTTTCAAGCAGAACTGCTGTACTGTATTTGTATGGAGGTTGTGTGGTAACCATGTACAGTACTTTATTTGGAGTTGTGTAGATCTTGGAGTTTTAGGGCTCTACTTGGAAGGGGTTAACTTAGAAATTGGATGGAGTATCTTCCTGTACTAAATATGATGGCCGAAGCACACATCAGAAAATGAAGAAACGATGTTATTTTGGTTCGTCCTGGACCATTATCAAGTCAGACCGAAACAGCGTCGTTTCTTCATTTTCTGATGGATGGTTTGGGCAATATATCTTCAGCCACATTATTGTGACTTATCGCCTGTTTAGCATCAGAAGATTCCTTTTGATTATACGGGATTAACTAGTTTATGTTCTTGAACTGATTAGTCATAAAATATCCAGAGAATCTCTTGGGCTTAAAATATAGTAGGAAGAGAATACTGTGTTTTTTAATTGACATAATTGTACAAAAATACAGTGTTAACATTTTTATTGATGCTTTGCCTACTCCATGTTGCTGAGCCAAAGATATAATGCAGTCTTAATTTCTGAAGAAACTTGTTGCAATTGTTTGCCTTAAGAAAAAAAGAATACAAAATACTTGTAAATTACATTATGTATCAAATAATTTTACTAATGTACTCTGTAAATTGTGAGTAAGTTTGTTTTGTACTAAAACACAACTATTAATAAGAAAGTTAACATGGCAGCAAGGTTCTCAAGATCTTCAGGATTGCGCTCTTGTCGTCACAATTAGTCCCACGCTGTTAGTGTCGTACAAGTGATTTTGATGCATTTACCTATTAAGATAACATAGGAAAAAATGTCATGCAACAGTTTTTTCTTCTTAGTAATATGCTATGCTTTCTTAGTGTCAAGATTTATATTTACTTTCTTTCAACACTGGTCTTTGCTATTTTTATATATTTTTACTTTTTTGTGTATAGAAAGCACAGTAGTGTTTGTTTTTCCATGATCACTGTGAGAGAAGATTTAATGTTTGTACGTGTGTGGTGTAGATCTCTTTAAGACTTAACTGGTAGTGTGAGGTCATACCAGGTGAGGTGAAGTTGTGCCAGCTGCAAGTACAATTCTTGGAGTTAGGCCATCGTAAGTCAAACTATATCATGTACAATGGATATTCATGCATGTTAAAAGATTTTTATATTATTAAGCAATTACATTTTTCCAAGGATATCGGCTGAAGGAGGAGCTGACAATCCCTTGTCACTTGTTCCGTGCAAGTCCTTGGAGACAATGTTTAGTGGTGGCTGTGGCAGGGATCTGATTATCAGATATTCCTGCTGTCATACATTCTTCTAAACATGCATCCCTTAATGGAATATTATGTACTGTATACACTAACATTAATTTAAAATATATTGACTACCAAGTTATAAGCTAAATATTAATGGCTTTTAAATAGTGCGCTTAGTTGTGAAGCAAATGTTCCATTTCAATGTTATCGCTAACCCAAAAGTCATTAGTTGCAAATAGGCAACTCAAGGCTGTGATTAACTGCTACTAAGTACAGTAATATGACTTAACCTGTCAGTGTTAAGACCAAAACATATTTGTATATTTGCAACATTTTTTTCTTTGTCATGCATTCAGACCAGATTAGTATATGCCACACAATTGCCAAACACCTAAATAACTGTCCACCTCCACACCAGTACCTGTTAAGGCACCACAATAATGCTTGTAACATTTACCACTATATTCTGCATGTTGGGGTTGCTTGCTTGGCTAAAAAAAAATTATAATTGAGCTAGAAAATGTGTTAAATAAGGACTTTAAAGTTGGTGCAGTAGAGGCAAGAATGAGAATGTAGGTGGGAGATATACAAGTGAAAGAAATAGCATTCTTAAGTGATGAGTTTGAAAAAGTGGATAACTAGGGAAAAAATGTGATTTTTTTTTAATTGGTGTCTTTATGTTTAACCAAGGTTATTATCTTTGCCAACTGATGACATTTGTTTAATTTGTTATGAAAGGTATTTTGCAAACTTTGAACAAATTTAAGTTTATAGTGAATGTATATTATGCAGTATATTTTTTCCAGCCATTTAGAAACAGTACAGTACATAACTATTATCTGACATTTGCTGGGTGATGTACAGTTTACGGATAACAAAATACTTCACCAGTTATAGAGGAAAAGACAATAGTATGAAAATTAAAACAAAACAATAGCAAAATGATTTAGTTACTTGTACTCCCAAAGATGCTTCAGTCACACATAATGTAGAGTATCAAGTTTTGCCTTACTAAGCTTGTACCTGTGCCAACTTTACTACCAGGATACAATTGAAATATAATTTTGCCTTCAAATATCAGTCTTCCAATATTAAATTCAACAGATCATCACTCTGGGTTACAATCCTTAATGTGTCATATTAGGTCTACATTTTAATAATAAGCATCTACCAACTTTGTTTATTTAGGAAGGGATTGAATCGATTTTCAGATAGATAACCCAAAGGCTGGCTCATATTCTAGTTTGAGATACACCTACACCAAAACAGGTTTATGTCCATCAAAATATGGGGTAGTGTGTGATTGGGAACTGCTGTAGGATTTTTTTTTTTTTTTAATGTGGTTTTCCAAGTGCAGACCGAATAATGGGTGTTAGGTTACAATGTTGTTTACCAGAATGTTGTTTAAATCCAAAATGATTTAGGAACTTTTTTCCTATTTTGATTTAATTTTTAACATTAAATATGGAATATTAAAGTTCCATATGTAAGTTGTATAACTAATAGCAAGAAATAAATTCATTTGATCAAAATTACCTTATCAATGAGATGCAGTTGGTGTGGTGACCGTACTGTCCTCGACACAGCTACTGCACAGCAGTCTGGGTAAATATTGCCTTTGCTTGAAATTTTATTCCTTTTTCCAGTATTTCATTATTAAATGCCATTACAAATTCCTGTGTATTCTATGCAAGATGTTACTTCACAGCATATAAAGTTAGCACATTATTAAAGGGCCCTAAAAAAAATTAATATAGATTTTTATAGCTTTTTCATTAAATAACAGCAATTCAGTTTGTAAGAAAGGCAGTAATTTTGAAGTGTTCTATTAACTTTCTCTAAAATTTTCTCTACAATATGAAGAGTTGTGCCAGCCAGTACAGCTTTTCACGACCTAAATAAAGGTGTGGTGGTGTTGACAAGTACTATACTGTACAAACATTAAATAGGAAAATAGTATTAATAAATGGCCTTGCCTGTATGCAGATTAGTGTTACAAGCAATGCAAACTGTCTGGTTGTGACAATCCAAAAAAAAACCGTCCTCTATTTCTTCTTTGCTAATTGTTAATGTCATGGCCTCAATTGTTAGCTTTAGTACAGTAGTTATTCTTGCAAAAGTTGAATTGATAGAGCAAAGGGCATTATTTAACCCTTTCAGGTTATGTATTGAAGCTTTATACATTAGTGGGCTTTCCTCTTTTTGAATGTTAGCATAATAGTGGCTGTAATTTGGTTTTCAAATATCTAAAAACTAGATCTTTCAGTTTCATTTAGTCAGTAAATACCCAAAATTATTTTTTTTTTTTAGAGGAGTCACAGTATAGGTTCATACAAATTCCTACTACTGTTTTATGTAGCATTATTTTAAAAATATATGTATGGTAAAAACATGTTGAAAAGACACTCAAAGCATTTGTTATGCCAGTATGAGACAGAGTAAAAAAATGTGAAGGTGTATAAAATTTGAGTAGTTACTTAAAGTACAATTACTTTGTTATACCTTAAAAACTTTTATATGCATATTAGTGTTTTGTGTCCTAAGTTGATGGACAACAGTGATTGTCACTTCAAACTAAGTACAGTCTTTAATTATTATGATTGACTACTGTACATAAATGTACTAGTGTGGGACATACAGTACCTCCTATTCCTGGTGTGTCTACCTTCACCAAGTTGACCCTTGCACTATGCTTTTGGCTCGGTTATTATCTGGCATTGGATTGCTACTAAAAAAAAAATTGACTGTTTTCACATTTTTTTAGTTAAATTTCATCTGTACCATTAACAAATTAGTTTTTTCTGCAGTGAATTAAAAGAATTTAAATTTCCATTTTGTAATGGAAAATACAGTCCAGTAACTCAATGAGGTAATCAGTGTTCCAATGAATAAATTATGAAATACAGATAACCAACTAATATACAGTACAGTACTTTCCAAGGAATTTTGTCCCTAAATACACAAAAAAATTATTCTTTTGCTTTTGTCCCCAATGTTTAGTTGTCATTTTTTCACTGTTTTATATCTTTTTATTGTGGTTCTTTACAGATCTAATACAAAATTATGCTCTTTTAATATTTACTATTAATAATTATAGCATTTATGATGGCGACATTCAAGAACATTAACAAAAAAAGTATATACAGTACACAGCATCTTTTCTATCTTGCTAGGATTGCAAATCGAATCAATGTGTATAAATATATATACAGGTAAATCTCTTGGACACTTTGTTATGATGTACAAATCATCAGACTGCATTGTACTTTAATCATGTAGAAAGAAATCACAGAAATGAGTGCAAGGTATGACTGGTATTCTTGGCATATTTTGAGCTATAGTATCAGATGACATTTTAATCTCTCAACCAAATGTGGCAGCACCTACAGGTTCAAACTCCTCTTCTTAGGGCCATATGTCTGATCAAAGATTACAGCATTTGAAACTGACTTGTGAAGCATTGGGGATAAATGAGTGTTGTTCAGTTCTGAGAATTGCAATGAAATGGTTAAAATAAACTTGTAAATACAGTACCAGTACGTTTCAGAACAAAACTAGTTATGTATAAATTTGCTTCAGAATTTTTCTTTCAAGTCTTTCAGACTTAAACCATTTATTTGTATACATTCTTTTGTGCAATAAGGAAATTAACGTTTAAAAAATACTTGAAGACAGTAATTGTACTGACTACTGTGTATGGTTTTTTATAAAAATGAAAACCTGATGTGCAAAGTAGGCCATGGAGCAAATTTAAATATATTTAGTGTTAATCTATGATTATTTTCTTGAGTACTATTTGCTTTTCATTCAAATAAACTTGTTTGGTAAAGTTAAAACCTAATTACGTACATATCTAAATGTGGGTGGTTACACGACAAATATTCAGCCATATTAAAGTCACATATACTGCACTACAGTAAATCATAATATTTTGTAAACAGTCCTGTATACAATTTCGAGGATTGGCCATGTTCATTGTTCACGATGGATAACTGCTTGCACATATAGTATTCCTATTCAAATTTCACACCAATACATGTGTAGGAATGTTTCATCTAGTTAAATGCAACTAAATTATCATAAATTATTTAAAGGTGTAATTATTAAGCCCATTATATGTTAGATTTAAGCACATCTAGTTTGTAGTCTTAACCAGATATGAATATTTGAATAACAGTTTTGTACTCGTCTCGATTCATTAAATATGATGGATGATGCTTTAAAATATTTTAATCATTAATAAAAGAATTTGAAATCCAATTTCATTGTCATCCTTAAAAGTAAGTTAGTACACTGCATTGGAATTGATGGTGTCTCGCATGCCTGTGTGATACCAAACGTTTTTATCAGTTAACAAGAGTACTGTACTATATTTTGTTTTCACCTGTATTGTACTATATTGTATTGCAAATTTGTCTCAACTATTCATGTTAAATATCCCCATTACAATCAATCAGCTTAAACAAAAGTTGTGCACATTATAAAAATGTAAATTATGTAAACCCATTTGCATAGGAAAATATAAATAATACCAAATGATAAATTACATTACAGTTAAATGAGAAAATTCTACCAAATCCACTAGTACTTTTCGTGAAAGATTTAAAACTAGCTAAACGTCAATGTAATGTGGTACTTTGCACTTACCAACCCAGCACAAGATATTTTTTTTTGCTTGCTTGCTTGCTGATAACAGTACAGCATCAGCAAAAGTTAGAAATATTAGAATGCATTTAGAAATGCAAATTAAACCAAAGAATTACAAAAAAAAATTGTTGCTGGAGGAAATGTGTGTTTTTCGCAACAGGGAATGTAAGTACCGATGCAAGTGAAGGAGGTTAACTTTGAATTTGCCAATAACTGTTGGAAGCACTCAGTCTGTCCTCCCATCCCCATCTATTTTTCTTTCCCATAAAGAGATACACAGTATACACCAAGAAGTGTCCTGCAATTGGCCTTAAACCCAACTCTTAAATTAAATCTTTTGGTCACAAATCTTCCCTAGCCCTACACCACAAAGTTGTGTTTTTCAGAATATATTGTTTTATAAGAATCCACTGATTATAAATGAAGGCATGTTCTATATACAATAGGAATTTAAGTATTGAAAGTAAAAATACAGTTGATAAATTTAGATTACTGTACTTGACAATACCCGACACGCTAAAGACTGATGTGCTAAAAGTTATCAGACAGTTGAAAATACAATATTTCATCTGATGAACAGATGGCAAAATATTACAAATTATTTGGCAACCCATTTGCCTTGGTACTATACCGAAGATCGACTCACTTTAGTAATTTTTGGCCAGATATGTCCTAAAATTATCTGGAATAACCAAACAAGTATTTTGTATATGTAGTGTGAAACATGTCATGGTAGAAAGTTTAACAATGTGATTAGTTTTAAATGTGTTTATAGCATTGTTTCAGTATTGCAGACTAATAATTTTAAGCATAGGAGTATAGTTATTAAGTTTTTTTCTACAAGGGGATAGGTGTCATAGCTGCTAGTGTATGGATTACTTTAAAAGGCATTCCAGTTTTTATATGTATATTTGCATTTTCATATATATTTGTGTATAGCTTAATGTTCATCAGAAAAATTGCAATACTTAGGGAAAAATGACTATGCCTCACACTTGATGGTTGTCTATGAAATAATAAAATGAGTTCAATGAAAAAAAAAAAAGAAGAGCCCTAACTGGGACTTAGCACTTGGTGCTGCCACCAGGCTAAGTCCTGCATTGTGATATTGTGTAGCTGTACCAGTGTTAACACACCAGTCTCTCAAACTTGTGTTTCTACTTATTTTCTATTAAATATCTTTGAAAGATTATATTTTTTCTTTAACCCAAAGAAAATCAACGATGCTGATATCGAGAGCAAAATCACATTTTAAATTACCGTTCTGTGTATTTAGTAAGTGTAGACTAGGGGTTCATCATAGCCTGTGCTACTTGGAACTTGTGTTCATAGTAGCTGAATCTAAAACATCAAACAACAGTGGTGTAGAATGTTTCATTAGTATATGTTCCACTCATTTCAAAAATTGGTGCCTACAAATAAAAGATACAGGGTTAGAGTCACTATCAAGTGACAAGGGAAAATCATATTCATGCTACTTTCTTTTTGGACGAATCATCTATCGTTGCTATTCAAATTTATTACCGATGCTTCTAAAATCTAAATGGGGTTTAAACTTCATGGGACTTTTTGGCAGCTGAATCAACTAGTTTAATCTGGATAATGCCTATAAGACTGGGTACCCAGGTTGTGTGTTCACTGAAGATAAATCCATTGTTGAATCCCCATTACTTTTGGATTTGAGGAGATAAAAGATGCAACAGCTACAAGAACACTATTACTTGTTACAACATTATTTTGGTTGAGGAAAGAGAATTACAGTATATAGTTGCAATGTCCAAATATGTAGTCTCAGAAAGGTAGTGGTGGTACATAATTATGTTTGAAAATAACAGAGTATACCAACTCCATCCACTACATGATGCACAGTACTGTACCAAGACAATGGTGAAGCTGGCTTTGCAGGGCAGCCATAATCTAATTCACAAAATTAGAAATGTGTAGTTTTAGATGTGTTCTCTCTACACATCAGATAATACAAGACTAAATGAATAAGGTACCTAATCTAGAAATAAATTCCTCACTCTAATTTCTACTGTGTTAATATGATCCCCGCCATTAGAGAGATGTTAACAAATAAATTATGTACTAAAATGTAACCTATCCCAACAGCTGTCCTACACAAAAATAGTTGGAATGTCCTTAGCTAGGTTATGTATTGGTCACACAAGATTAACTCAAAGGGACTTAATGGGACAGACTTGCAGCTTTGTCAGAACTGTATTGTTCCAAGTTACTCAATGCCTAGAAGACTTGAATTTCAGAATTATCATTAATTTTACCTTACCGCTGTTCTTGTATACCACATGTCTTTCTATAAAATCCTTAGCATATCAAACTCCACTGACGTTAATCATCTTGTGTCTTTCTACTGTAATGTTGGCATTCTGAATCATATCTAGCAATTTTTTAATATTCTGTACTATAGACAGTGCTATATAACCATACTGCAATAATGTTTTTTTTCTAATTAGTTATTTTGAGGAGGGTAAGGTGTTTGGTGCATTCATGACATAAGTAAAGGATATGAAAAGTTTCACATTAACCTTTACAAACAATTGGATTTTAAATAGTGTGTGTATGATGAGCATGTTTTCTTGTGAATGTCATAGAATATGTTTTAGCAACATAGAACTCTAAACCTTGTTTAGGTGTCCGGGATGATGTACAGTACTACTAATTATCCAAGCATAGTTACAGGATGAGAGCTACGCTTGTGGTGTCCTGTCTTCCCAGTACTCTTACATACTGCTGATGGTATGAAGTTTTCTTTATATACAATATGGTAAAAGTCAGCATTACAATAGCAAATCCTGAAGTCAGCAAGAACAAATGACAACAGTTATAAAAACCTCAAATGATGTGCTAATGGAAGGACACACTCATTTAATTGATTAATTTATAGTTTAAATATAGTTTATAATTTACAACTGTGTTTTCCATGCCTTTAAGACAAGCAGTCTCACTGCATCTACTACTCAACACTATCTTCTTGGTTATAGAATGATTACTTTACCAAAACAACATGCAGAGAATTTCATTTTATTTTACTACCCATATTTATTATTATTATTAACACTACTGCATAGGTCTATATGTTAACTACTATACATACTAATCACAGTACTTTAATCACTTTCAATATTTCTAATGCTGTCTTTTTAATACCCAAGATTTCTTTCTAAACTAATAGATTTGCCAATGCAAAAATCATTGTGAAAATATCTTAAAATTAGCAGTTACTTAAATTTCAAAGTTCATGCATTCTTGTTTTATTAAAAGAAACTTTTTTTTTTTAACACTTTCGTGCTTGGCGCACGAGCGCTGCAGACTTTCCCGAAATGCTCCCGATGTTTCAGGCGAGCGTGCGGCGACACTGAAATGTGTATACTCGTTTCAGTTTTCTCACCTTAATTCTCGTGCTACGTCGTTCCTTGTGGTATCATTGTGTTCGCAATAGAGTTCCCTACAGGGATGTATGCATACAAGGTTCAAAAGCCCGGCATGAACCCCCCCCCCCCACAGCAAATCCTAAAGTCAGCCAACTGTTACCCGTGAGCGAGCACCAATTTGCACACCCGCAACCTAATGTGTACACTCTTTTCAGTTTGATAACATCAATTTTCGTATTGTCTTTCATTTTGGTATCAAATTGTTCGCAATATAAAGGTGCACATTTTAAAACTATCCCATAATAGAACAATAAATGGAATTTTAAAAAATATTTTAACCAGGGACGCAACGTGCGTCCCCGGCTCGCACACGTGAGAAAAATAACGGACACACAGGCATGCCAACTTGCGGTAAAGTGTTAATACAGTAATTTATGGGTGTGATGCTCAGCATTGATTTTAATGCTGTATTTTATATTAATTGCAATAATGGATAATTTGCTACAATTAAAATCATTTTCCATCACAAACAAAAAATATGTTAAGATACACAAGACCACCTTAAAGGTCAGTCATATGCAATGACTGTCAACCAATTCTTTAGAAATAAAGTTATTCCATGATCGGTTAGATATGAGAAAAACAACAAATTATTGAAAAAGAACATAACTGTACTCTTACTGTTCTGGGAAATAAATGCGTAGTTTCAATTTGTTAGCCATGTTGCCCATCAGCCAGCCACCTGTGATGTCACAAGGAGGGATTGACAAATCACCATTATCAGGAATCTCCTGATATAATCTGGCTGTCTGGTCATCCAAATCTGGAGCAGCATGCAAGTATATTTTAACTAGTGACCTATTAGGGAAATTAAGAAATGACCTATTAGGGAAATTAAGAAATGTAACCCAAATATTACTTACAACTTAAGGAAAGTCCATTCATTAAGCATAATATATTTTAATGACCCTACATTGCAATGGCAGAATTAATATTACAGCAAAATGTTACCCCTTGAAGACAATATTTTTCAGCCTGTCGTTACAGCTCAAATCATCACACCCACAAGAAAATTTTCAGGAGTTTAATCATGTTAATTTCTCTCATTCCGTTACTTAAAATGACTACATATTAACTAAAGACTAAGTTATTATAAGTGATAAAGCACAACAAAATGCATTACAAAACCTGTCATATTATGGTATAAACTACATGTTAAGTTTTTTGTTTCCAATTTGTAGGTAACCTTAATTTTTACTTATGTTGAATAATTATTTGTTTAATTCAAGTATAGAGTATTTTATTATTTTATATACTAATTGCACTGACAATATTGAATAAACCTTAAAACTATCATTCTCTTTTCCAGCTGGTGCTTAGTTCAGAAACAATTTCATGTTTCCAAGGCATTATTTATTAGATATATAGACTTTACAGGATTCTTAAAATTTGTGCTTTACTACAACTTACAGATTTTAAGAACTAATAAAAATCATTGACATTTTAAAATTCTATCCACAATACACCAACTCTCCCATAACAATGGCACCCTCTGATCAACCAACATGTTAGGATTTCCTATGAAGCAAATTATTTGTATAGAGCGCCTTTGATGGTATAAATTACAACCATATTTAGGCTATGGAAACAATACTTAAAAAGCCCGATTCCATTTGATAGCCTGAATAATATCCATATAATGAACCCTAGCTAAAAATGTTGATACCAATTCATATTCCAACTGTCCACCTTGGCGATCTGATGCTCCTCCTCTCATCTCCTCCATTCTTCTTCTCTGTCCAACATTCTTTTTTCCATCTGTGCTGTGTGTTCGTGAGAGCCGAGCTTCACATAGCACTTTGGTGGTAAGACACAATAGCCACTGCATGATCTAGAAGATAATACACACGAAGTTACAGGAAGTTTTGCTTTGTTTCTGAAAACAGACATTGTTAAGGCTGAAATGGGAGGCATTTTTTTAATTTTTAAAAGGGAGCATAAGGTATGGTATCTAAGGTTGTATGAACATAATTCAGTTGTTTTTGGTGAAGTGCTGCAAAACTAGGTGTGTTCATCTCAATGTTCTGTCATTATGTCATGGCACACGTGATGACTTTATGTACAAAACTTCCACATATCTTCAATAAAATGCTCACAGAAAATACTGGAACTTTAAAAAGATGAAAAAACATCTCTCCTCTGTGTTTAATGGAAACTCACAAGTAAAAGCAGATTCAAAGTGAACAGAACACCAGCTTTTATCTAGCTTATTTGTTCAGTGTGTTAAAACTTGACATCACTGAACATAACCCCCTTAAAGAAGCTTTCCCCAAAAACTTGAGAACAAACATTCAAGAATTCATTAAAATACATGGGGTTATTAAAGAAAATTGAGACAGTGTACTGCAGCTGCACTGTCTTGTAGCTAGCTATATCAAAAATTTAGTGAAACCGCAAAAATCAGAATACTGTACCACCAAAAAAAAGATTTGAAGCAACGGTTTCAAGCTCAACAAGCCACAATGTAGAACTGAGAACAGGAGATGCTGTTTCACCCATAGGGTTATAAACCCATGGAACAATCTATCTGCTGAAGCCATAAATGCCAAAACTGTTGGATTTTAAAATACAACTAGAAAAGATCATCGGAGCAAATGGGGAAGCCTTTGCCAAGTCGCCGGCTTGTCAAATATTACCAGAACAAACGAGGACACCTTCAAGAGAAAACAAGATAGTTTTCTTCAAGAAGTGCTGGACCAACCAGGCTGTGGTGGATATGTGGGCCGGCGGGCCGCTCCAAGCAACAGCCTGTTGGACCAAACTCTCAAGTCAAGCCTGGCCCCAGGCTGGCCTCTGGGGTAGAACAACTCCCAGAACCCAATCCAGGTACAAAAATAAAATTAAATTAGTAACTGCCTCACCACAGACGCTAATTACTCAGCTCAGAGACTGTTGTTAGCCATTTCTTGATGCATTTATGCTACAAAAGCCACTGACATTCATTAAACTGCATAACTAGCATCACAAAATTGTTGCTTGCTTAGCTAAATGAAATTTGGAGTTTGGTTCCTGAGCCCATTATGTTCCTCTGTAACTTTTTCCACTACCTCCCCATGGGATGAAAATGGGGTGCATAATAAATGAACAAATCAATCAACTACTGGAAGACTTTATGGATATCTGTTTGTAGGGTTTCCGTGTCTTCTACAAAAAAGTACATTTTCATGCTGATTTGGTATTATCCACAAAAGGTGATAGGAAAGACTTGGTACTGTGTTCCAGAGAGGTAGAGTGCACAACCAAGGTGGCCTCAAGGCATGTAGGGAATGAAAAGTCTAAAATAGATTAAATTAATGAAGAACTACCATGAAATGCTCCGTACTGGATATCTCCCTTAATTAAGGAAAGTTTCGAGAGGAAACAAGACGTCAGAATTATAAATGGCAAGATATATAGATAAATGAACAGATATGGTTCACATAGCCCTAGTGATGCTCCATGAAAAGTTATAAGAAACATCATACATTACTAAATACTGTATGATTTATTCTTACCTCAGTGTGCGTGGGCAGCGTAAGTGCACGTCGACTCAACCATTTGCTTGGAGCCCAGAGTATCAACTGGCATAATGTTGCTGCAATGTTTACACTGGGTCGCTGGCAAAAGGAAAATATTTTAAAATAAATTTACATGCCTGTTCACAAATAAAGAGATACAGTACTAGTTTAGCCTTGCATTACTGCAAAGAGAGCTAGGAATACTGTACTTACATTTCAATTCATCCCACATATTGGGTTCACTACAATCCAAGCCCCAATCATGCATTCCAGTAACAGATTATTGTAATACCAGTATTTTCCAAAACTAAATTGTCTTTTATTCATGCAGGGAATGTCTTCTGGGGAAAACAAATGTAAATCTAAATTATGCATCACCAAGAACTGTCACTCAGCTGTTCAAAACTTAAAAAAAAAAAAAAAAAAAAAAAAAAAATGTATACTTGCACAAATACTGTACTATATATACAGTACTTTATAAAACAAGAACATATTGTATGAATAAAGAAAAGTGCAGATGGCATATTGGCCCTTGCAAGACAACAACAATTTATACCCAACCAAACCCATTTATATATTTGTCTAACCTCCACTGAAAATCTAGCAAACCCACATTTATTATCTTATCTAGCAATTTGTTCCATAAATCAATAATCATTTTTCCTAAACTAGTATTTACTCAGGTCCTTTCCAAATCTGAACTTATCCATATTTATTCCATATTCAGGAAAATAAGCATAAAGTTTCCTAACCTCGAAATTAAGCATCACTTTCAAAGCCAATCAAAACACCACATTTCTAACATCTACTTAATTAGAATTTAAAGCCATAAAGTACGCACATTTCTTGGGTTACGGCGTAAAAGGTCATGAATCAAGTGTTTCACAGAAGACGGAACACACTTTGGTAAACGAGGCAACTGAGACTCTTTGTAGGTAGCAGAGTCCAAATATTTGGGTCTGTTTCCTAATGTATTCTGCTGAGAACCACAAAATGGATTTTCAAGTCCATAAATTTCATACGCCAGAGCTCCAACTGCCCATAGATCTGAGTGAGTGAAGTTCACAGATCGCAAGAGGCCAGGTGTAGCAGTCTTAACCTGTGAACAAAATAAGCCAATTATACATTTAGTTTGCACCTATATGCAAATTCAGGAAATATGTTCGTAATTGCTAAATAAATTACAGTACAAATAGTTTTTATTACACAAAAATTAGTCATTTACTAACTATCTGAAACTATTTCCTTGGTAAAATACTAAGCTTCCACCTGTGTCCTCTTATTTGTGTTCTACCCATGCAAAATAGTTCGTCTTTGTCCACCCTGTCAATTCCTGAGAATTTTGTAGGTGATGATCATCTCTCCCCCAACTCTGTTGTCTTCCAGGGATGTGAGGTTTAATTCCTGCAGCCTTTCCTAGTACAGTAACTTGTACCTCTCAGCTCTGGGACTAGTCTGGTGGCATAACTCTGAATCTTCTCTAACTTTGTCTTGTGTTAACAAAGTATGAACTCCAGGATTGGTCTAACCAGTGATATACAGGTACAGTACAAGGTTCTGGATTCCTTAATCACTTAACTGCACCAACCGAGTATTCTCAATCGGTGGGAAACTGCGCCAACCAAGAAAACTCTGATTTTTTCGTACCCATTCTAAATGTGTGCGCGGTTGGTTGTGTACGAAATGGATTCTTAGGACCTCCAGTGAGAGGCAGCCATCTTAGAAAAAATCCCCAGAATGCCCTAGGGCTGCTGGCTGGGTTAGTACTGAGTGAGCAACCATGAGTGGTGCACGTGCCTCTGGCTCCCAAACACCTGTCTGACAGTGTTGAAATATCGTTCTCTGTCCATAAAATTCAAACCTTATTGTTTGAAGAACAGAAGGGTCATAATATTGGTGAAGCTAGGCGCAATAAGGACCTAACACAAAGGTCGGATGTAAGTGATACAGCACTGACGAGGACAATATAGCGAGCATATCCAGTTGTAGCTTTGAGCGCCACTCTTGCCCACCCATGTCATCTCCAATTTTTATAGATGATACATAGATGAATCGTTTACTACATTCAGTGATGATTCATCTGATAGAAGTATCATAGATTAACAGTGTTAACGGCTTCCATGGTGGTGTTTTCCATAGATATTTTCAAGAAAAGCTGAATCTCTTCTTGACTCATGGACACACTTTGCGGCTGGCTGAATCTCTTCGTGTGTGGGACCTTACAAAGTGATCTTTTCCTGTAATCTTTTCAAGACTACCTTACGTTTTACAAGCTTGGCTACATACCACCTACAGGTACTAATGCCAAGGGTGTACGCGAGTGCGTTATTTGCAAGCACACTGAACGAAGAAACAGGAAGGGAAAATCTATCTGTACCTGGTGCAACGAGATCGAAGTCGCGCTGTGTACCATGGACTACTTCGTTAATTATTACTCACTTCCAAAGTACTGAGTGTGTAATACAGTGTGTTACTGTGTAAATAGTGTATGAAACTGTACATATTGTAATTTTAGTGAATTTTTAACAAGTAATATTGCGACAATAAACATTTATTGTTGACACATTAATGACATGTATCACAGTTCCATGGAACATTATGAACGTTCTACTGTATACATATTGTAAAGGACACAAATATGCATATACGATAAAAAAAAACAAATAGAACCGCATTGGAAATACATAGAACAAATAATTGAAAATATATTTGTGGCAACATCCGGTGCTTGAATGGCCCGCGCGACCGTGTCTGGGCGTGTCACGCACGGGCGACCAGCCCCTGATGACATCACAGCGCACCTTGTCCACGTCCCCACAGCCAAAGTAAGTGGAATTTGGTATTTATGTTTACATAGATATGTTCAGGGAAGGGAATTTATCATTTTACGAAGAAAAAAGAATTTGTTGGGAACACGTTATTTCATGTGCACAGGGGGAATTTCACAATAAACTCAGCGCAGCACGGTGGTTAAGGAAGTGTGTTTGGAAGTCCAAACAAGAAATGATAAACAAGAAGCGGATCTTAGGCAAGCAATGAACTGGTAACCAACAGTAAACGGGTACAAAACACTGTCGATAGAAGTCCATAATAATTTTTGGATGTTTAGAGAAGGAAATTTCATCTAGGGTGGACTGAGCAGTAGAAGAGATGATAATCATAGAAAAAATAGTAGGATTAGGAGAAGGCCTAAATTCAAAGGAACATGTTAGTGATTTTAGGAGAATAGGAAAATATGAGAAAGACAAGAACCACCCCTTAAGGGTGACGTCTAATGGAGTGAAGTATATGACAGAAGTGCTTCGGAATACCAGAAAATTGCAATGTGACGAGGATGGCAAACTTTGGTCAATAAGACAAGACCTCTCAAAAGAGGACAGAGAGAAACTGAAAATGAGCCTGATTGAAGCAAAACATCTAAATGGGGATAGAAATGAAGAAGAAAGGAATTCTTTTTTCTACAGTGTCAGGGACTGGAAAGCTTGTGAAATGGTACATAAAGACAAAGCAACAAAATCATTAAAGGAAGGGGTGTAAAGAACAAAGGGAAGGGGAACATATCCCTGAAAGTAGTACAGTATATACCAACATAGATGGAGTGAGATTGAAAATATTGGAGTTGAAATATATAATTCAGCTCAAAGTCCCAGATATTGTTGCATTAACAGAGACGAAACTTGAAGAAAATATATTAAATGAGGTCGTATTCTCAAGGGGCTACTCAGTTTGGAGATGTGACAGGAAAACTAGGAAGAGGGGGAGGAGTGGCTGTGCTGGTGAAAGAACACCTGAAGGTAAAAGAATCAATATTTGAAAACCCTTGAGATATTGACATAATGGCATTGCAGCTCTGGAATCAAGATGATAAGCTGATAATTTTAAATGCCTACAGCCCACCAGCAAGCAACACATGGACAAAGGAAGAACTGGATGACAAACGAGAGGGCCTCATAAAGGTCATGATAGAGATTATGTTAAGAGCTGGCAAAGATAAATCCCGATTGTTGATACTGGGGGACTTCAACTTTGGCAATAGACTGGGAGGCCTACGAGGCAAGAACAGAGGACATTTGGACAGGCAGGTTTGTAAACCTCATCTTGGAGACATTCATGTATCAACACGTCAAGCAGGCCACAAGAATGAGGGAAAGGAATATTCCGTCAGTACTGGATCTAGTATTCACCAGGAAAGAAGAAGAGGTATTTGACATGCGGTACCTTCCTCCCTTGGGAAAGTGTGATCACGTCCTCTTGGACATTAAATACGCTATGCGATATAATCTAGTAGGGAATGGGGAAAGTGAAACAGCTGTTAAACCCAATTTTAAGAGAGGATGCTATGGGGAACTTAGAAATTTTTTTCATGGGGTATAATTGGACAGACTTGTTGCTAGGCAAGGAAGTAAATGAAATGTATGCCAAATTTTTCAAAATATACGATAAAGGCACACAAACATTCATACCAAAACAGACATGCAAACAGACAGACAGATCAAGACACAAGCATGGAATCATTATAGAAAGAGACCAAACTCTGAAACATACCAGCGATACAAAGATTCAAGAAACAACTACACGTCAATAAGGAGAGAGGCAGAGAGGAACTTTGAGAACGGTATTGCAGACAAATGTAAATCAGATCCAGGCCTTTTCTATAAATTCATTAAAAGCAAGTTGCAGGTAAAGGATAATATTCAGAGGTTGAAAATGAGGGACAGATACACGGAAAATGAAAAGGAAATGTGTGAAACATTAAACCACTTGTAAAGTGGTAGTGCATCCTAGGCCAAATGTGTCATTCCTTACTACATGGCTATATTATTAATTAATGCAAATAAACTACTATTAATACTGTATTATACAGAAACTGACACTTCTGCAATATTTATAATTAAGCTAACCGATTAAATTCATGCATCAGCAATTTCTTACCTCGGGAGCCATTAATGCAGCATTGCCTTGCCTCGGGTCTGATTCACGAGAAGGAAAAGGTACAGTCATGTTGGATGAATCAGTAGTAACACTACAACCAAAATCAGTCAAAACTAGCAATGGGTATTGCTCTCCTTCAGCCAGTGAGAGAAGAATGTTGTCTGATTTGAGATCTCTGAAACAAACATTATCCTTTTACAATTTGTATGCACAAAGTTTACAGCTAATCAGTACCACATTTTCCACATCAACTGGATGTGGAGCCAATGTTCCAAAAATAAAATAAAAGAGCAATTCACAAAATTCACAATATGGTCAATCAGGTTCTACAAAATCTCATTAGAAAAAAAATTGAAATAGATACAGCCTACAGTGTGCATGAAAGTGTACAACAACAGTTGTTTACAAATGTTGACAAATGAATGGCATAAATGTGAAAAACCAAGAAGTAGAGCAGTGGAAATGGATAATCTAGCTCGTGTGTGGTGTTAGAAAGGAATGAAAATATCATGGGACACACGAGTCAATAAACCACAAGACTAGGAAACGATTACTTATATATGGTCTGGGTTTGGTGACAAAATGATGACAAAACAAGGTGAAGAGACTGCACTAAAGCTAATCTAAGAGAAGTAAAGAGTAGGCCAAAAAAGATGGGCAGACATGCAGGCGAATGTGGACAATTAAGAAGACATAGGAGGAGTCAGTGCTGGGTGGAAAGCTTGTAACACTGAGGCAAATGTACTGGTGTTTTAACATACAGTAATCCCTATGACAATTTACAAGAAGCACTGTTCACATTGTCTAATCAAGAGGTATACAGTACTACTTATACTGCTGAATAATAAAATGAAATGATATTTCCCAATCTATTTTTTAATTGCAGTAACCTTCTTTCACTATATTGCTCATTTTGTTTTTCTCTTGGCTGATATTGGAAAACAGGGGATACAGTTATGATACTGTATGTATGAAATGTTTACACATTATTAAGAAAATCACAGCACTTTTTCCCATTACTGTAATTGCACAGTACAATTTTCCAATTTAGTTTCTGGCAAATTCTCGACAACCAATCAATTATTTTTACTCGGCAGCATTTCATAACTTCTGCACATAATCTATCAATGTCTGCATATTTCCCACACTTCAGCCTCTGCGCTGATGAGTATCTATTCCATAAATATATCTTCCAGTATTCTATAAAACATTTCAGTGCTGCATAACACAAGATGATCTTTGTTACTAAAGAAATCTCAAATCTTTTGCTGGTTACTATTACCTGTGAGCCACATTATGGTTATTGATATGAAGTACAGCCTCTAACAGCTGCGTCAGCAGTAGAAGCGATGTATGATCAGGAGGAGTGTGCCTAGTCAAGTATTCACGCAAACTCATATCATACCTGCAAGTGATGCACAAAATATATAGTAGAGATTGTCCTGGTTCAAAGGCAACCTACATAAATTATTTCCAAACTCATTGATGGAAAAAAAAAATCAATGCATTAAATAGTGAACAATCTTAAGTAACACAAAAGTAATATCTGTATCAGGTCTGTTAAAAGCAGCAAGAGTTGAACATTTCATGAACAATCAGTAGTGCATTAAGATTAGCAAATGCTTCTCTCTATCTACTTTTAAGTTCATTGTTTATTTCACTTGCATTAGTAATACAGTACAGTACTTAATTTCTTCTAGCAGCAACACCTAACACTAATAGCAAAAATAAATGAATCACAAATATATACAACTAAAATTATGATAATGTAACCAGATCAAAAACAGCCTGGCAAGGAAAGTAATAACAAAAAGTAAAACACACTCAAAAACCAGTGAAGAGCAGGGGTGCCATAGGCACAATTAGAGAGAACTGTATAAACATCAAGAGTCCACGGTTGTTCAACATCCTCCCAGCGAGCGTTAGAAATATTGCCGGAACAACCATGGACATCTTCAAGAGGAAACTAGATAGTTTCCTCTTGAAGAGGAAAACTAAACTAGATAGTTTCCTCCAAGGAGTGCCGGACCAACTGGGCTGTGGTGAGTATGTGGGTCTGCGGGGCCGCTGCAAGCAACAGCCTAGTGGTCTAAACTCTCACAAGTCAAGACTGGCCTTGGGCCGGGCTTGGGAAGTAGAAAAACTCCCAGAACACCATCAAGCAGGTATCATGTGGTGAACCAAGCAATTCTGAAGAGTGCATTCATTTATGCACATGTGAAAATTAAGCACAAAATTTATGTATGCACATGAATGCACCACCCATTAAATTTAGCAATATGTATTTTAATGTTTCTTTCACTCTGTGATTTGCAATTAAAACTTTTAAATTTAGAAACATTTTAACATTTTTCCATTTTCTTTTAAATTTTCAGTTAAAAGTTAATAATTCCTTAACAACTGCACCACAAAGTTACCTCTTAAGTGTTCAAAAGAAACTTGATAAACAACTGTATGTTAGACAGCGAGAAGTGGTGTCTAACTGCGTGGTTAACCAGACCACCAACCAGGGTCACCAGGACACCGATCCACTTCTAGGTAGCCAAGGTAATTATTCCATGTCACTAACAAGCCAACTGCCTTTGTCAATAATAGCCCATATGGTCTACATACATGTGCCTACTGACAAGTCATGCCTAGTCTCTCACCAGACATACATGGTGCCTCGTGCTTTAGTCATAATACTGTATGTACCACGCAATTAAGAATATCAATGTCAAGACAATTTTCACCTTTTCATAACGCAAAATAAACTCATGTTCCTGCCATATCCTCGTGGGTTAATTCGTGCTGGAAGTGCATCTGGATACAGGTGCATTGAGTCTTCTAGGAAGGGTATGCGATCAACAAATACACAGGGCATCTCCACAATATTTGGATGGGGTGGTAGATTCATGTGTTTACTGCAAAACCTGATGAAAAAAAATTCATCTAATTATGAAAGTTTTTTTACAAATTAAATCACATTTACACAGTATTTATAACCATTACACCAGAGCATGAACAGATGCTCAGGTGCTGTGTTTTTAGTGTTGGTGTTGATGATCCTGTTAATTCCTCATTTCTTTAATTAAGGTTAATGGGTATATGTAGTTTAAGTAGTTAATTGATATATTGCCACTCATCTTTAAGGAACTATTGGGCACAAATTCTAGAACCCCTGAGAAAAAATACAATAACTATACCTCATCATGTCTTATTATCATTGAATTGTTTTGTTCCTAATCCCAGACCTAGTCATTTATAGTTTACCTTAAACCCACAAACCTAACATTTCCATACATTCAATCAACTTTAATATTAGTATCGCCCCTCAGACTTGCTGACATTTTAGCAAAATTTGTCTAAACTGCTAGGCACCATCAATAATACATATTTTGAATACATTGGCAACTTAATGCAAATAATAAGGGACAAAGTAAGAATACCTAGGTAGATAATACAGATACTACTTCACTTTCCACCAAGGTTCCAATTAACAAATCCTTGAGATTACTGAAGAATAAACTACCTTCCTCTTAACACTACCCATCCACTACCCTCCAATGATTTCATCAGCCCCAATACCCTCCTGTGCAAAAACTGAATTTTAAAAGGAAAGCATCTACTGATTAACCTACCCAAGTTGATCTTTCATCACCTCATTCTTTTTATATGTTTGCTGACAATTTATGTACAAATTTAATGTAAATTCTCAATAGTTTGTAAGATAAAGAAATATATACCTTTCCTGCCACTCAATTTGTTCTTCATCCAATTGTAAACTTCTTGCTGGAATCATTTCTTTATACATAGCTCTAAGAATAGCAGGAGCATTGGACTCAGCTTCATAGTTAAACATCATCTTCACTGCTAAGGGGTATTCTTGTATATTAGTCTTTTCTTTGACCACTGCTGGAAAGAAAAATAACCAAAATTATTCTTGCTTAACACACAAATTACCCTGCAAAAAAATATTAAATAAAGATTCATTAAATTAAGAACTTGTGTAAAAAACATTTAAAACTCTGACTCGTGCATTCACTTAATGCTATCTGAACTAACTATACTAGAGGGAGATCATTCTAAAACATGACAAAAATACATTATAGAGCAATGGAAGTACAGTATGTTTATTAAAATAATGCAGTTTTAACAATCTTGTCTTAGCCTACATGTCTATTATACCAAATTACAAGATAACATTTACATAACTACGTTTGTCTCACACTGACTCTTCCAACCACAGCCATTTATTAAATAGCTACTGTATATGTAAAATTTCAACCATGCATTTTTTAACAGTTGGCCTCTTCAAAAATATTTAAAATTTAGAAATATAGTGTAAAAGAGAACTATAAAGGAGAAAACAGAAAAGTTCATTAAGAAGTGCAGAGGAATGGAGACATTTGAACAATTAAAAGATGAGAAGAGAAAGAAAATTCTAAAAGAAAAAGATACGAGCAAGAGAGAGCAACATTTGTTCATTGAAGTTTCCAAAATATATTTCTTTATTACCCGATTCATGATGTGTAGTTGTTGGACTGGCCACAGCCCCTTGAACAGATTCCATGGTCAATGTCCTCTTCATGTTGCTGCTCGACTTCTCTTCTGTCTTGAACTTGACACGTTTAGTGTGATCCTGTGGCTTCTGAGTATTGCAGGCCAAACTTTCTGCTTCCAATTCTACACTCAACTCATCTATATCAATTTGACGCAAGTCAGTTAAAGAAAATTCACGATCCAGATTCATTCGACTTTCATCCGAACCACTGAAAGATTCTACTTCTTCAGTGACAGGAACAAAGAATGATGCCATTTGTTCATCTTGCATTACCACCTCGTGCTGTTCGAGTGGCCTTATTGGAGACTCTGACCTTTGTCGCTTCAGAGGTTGAGAAGCGAAGTCCTTAACTTCGGGCTCATCTTAAATAAATTTAGAGCAATATATTCTTTGATTAAGCAACCTAAATGTCTAGGAAATTAAAAGTAAATAATTAATGGAAAGGAGCAAGCCTTCCCATTAATACAAGACTGTGTTGCTGCACCAAGTATAAAAATGCAAAATGCAAGGAATTTTAAACTGACTCCACAAATCTGACACCTTTCTCAACCATTACATTTCAAGTAATCCTTTTATAATACAAATTTGTAAATTTAACGGAATGAAACCTTGTATAAAAGGGTAAGCATGGTAAAATAATAAAAGATTAATAATTGGGGAGACTATAAAATAAGAAAATATAAATTATGCCTACATATAGGACTTTTGGCAGGTAAGATTAAAACCATAGCCTACTTATAATTATATATTCCTTAATATATGCACCATTATCATTTTCCTTCACACTTACCATAAACAAATTTGTTTAAAAGTAACACACACCTGCATTCCATTTGGCAGCGTATACTACAGCACTGCAGCCCTTATCAATGACTGGTCCTAGCACAAAGTCAGTCAAGGAAAAGACATGCTCAGCTTCAAACTCTTCAAATGATTCATCCTTCCCTTCTTTCAAATCTTTCTGATGTTGCCAGTATTCAGGATTGTGTAGCCATCCTGCTCGAGAGATGGCTTCCTGCAAAAATATTCTGTTAACCTCATTCCTTCCTGAACTGTAATAAACAGGTTCAACTGTCAAGAATATGAACATAAATGTGAATGAATCAATTTTTTATGGGCTAATTTCCATGCATGGATAAATTGCCTTCACACAATGCACAAGTATATAATATTATAATTTAGCCCTTTTGCAGGCTGTTTTCATTACAGTATCATAAAACAAGATACATACAAGTATGTACTGAACAGTACAATACTCTACTTCATTTGGCTCCTTGCAGTTCTCAACTCACAATCAGGAATCCCAGGTTCAGTTTCCAGGCAGAACATAAATGGTTGGGTACATTTCCTTTTACTTAATGTTCTGTTCTCCCTAGCAGTAAATAGCTACCCAGGAGTTAGGCAACTGATTTGGGGTTGCATCCTCGGGAGGATCAGTTTGGCCTTCGTAACAGAGGAGACATCATCTACATACCAGATCTTCAAGTCTGAACATTTACCTGAATCTACTTGAGAGCCACAATATCTAGTGGGCTCAACAAGGCTAGGAAGCTGGTGGCTTGTCAAAGGTACCCCCACCCCATTATTCCTGAGGAATTTTTAAAGTTCAAATTCAAAATAAAGCAATGTTTTGGCATTTATGACTTTGGCAGGTAAGCAATTCCATGGAATTATTACCCTAGTAGATAGGGGTGCCCAGCAGTGCCCAGGTCTTCCACACACCCATGTCCTGTACAGTCTTGTCTCTAAGTTCCGTTTCTCATGGTATTCCCCTTAGGAAGTTCCTCATCTCGTCATATTTCCTCTTCGGTAATTTTGTCTTTTCCCTTCCGATCCCATCCTTGGATAGGTTATCCCTACCTCCACCATGTACTCAAATGTCAATACACTGTGGTCACTCATTCCTATGGGGGCTTCAACTTTGATATCCCTTATTTCTGACTCATTCAGGGTGAATATTAAGTCGAGTCTAGCTGGTTCATCATTGCCTCTCACTCTTGTGGGTTCCCTGACGTGCTGGCTCAGAAAGTTCCTTGTTGCCACTTCCAAGAGTTTAGCTCTCCATGTAGTTCCTGTTATGTAATCTCTGAACCCATCACAGCCCAGAATTTCCATCTCATCAAAACTCCAGTCCTTCCTTATCAGCAGGGCCACTCCTCCACCTCTTCTCCCTTCCCTCTCTTTCCTTACTATATAGTACTCCTTTGGAAACACAGCATCTGTTATGACTCCTGACAATTTTGTTTCCATGAGTCCTATTACATCTGGGTTTTCTTCTTGCGCCCTTTCTGCCAGTTCACTTGCTTTATTGGTAATCCCATTAATGTTTGAGTACATTATCTTGAAGCTCACTTTCCTATATCTATTTTCACCCTCACTCCCCACAAGTGTAGGAAGTTGTTCCATGGTCATTGCTACTTGGGTAGGCTCATCCTCCTGTGAGGTAGTTGCCAGGGGTTCAGGGGCAACCCGTTCTCGCAAATTTAATAAGTCAATATTGACTTATTAAATATGTGCATAGGTGACATACTTAACATAATAGTTTCCCTTGAAAAGCTTCATAGAAAACACCGACCTTACCTAACCTACTTAGTATGTTAAGATAAGCATCTTATTGCTTCGTAATTACAATTATTACCTAACCTATACCTATAATAGGTTAAGTAACAATTGTAATTACGAAGCTATAAGATGCTTATTTTAACATACTAAGTAGGTTAGGTAAGGTCGGTGTTTTCTATGAAGCTTTTCAAGGGAAATTATTATGTTTAGTATGTCACCTATGCACGCAACTAATAAGTCAATATTGACTTATTAAATTTGCGAGAATGGGTTGTCAGGGGGAGGTGGAGTGGGGGATGGAGGGCTTAGGTCTTCCCCAGGTCTTCTTCCTGCTTGGGGCAGGAAGAAGTCCTGGGGGGTGATTCGACTCGACTCAACTATGTGGAAGCTGATCCGAATTGCATTTCTCCTTTGTAAACGCACATTAATGACACTATGGCATTAATCTATGCTAGTTAGCATTGTAAATGTGTAGCCAAGTTTGTGATATAAAAAATAATTAAAAAAATTGCTGTAACAATCTTCATTAATCCCTAAGTTCTGAGAGTGCCTTTACCAGTCAAATTTGTTGACTTACAATCGGAAACTCCAGGTTCGAATCCAAGACAGAACAGAAATGGTTGGGTGCGGTTTCCTATCACCTAATGTACCTGTTCACCTAGCAGTAAATAGGTACCCAGGAGTTAGCGTGCTGTGGGGTTGCATCCTGAGAAGGGTCAGTAATTTGACCCTAAGGGGGTGGGGGCTCAATACACGTCACCCATGTCTATATACACTGGCTGTCTGTCCTTGGACAATAAATTATTATTAATATCTAAAACATCTTCACAATCCCCGCCCCACCGTCAAACACTCCCCCATTTCCTCCAGCATATATATACTTCGTCTCCTCCTGGCGAGTACAGGTCTTCAGTCCTCAGTCTTCTCCCTCCCTGCCCACAAACGCCCTTCTCTCGCCTCTCCCCCGTTGCCCACATATTCTTCCCCCATCAAAGTAACCAAAATGTTGTGCCCAGAATGCTAATATTTTATGTCATCTTAACATGTTTTGAAATTGAATAAAGTACTGTACAGTATCTTAATTCACTAGTACTGTGTTAAACTACTGTAATGTTAAAGTCTATGGACTCGATGCTGAATATTTCACATCCATGATCTCAATGAGATAAGCCACATCATGTCTAGTTTGTAGTGTTGTTACTCCTGATGCCTTCGACCATTTCTGGTATGAGAATTTTACCTGAATTCACGTGAGGACCACCATCTATTTAATGGCCTTAACAGGGACAGAAAGCTGGTCGCTTGGGTAAAAAAGCATCTCATGTTTTCTGCCCTACATTTTGGCTTGTTGAGCTTGAAGCTTTTGCTCCTTGCATGTATTACACATGACCTAGTCCTGGGATAATTTTGGTCACTGTTCAACTTCTCCAAATACTTTATTGGCCTTTTCTTGGTTCGAGTTAAAACGAGTAGACTAGTCAGATTAGCACTTACTACCTGAGTAAAGTTGGCAGTAATATGGGCATTATTGCTCTGGCCCGTGAAATAACTGTACCTGTAGCTATTTTTGTGAGTTTCGTAATGTGTACAAATTGCATAATAATGTAAAGCTAAGATCCCCCCTTTCCTGAGCCTCGTGATTTTAGTTGCAAATGGCTTGGCGCAATGAAACTACAGTACTTCACTTCCATTATGTTTTATTGTATATATACATTTAAAGCTATTTTGTATATAACATTTGACTTGCGCACTTTACCAGTACGTACAGTGAAGGGATACGATCATAAATATATAATTATTGGTAGGGTCATGTCTCAATATCGCTTTTGTTCCATTGCACACCAAGAAGTTTATTCTTGTGTGGACTGCGTGAGTATTGGGAACGCTTCACGGAGGCTGCTGTATCCTCTCCCCCACACACACTTCCCGCAGAAGCTTCAAGGTCACAACGATTAACCAATGTTTACGTATTTATCATTTTACTTTGGCCTTTCCTCTACATTTTATTCTTACAGCCATAAATAATAATAATTTCATTTGGGTATTACTGGAATTAATAAGCACACACAACTAACACGTCTGCGTCAAGAGAATGAATTGAAGTGGCAACTGAATCTCACGGACTAAAGCATCAATCATGTTGCAACCATTTTTCTAATTCTTCCAGCATACATTGTCAGAATACCAAATTATCATACCCATGTATCATATAATAAGATTTATGGAGCGCGGTAAGTGAAACTAGTACAACCAGTGTGAACAGGATAGTGGAGGATACCTGACGAGCTGGGTCACCATTACCCACCAGGCCAGCAGCCATGACAAGTTCTGCAGTATGGGTGGTGAACCTGCGTCTTAAGGCTGGAACTTCTCAAAGCCTGCCTGCCTTCCTTCCTGCGTCTTAGAAGCCTTCCAGCCTTCACAAAGCCTGCCCGACTTCCTTCCTGCGTCTTAGAAGCCTTCCAGCCTTCTCAAAGACGACCAAATCTAAACTTATCCAATTTATATCCATTGTTTCGTGATCTATTTTCAAAACATTATTATCCCCTAATTGTTATGCCACTGGTACATTTCAATCATGTCACCCCTAACTCTTCGCCTTTCTATAGATAACATAAATTAAGTTTTTCAATCTCTTCTTACGGGAGGTTTCTAATTTGTGGGAATAACTAACATTCTTTGATGAACGCGTTCAAGGTATTTATGAACTTTCTAGAGTATGGCGACCAAAACTGAACTGTATAATCTAAATAGGCCCTAACACGAGGAAGATATAGCCGATGAATAATATTAGGCGTTTTATTGCTAACGCTTACAGTACCTACGGGCTCACCATAGCCCGTGCTACCTGGAACTGCTTGTTCCAAGTAGCGAATCTTTAACAACAACAATGCTAACGCTTCTAGAAACATATTCCAGTATTCTATTTGATTTGTATTTTGAACATTTAAACATTGATTATTTTTTGCTTTGAAGTCTTACTAATCATGACAACCATATATTTTTCGCAATCAGACTGGCAATTTGAATACTATCCAGCTGATATCTTTCAACTACCATCATTGCCTACCCTCAAAACCTTACATTTGTCAGCATTAAACTGCATCTACTAATCATTCGACCATTTCAAAAGCCTATCCAGATGGTCTTGAAGTGATGAGTTTTTTTTTTTTTTTAGAAAATACACTATTTCCAGCGCTGACAACTTCATAACACTCCCCCTTCCCAAGTAAGTGTACAGTAAGCCTTACATCTATACGGAATACGCTTTTATTTAGGAGAAAAATACACTAGCAGAGAATAATATTTTCTGTGCGAGTACGAAATTGGTAAACATTTGTTACATAATTGGGAAAACGCTACCATTATCGATCGACTTATCGTACAAGTGATATGCTATTAAAGTAAGATGATAACCGACACAAACAATATTGTTCTAAACGTGAAAATACAAGGTAAAAACACGTCATCTTTAAAAAAAACGAGAGAATCAATATAATTAGATGAAAACCTTCGAGATGGATAATGGAACGACTCAGGTGAAGGAAGTAACTATGATGGAGGTCATGATCCAGGGATGTCCCAGTTGAGCACCACTCCTGGTTATTTCTGGCGCTGTTGTCACCGCTGACTCCATCACCTCTTCCCTCACTCCACCTCATTATTACCGCACCTCTACTCTAAGGTTAACCTACCTACCTACCTACCTTCCTTCCTCCCGCCTGCCCTCTACCTTCCTTCCTTTTTTTCTCCCCGCCCCCTTCCTTTCTCTCGCCCCCCTTTCCTTCCTTTTCCCCGCCCCCTTCCTTCCTTTCTCCCTCCCCCTTCCTTCCTCTCTCCCGCCTCTTCCTTCCTTTCTCCCACCCCCTTCCTTCCTTTCTTTTGCCCCCTGCCTGCCTGCCTTCCTTTCTCTCGCCCCCTTCCTTCCTTCCTTCCTTCTTTTCTCTCGCCCCCTTCCTTACTTCCTCCTTTTCTCCTGGCCTCTTCCTTCTGTATTGTTGACCACGTTGTGCTCAGTGATGTAAATCCACCTTATGCAAGCATTATATATCCAGTTGGACACCAATCTACAGTATCTATTTGTGATTTTACTCTATGTCCAAGTTTGACACCTCCCATGAAGCAACATGATGTAGGGCCTGATCCCAAGAATCTGCCCTCTCCAGTCCATGATAGAGACAAGAATGATGGAGTCCCCAACTACACCTAATATTCAAGATTGTGAATTGTCATATGGGATACCCAGTGACAATATTCCACCTCTCCTGGGAGATCATTATAGCTGGGATCATGTAATGTGTAATTAGTGCGATGAGAAGTACTTAAGTTATTTGCTGTATTCGCTTATTATTAGCATACAATCTAAAGGAGGGAAGAATGCGATACAGTATTTCTAAATATATTTGGTAGATAATTTGTTCTTTAAAGTTTCATTTATTATAATTAGTAATTCCTTTTATGAGATACTGTAATACATGTACATTTGATTTGTATTGTTTCAAATATTATATAGTTAACAGGTTGTAGTATTCAATGCTAGTTGTAGTATTTTGGTGTCTCGGTCAATTCTGGTCAGCTCACTGTCATTATCTCTTTATCCAATGCTTCTTTTTGGTTAATTTTTATGATTATTTTCCCCAGCTTTGTCTTATCAGGCCATATGTAATCTGAAACACTTTGACAAATATATAGGTTAAACTTGGCATAACTCTGGCACTCAAGATAAATACTCGATACTATCATGAGGACTAAAATCACTGATGTCAATTTATCATGAAACCTGTTATCACACAATCTATATACTGTATACAGTATCTTGAAACGTAACGTACCCCTGGAACTTATGGTATATATGCCTACCTACAGTTTATAGCTACGGTATAATAGTTGTGTTTTAATTCTACAGTTCATGCCTTAAAAATCTACAAGGGAAGGGAAGGGAATGGGTTTCTCACGTGATGTGCAGGCCATTCAAAGGAAAGTAAAAGGAATAAAGTCAGATACCCTTTCCTGCGAATCTTTTTTTTCATTTTTTTAGTGAAGAAAGCCTTGCCATTTTATATATAAAAAAAATTATTTGCCTTTCTTCTATCCTCTGACACGCAATGAGTATCTGGGGAGGGTTGCTTGTACAGTATACAAAAACCCGAGACAAAACATTTTAATCAATCACCTCCTCACACTAACAGTCCACTTCCAGGTTACGTGATTAACTCTAGTTGCAAAAGTTGATACTTGGCACTGAATTCAAAATGTTCTTTAAGTACTTTGCACAATCCAGTGATTCCACATTATTATATAACTAGGCAACATGTTACATAAATAAAACAACCCTATTTTCAAACAAATATTTGCCCAGATCTCTTTCTGTATCTTGTACTCTGTAACCAGGTGCCACAAATTTCCTTTTCATCACCCAATCAAGTAAGGTGAGAATAGATTCCTTCTAGCATTGATAAGTCAACACATTTACTCTATACATTATCTATGTTAATGCATTTAATCCCAGAAATGCAGTGCTTCTAGTAACATCTAAATACTGTATTCTAGTTTAGTCATTGATTTCCATGATACCAATGTTGAAGGCAATACCGTTATCCCAAAGTACCTTGATAACTCGGCAATTCTCCACAATCAGCTGTAATGATAGAAACAGCATAGATAAATGTTAATCAACAGTGTTAAGTGTAGGAAACTGTTCTGTTCTGTGTGAACTCCCATGTATCATTCTATTTGACCTATACAGTATGTTTATCTGTGAAACTATCTTTCATTGACACTTATGTAAAGTAACACTTATCCGTATTTAGTTTTATTTATACAGTTATTTAATAAAGTAATGTTAAGACATTAGATTTTCTCTGAACCTTGAACATTATTGTAATCTCAAGTGCTGAACATCTTTAAATATCCCATTTCTGACAATTCATTCAATTAATGTGAATTTGTAGTAGTACCGAGACACCACCTAAAGTTTGATTAGGACAAATGCCTAGGACAGTCAAAAGGCATTGCGTCTATAAATAAACTACCTCTCAAAGGGTCTAGTTTATGTAAAGAGACAAGGCTTCAAACTCTGAGTTGCCTTACTGCCCAAGCACTTTCTTGGAAGCTCCTATAAGATGCTGTCTCACCTAGGCGTCAACCTTCCTGAGTTGTCATAATTTCAGCAGTAGTTGGTAACACTTTCGGCCATCGGTGACGGATATTGCGTATATAAATAACTCTATGGTTGTCCAGCAGGGACACATTTTGCATCCAAAATTTAAATATTTGTTAAAATTCAATTTTTTCACCATCATTATGGGACGTGTTTTAAAATGTGCACCAATGTCTTCCTATTTTCTGTGATGGCCCATGTGACACAATGTCATGGAGGGACTGACTAGCTTTCAAGGTTTATAATTCAAATAAACCTGATAAGCATGGCATAAAGCTGTACATGCTGGCTTGTACTACAGATTACTCAGCTGGCTGCTAGTAGGAGAATCCCTCGTATTGTGGACAAACCCAACGTCTGACCAGGAACTTGAACCATTCCCTAATTCAGATCAAGAAGGGTCTGAAGTGTCATGTCTACTACAAGTCTGGTAAAAATAAGGACACTTTCTGGTCCAGTATTGGGCCTATTTGTACGAGTGAAGGTTCATACACGGAGGATGACAAAGAAGTTAGTGAAATCCTAAAAAAGCAGTATGAGGGCATGTTTAGCACTCCAATAAACAACATGAATGTGGAAGATTCAGACAATTTCTTTATGCATGATATCCAAACCCCTGTAAATATAACTGATATCAACACGAACGTACGAGATTTTTAATTTATTTATATATATCATACTGTGGTACAAACACTTATGTGAAGGAAGCAACACAAAAACGAATGATATTGTCACAAATAATGTCAGGAATGCATAACAAATGTAAAATAATGACAAAGCCGGTTTTTCACATGATATAATATATTTTATGGTATACACATTTGAGTGTGGGTGTGTGGATGGGTGCTCACTCATGGGTAATGCTCTGCGGATTTTCTGGTTTGCTGTGGATAGTGCGCCTGTTTGTTTTACCTTCTATTCATATATATCTCTTTAGAGAATTCTATTGCAAACAATTTGATACCTCAATGAACGATGTAACACGAAAATTGATGTGAGAAAACTGAAAAAAAAAGAGTACATACATTTTAGTGTGATTGCACTCTCACGGGAAATGCCAGGTCCACATTGGGGTGGGCTGGGGCGTGCACGCCGGACAGCTCAAAGTGTTAATGTGCAGTTTTTTATCCATTTAATATTGTTTAAGGATGGATTTACACCTAACCAGCTAAATGTGAAGCTGTCACAAAAAAAAAATGCATTTTCCACAGACACCTAACATTTTCCATTTTCCACAGATACATTGTAATGAACAACCTTAACCATTGTACACTTTGTCCATTACATACAGAATTCCTTTTCATAAATATCAAGGTGTGAAGTAGTGTGACTTCACTGTTTGCATAATTTTGATTAGCATGAAAAATCAATCCAATTTACAGTCATCTCTTGAAAAAAAACTAACAAAAAAAGTTATAAATACTGTACTTACTCTAATATTACAGCAGAGGGCTTCCAATTCATCTTCCTTGGTAACTAACCCCAGTTGTGACCCTGACACTAGTGTTACTCCCACCAGTGCAAAATAGGGGGCACTTTCCCCAAACACAAGTCGTTTGGTCGTGGATCGTTTAGCTTCAGCCCAGAGAGGTGCAGAGACTTTGCGAACCAAGCCCTGAACCCAGCGACTAACCAAGCCATTTGCTGGTACAGACAAGCCAGTGCTTACACCAGCACATGCCTGACCTTCACCAGCACATTCTGCAGCGCTCCTGCTCACCCCGGGACCCCCTTCACTCTGCCACTGTAAGAGAAAAAGTGTCTGATAAGCAATTATGAAAGTTTTTATCTTGCTGACACTTAGAAAATGATATTGCACTAATTCCTAGAGATTATCATGATTGTTATTCTACCACTAAAATAATTCTATAAAACGTTTGATGAATTAAAAAACTGGGCAGAGCTTCTACAATGACAGTGCAAGACGAGTTGTGTGCATATTCCTAACCAAACCTTACTCAGCAAATCATGCCAAGGCTATTTGAATGCATTGCAACTCATCCTAATACCATAGAAAACATTTATGATTTTTTTCAGGTTATATGGTGTATTTATATTACTATGGGAAGCCGTGTGATAGTACAAGTGTAGTGTGTAGTGTGGTGGGGCAAGGCTATAGGACCACACCAGACTCACCTTGCTCAGCTTGTGGCGAGCGTCGGGGGGTCGGGCCGACTGTTGGGACTGCTGCACCTGATTTATTTGTCGCCGTTGAGCTTCAAGTACTCGCCTGCCGTGGTGCACGGCGCTCTCTATCACAGCTCGCAGGCTCCACATCTTGGCCTCAGCCTCAGCCCGCCCCGCCGCCCATAATCGGACACCACCACCTCCTACCAACCACCACACGCCCACCGTTGTTCCTTCACCTCACTGATATTAACAAAACTTGAGGCCGTATTTGGCCTTGTGGCGAGTGTAGAATCCCGATAGAACTGTGGACAGAAAACCCGACGGTCGTGATTTGTAAGTAAATACGCAGCAGGAAGCAGAGCGGCACCGCGGGGGAGGGCAGCGGGACTCCCTCACAGCTGTGAGTGTGTCAGCTGACTGGCCACAACACCGCCGGCACGAGGGGCCCCCTCACCCCCACACTCATCCCCCTCACTCTTACTCATCCCCCTACAAGACTCAGCCGTTCTCAAGCCCCCCAATTTAAGGAGAAATTGAGTATAACCTTCGATTGTCACTAAGCAGTCTGAGAGCAGTAGTACACCAAGAATTTCAACAAAATCTTGTAAATCTGAGGTAAAGTGAAATCAACACCAGCAATTCCATCTATACTCACCTAGTTGTGCTTACAGGGGTTGAGCTTTGACTCTTTAGTCCCGCCTCTCAACCGTCAATCAACTGATGTACAGATTCCTGAGCCTACTGGGCTCCATCATATCTACATCTTAAACTGTACATGGAGTCAGCCTCCACCACATCACTTCCTAGTGCATTCCATTTACTAACTACTCTGACACTGAAAAAGTTCTTTCTAATGTCTCTGTAGCTCATTTGGGTACTCTTCCACCTATGTCCCCTTGTGCGTGTACCACCAGTGTTAAATAATCCATCCTTGTCTACTATGTCATTTCCCCTGACAATTTTGTATGTGGTGACCATGTCTCCCCTAGCTCTTCTGTCTTCCAGCAAAGTGATGTGCAGTTCACGCAGCCTGTAATTATAACTCATGTCACTTAGTTCTGGGACTAGCCTAGTGGCATACCTCTGAACTTTTTCCAGCTTCGTCTTAATTGTGCTTGACTAGGTACGGGCTCCATGCTAGGGCCGCATACTCCAGGATTGACCTTACATATGTGGTTTACAAGGTTCTGAAGATTTCCTTACACAGGTTTCTCAAAGCAGTTCTGAAGGATTCCTTACACAGGTTTCTCAAAGCAGTTCTGAAGGATTCCTTACACAGGTTTCTCAAAGCAGTTCTGAAGGATTCCTTACACAGGTTTCTCAAAGCAGTTCTGAAGGATTCCTTACACAGGTTTCTCAAAGCAGTTCTGAAGGATTCCTTACACAGGTTTCTCAAAACAGTTCTGAAGGATTCCTTACACAGGTTTCTCAAAGCAGTTCTGAAGGATTCCTTACACAGATTTCTCAAAGCAGTTCTGAAGGATTCCATACACAGGTTTCTCAAAGCAGTTCTGAAGGATTCCTTACACAGGTTTCTCAAAGCAGTTCTGAAGGATTCCTTACACAGGTTTCTCAAAGCAGTTCTGAAGGATTCCTTACACAGGTTTCTCAAAGCAGTTCTGAAGGATTCCTTACACAGGTTTCTCAAAGCAGTTCTGAAGGATTCCTTACACAGGTTTCTCAAAGCAGTTCTGAAGGATTCCTTACACAGGTTTCTCAAAGCAGTTCTGAAGGATTCCTTACACAGGTTTCTCAAAGCAGTTCTGAAGGATTCCTTACACAGGTTTCTCAAAGCAGTTCTGAAGGATTCTTTACACAGGTTTCTCAAAGCAGTTCTGAAGGATTCCTTACACAGGTTTCTCAAAGCAGTTCTGAAGGATTCCTTACACAGGTTTCTCAAAGCAGTTCTGAAGGATTCCTTACACAGGTTTCTCAAAGCAGTTCTGATGTTAGCCAGCCTCGCATAGGCCGCTGATGCGATATCATACTATCATGCAAGAGGAGCTACACATTTATGGATCATCCAATAAAATCAGCAGACTTCGAGATGTTACTACTGCTCGGCTTAGACTCGGTTACAAGTATCTCTGGGAATTCTCAGTAACTGCTGATGTAGACCTGACTAAATGTAAGCTGTCAACAAAATTATTTGCACACCCTCCGTCACTATGTGGAGTGCGAAAAGATACGTAAATTCATAGACAATTTTATAACAAATGTACCAGATGTGTAAATATATTCCATTCAAAATGATCTGCTACCAGAAATCTTAGCCAAATATCCCCAGTTTGTTAACTGTAGGTAGTAACTAAGTAAATGTAACCTATCCAAAGTTGCCGATGGGGGACGTTGTGCAGGACAAGCATATCAATTATGACACTAGCTCTCCACATATGTCAGTTGCTTAATTTAGAAACTGTACTTGTGGTTGACCTCGAACTGAATGATGATGTGACGATGTATATTGAATTTTGTAACTAGCTCATCAAGATTGTAACTTGCTTAGCTGAATAAATTGTGGGGTTCAGTCCCTGAGCCCATTAAGTGCATCTGTAACAATGGGGAACATTGCAATTGTAAACTATGTGAACAAGAGCTGGGACATACTCTCCAACACTATATCTGTGATTGCCCTGTGATAAGTGACTTCAGCCGTAATGGTATGAGGTACCTTGAAATCTGTAATTACTTCATACACTCAGGAATATTGGAAGAAATTCTTGCGTTGTACCCTGATTTTGCTAGTGGAAGCTAATAGATTAACCTTACATTTTATGTTATCACCTGATTTTTAGTCATAGCTGATTTGTTTTTGTATTAAGGCAGGTATTATCTCCCCCTAATTCCATGTATGACTAACCATCCTGTGAGATGGGAATAATAGCTAGCATTTCCATCCAAGAAGTAAATTAGAGATCATCAGCCCAAGCTTCGTCTTGAGGCAAAAAAAAAAAAAAAAAAAAACTCTCAACACCTTAAGCCATACTGATGCTTTGTCCACAGAGCATTCTCTCTCAAATCATATACACTGATGGTTCCCTACACCGCTCCAAGGGGACAGCTGGAAGTGCAGTTGTCCTGACAATGGGCGATGGCTTATATTTTGAGTGGGGAGTCCGCATAAACAACTGCATGGGCTTCTACCCTTCAGACTGAACTATTTGCCTTGCTCTTCGCACTGAAATGTGTACAAGTCTCTAAACTGGTATTTGTAGTGTGTGAAGCATTTACAGCGTTGTGACTGATCAACGTGTTACACCTAACCAAACCTTAACCTAAAGCAATACTTCTTCTTCTTCTTCATAATAATAATAATAATAATAAATAAATTGAAGGTAATAATAATAATAATAATAATAATAATAATAATAATAATAATAATAATAATAATAATAATAATATTAATAAAATTGTCATCCACATTTCCATGGAAATAAAACTGTCTAACTTTCGTGGAATGGGTCCAGTGAAACATGGACGGAGTTGGTCGAGCGGAACAGGGACCCAGTGGGTCGAGCTGAACATGGACCAAGAGGGGCGAACAGAACATGGACCGCGTCGGGCGAGCAGAACACGGGCCGAGTGAAACACGGACAGATCGAGTGGGGCCAGCGGAACACGGACCGAGCGGAAGACGGGTGAGTGGAGTAAGCGGAACATTGGCCGAGTGCGGTAAGCGGAACACGGGTTAAGTGGGGTAAGCGGAACATGGACCGAGTGGGGCGAGCGGAACACGGACCGAGTGGGGCGAGCGGAACATGGGCCGAGTGGGGCAAGCAGAACATGGACCGAGTGGGGCGAGCGGAACACGGACCGAGTGGGGTGAGTGGAACACGGACCGAGTGGGGTGAGCGGAACACGGAACCGAGTGGGGCGAGCGGAACACGGACCAAGTGGGGTGAGCGGAACACGGACTGAGTGGGGCAAGTGGAACATGGACCGAGTGGGGCGAGCGGAACACGGACCGAGTGGGGCGAGTGGAACATGGACCGAGTGGGGCGAGCGGAACACGGGCCGAGTGGGGTGAGTGGAACTTGGACTGAGTAGGGCGAGCGGAACACGGGCCGAGTGGGGCGAGCGGAACACGGGCCGAGTGGGGTGAGTGGAACATGGACCGAGTGGGGCGAGCGGAACACAGGCCGAGTGGGGCGAGTGGAACATGGTCTGAGTGGGGCGAGTGGAACAAGGACCTAGTGGGGCGAGCGGAACACGGGCCGAGTGGGGCGAGCGGAACATGGACCGAGTGGGGCGAGCGGAACATGGACCGAGTAGAACATGGACCGAGTGGGGCGAGCGGAATATGGGCCAAGCGGGGCGAGCGGAACATGGACCGAGTGGGGCGAACGGAACACGGGCCGAGTGGGGCGAGAGGAACATGGACCGAGTGGGGCGAGTGGAACATGGACCGAGTGGGGCGAGTGGAACATGGACCGAGTGGGGCGAGCGGAACACGGGCCGAGCGGAACATGGACCGAGTGGGGCGAGCGGAACATGGACCGAGTGGGGCGAGCAGAACATGGACCGAGCGGGGCGAGCGGAATACGGGCCAAGTGGGGCGAGCGAAACATGGACCGAGTGGGGCGAGCAGAACAAGGGCCGAGTGGGGCGAGCGGAACATGGACCGAGTGGGGCGAGCTGAACATGGACCGAGTGGGGCGAGCGGAACATGGACCGAGTGGGGCGAGCGGAACAAGGACCGAGTGGGGCGAGCGGAACACGGGCCGAGTGGGGCGAGCGGAACACGGACCGAGTGGGGCGAGCTGAACAAGGGCCGAGTGGGGCGAGTGGAACATGGACCGAGTGGGGCGAGCGGAACACGGGCCGAGTGGGGTGAGTGGAACTTGGACTGAGTAGGGCGAGCGGAACACGGACCGAGTGGGGCGAGTGGAACATGGACCGAGTGGGGCGAGCGGAACACGGGCCGAGTGGGGTGAGTGGAACTTGGACTGAGTAGGGCGAGCGGAACACGGACCGAGTGGGGCGAGCGGAACATGGACCAAGTGGGGCGAGCGGAACATGGACCGAGTGGGGCGAGCGGAACACGGACCGAGTGGGGCGAGTGGAACATGGACCGAGTGGGGCGAGCGGAACACGGGCCGAGTGGGGTGAGTGGAACTTGGACTGAGTAGGGCGAGCGGAACACGGACCGAGTGGGGCGAGCGGAACATGGACCAAGTGGGGCGAGCGGAACATGGACCGAGTGGGGCGAGCGGAACACAGGCCGAGTGGGGCGAGCGGAACATGGGCAGAGTGGGGCGAGTGGAACATGGACCAAGTGGGGCGAGCGGAACACGGGCCGAGTGGGGCGAGCGGAACATGGACCGAGTGGGGCGAGCGGAACATGGACCGAGTAGAACATGGACCGAGTGGGGCGAGCGGAATATGGGCCAAGCGGGGCGAGCGGAACATGGACCGAGTGGGGCGAACGGAACACGGGCCGAGTGGGGCGAGAGGAACATGGACCGAGTGGGGCGAGTGGAACATGGACCGAGTGGGGCGAGTGGAACATGGACCGAGTGGGGCGAGCGGAACACGGGCCGAGCGGAACATGGACCGAGTGGGGCGAGCGGAACATGGACCGAGTGGGGCGAGCAGAACATGGACCGAGCGGGGCGAGCGGAATACGGGCCAAGTGGGGCGAGCGAAACATGGACCGAGTGGGGCGAGCAGAACAAGGGCCGAGTGGGGCGAGCGGAACATGGACCGAGTGGGGCGAGCTGAACATGGACCGAGTGGGGCGAGCGGAACATGGACCGAGTGGGGCGAGCGGAACATGGACCGAGTGGGGCGAGCGGAACACGGGCCGAGTGGGGCGAGCGGAACACGGACCGAGTGGGGCGAGCAGAACAAGGGCCGAGTGGGGCGAGCGGAACATGGACCGAGTGGGGCGAGCGGAACATGGACCGAGTGGGGCGAGCGGAACATGGACCGAGTGGGGCGAGCGGAACACGGGCCGAGTGGGGCGAGCGGAACATGGACCGAGTGGGGCGAGCGGAACACGGTCCGAGTGGGGCGAGCGGAACATGGACCGAGTGGGGCGAGCGGAACTTGGACCGAGTGGGGCGAGCGGAACATAGACCGAGTGGGGCGAGCGGAACACGGGCCGAGTGGGGCGAGCGGAACATGGACCGAGTGGGGCGAGCGGAACATGGACCGAGTGGGGCGAGCGGAACACGGGCCGAGTGGGGCGAGCGGAACATGGACCGAGTGGGGCGAGCGGAACATGGACCGAGTGGGGCGAGCGGAACGTGGAACGAGTGGGGCGAGCGGAACATGGACCGAGTGGGGCGAGCGGAACACGGGCCGAGCGGGCCGAGCGGTGTTTACCCGGGTGGCATCACTTCCTGCTGGTGACGTCAGGGGAAGCAAGGCCGCGGTAAACAAAACACTGGGTGGAGGCGTCGCCGGGAGAAAGCATCTGTGGAAACCTCTGATGCCTGAGCTCCCTCTGGGCCGCTCTCCTCTTACACCTGTCATAAATGGGGGTAAAAATCACCGCCAGCTGCTGCCACCTTCACGCACTCTAGAGAAGCAGCGTGAGCCGCTCAGCGGACAGTTGAGGACCTTCCTGTCGGTGGGGCCGCGGGGGGAAACGTTATCACGGTGTCCAGGGTAAAGCTGGCAGTGTAGTCTGTGGTGCCAGCACTGCTCCATACCTTAAGGTAAGGCTACACTCATCCTGCTGCATGGACCCATCACTTGCTCAGCTCACCCGCCTCACACTCACCTCAGCTCACCCACCTTACACTCTGCTCACTCTCGGCTCACCCACCTTATTCTCGGCTCACCCATCTCACATTCCTCCTTACACACTCCTAACTTCATTCCCTCCTAACCTGATGCTCTCCTCACACTTACTTCACTCTCCCTCTCTGAGCTGACATCCACAACTGCATTCTCTCTATTTCCGTGTGATTGACAGACATTTTACCAGTTTGTATTTGATATTTTATTATAAAGTGGCTTTGTTTTTTACTATTTTATATGAGCCAAGTACATATAGTTTTCCTCCAAGCACCTAAAGCCACATATCTTGAAAATATTCTTACACAATTTCAGGAGTAGGTTCTTAGACCTCAGATGAATTTAAGTGGGCTATGTCATCACTATTCCATTAATAAACCCAACAAAAGCAGTTTATAAAAATTGTTTGTTTTATATATCATTGTGTGCAGAAAGTGTGTTGTTACAATTTTATTGCCAGCACAAACATAGGATTCCTGAACAAGTACCTGAATTTTTGGACTAATGCACATACAGCATTACATTGTTTATGATTTGTTAAGCAGTTCAGTATTTTCAGTAGTGTACTGAAGTGTACAGAAAGACATGGTAATTTTGTAGATGGGCATATTGTATTCTAGTTGTTTTGCCCATAAATTTCTCTTTAAATCTATTTTGTTTTTAACTTGTACACCCAGACTGTAGTGTGCTTCCTTTTCTTGCTGCATACTATATTATGGCTTGAGTTTATTTTTAAAATTCGTATGTGAGTCATTTGCTGTACAAAATTAGTGTCACCTTGACTTACGACTGCCCCTTCTTATGAATTTTTCGAGTTACAATCCCAATTTCGCCGGAAAATGCGACTCGACTTGCGACCATTGCCTCAAGTAGTAACTTTGTTGATACACGTATGGGGTCAACCGAGCGCCTAGTGATTGGTGCCAGCGCTTAGTGATGATCCCGCTTGTAAACAACTTATTATTTTTTTTTTAACATAAAAGTAATTATTATATATTACACCATGGGTCCCAAGAAGGTCAATGGTAAGGTTCAACCTAAGAAAATAGTTATGAGTATAGGCAGAAGAAAATGCCCCTTCCTCATTCAGAAAATGTGTGAAGTATGGGAAGAAATGGAAAGTTTTATTAACAAAAATTGCGCACCCAGATAAAGATCAAACACACCCAGATAAAGCTGCTGCAGGTCGTTGCATTGACCTTCTAAATGACAATGTAATGTCTCGCTGACAAGTGTTAAAATGTTGAAGAAAAACAAGTGTCTTTAGATAAATTTTTAGTAAGACAAGCGAGCAGTGAGTCACTATCAGGTTCTAGTGGTATGCCTGTAAAACGTAGAAGAGAGAGAGTACCTCAGAGAAGTCATCACTGCCTGATGTTATAATGGAAGGGGACTCCTCATCCAAATAGTAACACCTCACTCCTCCCCCTCCTCACTGTCTTCCATACACCAACAAGAGTCCTCAATGAGAGTAAGATATACATCCTGTATTGTAGCTAGTAAAAAAAAAAAAAGTGATATTCAGTATAAAATGTATCTTTTAAGTTAATATTTTGGGGTGTGTGGAATGGGTTAATTCAATTTACATTATTTCTTATGGGAAAATTCGTTTTGAGTTACAAATTTTCGAGTTACGACCTGATATATGATATATACAGTATGTTGCTAGTGTTTTTAGGCGGTGTATGATGTGTGTGTCACTCAGTTAATCAGGTTAAAGCCAGTACTGGATGGGTGAATGTGTAGACAGCCTTACGAATTGCACAGGTTATGTTTTCATAGAATACTGTATTGCATTATCCTGTATCTATATAGTAAAGCTTTCCCTGGGGACAATTTTGTATGCAAGGTAATGGTTTTCCATCAATAGGAAACCAATACTTTGCCTTGGTTTTTCCATAGTCAGGAACAGGAAGCCTGTTAAGCTTATTGAGATCATCCTAGGCCAACAACTACTGATGACCTTTCCGCATTCCAATCCTAGGCGGGACATGATTGGTTGTGTGCATTTCCTCTAAACTAATGTGCCTGTTCGCCTAGCAGTAAATAGGCACCCAGAAGTTAGTCAGCTTGTTGTGGAGTTGCATCCTGGGCAGGGTCAGTAATTCAACCCTTGGGGGTGGGGATAGCAGGGGGTGGACAAAGATATAAGCTAATATGTATACACACTGGCTGCCTGTCCCCCTGACACAATGAATTATATTATAAATTTCAGATAGAACTCTTGTGTGTTATTCTTTATTCTTCTCTGCAGGCTGTTACGTACTCCTAGCAGAATACGTATATAAATTTAAAATAAATATTATTTTATTTTATCATTGCATGTATATGTACACATATTGTGTTTTGGGTAAATTGTCGTGTGGTTTGGCAGCGTCAGTGGACAGGAGAGCGGTTGTCTCTGCACACGTCTATTACTTGATTGATACGGGAAAGCTGGACCTGTTCAGTTTGAGAATTCCAGATGTCACTTTTATTTAGTTAAGAATTGTTTTATATACTGTAATTAAACAGGTGTCATTATACTTATATATTTTGTAAGCAACTATTATATGTAACTTGCAGTCTTATGTGTTTTGAGAACAAGTGGTTGTTCAATTAGTTTATAATATTAAAAAGTCCTTAGTTTCCATCCCTCATCCTGGGATGAGGCAGACGGGAGGTGAGAATGTGGGTGGCGACAGAGCGAGAGTTCAGTAGCTGATACTGGACCAGGAGGAGTAACAAGTGGGAGATAAGTCTGTTATTATTCATTTGTTGCCATAATTACTATTATATATATTGTGACATGACTATACAATCATATTCTATAAGTTAACTTTACCCTCTGTGTTTTTATATTATACTGTCTTGAATATATATGTATATAATTTATTCATCTATTCTTCAGTCCTAAACGAAGATTGTTATATATGTGCTCATTACTTATCAAGGGGTTATACTGGTGATTCGCTATTGAGAACAGCAGTTGTGTCGTATCCCTAGACTTATTAAAGTTTGGCTGCTGTAGGATCACGAGCCGTAACGTACGATAGGTAACAAAGAGTTATGGGGGCCTGTGCCGGGAAATATTGTCCCACTTTAACTTAACTATGCTAATCTAACCTTGCCTTCCTAGGTACCAGTGTCAAGTGTCTCTGTGTGTTTCTTAAGAACTATTCCATGTGCCAAGCAAGCCTTCCTGTGTGTCAAGTAACAACGTTTCGCGATTTTGAGGTAAGTCATCCTATATATTTTGTTTGTGCAGTGAGGCCAAGCAAATTTTCAGTGTGGTGACAATTTTACAGTGAAGTGTAGTGCAGTGCCATTATTTTAATTATTGTTGTGAATAAAGTGCCAAGTGTTAGTAACGATGGAGGAGAAAGTTGCAGCGTTGGTGGCTCACCCAGACTTTGAAGGGATTCAGAACCTTAAAAAGACTGAGTTAATACAAATGGCAAATCATTTGGATTTGACCGCCAGCAATAGAATGGTTAAAGCCCAAATATTGAAAGTCATTGTGACGCATTTTGTTGAGAATGGGGAGTTAGGTGAAGAAATTCTAGAGGAGTTAAGAGAGGAGTCGAGTGATCAGATGACGTTAAAGCGTCTTGAGTTAGAAGCTCGCCAATTAGAGCTTGAAGCTCAAAAAGAACAGAAAATATTAGAGGCTGAAGCTCGTCAAAGAGAGATTGAAGCTCAACAGCAACAGCAAATATTAGAGGCTGAAGCTCAGCAAAGGGAGCTAGAGACTAGGCGTTTAGAAATTGCGGTACAGTTGCAAATAGAAGCCACAAAGAAGCAACAAGCCGAGGAACAAACTAGGCAATTAGAGATTCAACAACAAATGGCTGACACTAACTTCAGGCTTGAATCACAGCGTATGGCAGCTGGGCATGGAAATACTAGTAATGTTTCAACAAATAGTGATAATAATCCCATCAGGATGAATAAGTATATAGAGTTGCCCAAGTTCAATGAGGAAGATCCTGAGGTTTTCTTTGCACATTTTAATAAAATTGCCATCAGTATGAACTGGCCAAGGGATCAGTGGGTAGCCATTATGCAGTCTCAATTCAAGGGGCGTAGTCAGGAGGTTTTCACATCCCTACCTGACTCTCATAGTTTTGATTATGATTTTGTAAAGAAAAGCATCTTAAATGCTTATCAACTAAATCCAGAGGCACACAGGCAAAAGTTCAGAAATCTAAGGAGGACAAGTGATCAGACAATAGCAGATTTTACTCGTCAGAAGACGAAATTTTGCAACAGATGGTTAAAGTCACTTGCAGTCACTGATTTTGATGCTTTAAAGAATCTTCTTATAATGGAAGAAGTATTGTCATGTCTTCCAGACCAGTTGTCTACTTTTATGGCAGAACAAAAGAATGTAACAGATATTGATGAGCTGTCAAAGCTCGCGGATGAGCATGAGTTGTTGACTAAGGCCCCGTTTACGGCCACTTCACCTAAGTCTAGTCGTAGAATAAATTATCATGCTCACCGAACTCCTTATCAGAATCCATCCAGTCCTAGTACTCCAGTTACTCCCATGAGCTCTCCTCTTACAAAACCTAACCCTGCTACTTCATTGTCAGGAATGTCAAATAATAATAAGGTTATTTCTAAACCTACAGTTGTTTCTACCAGTGTGTCCACTGTAAGGTCCTGTTCCCATTGTAAGAGAAAAGGCCATGGAATTCATTCATGTTTTATATTGCACCCTGAGTTACGACCAACTGGTCTCATTTATTGCAGAGGTGTGCAAAATAAACTTACTAATAAACATGTAACTGTAAACCCCAATTGGGTGAAACAGTATTCACCATATATGTCTTCAGGTGAAGTTTTGTGTATTAATGGGAAGTGGAAGCCAGTGGTTATTCTTCGTGATACAGGTGCTTCCCAAACCATAATTTCATCCAGTATTCTTTCTGATGTTGAAAAGAGAGATACTGGAAAGTTTGTTGTTCTTCAGAGTGTTGCAGGATGTAAAACTGTACCTCTAATAGACATTAATTTCAGATCCACCATTACACCACGTTTATGCACTGTGGGTGTTAGTACACAGTTGCCCATCCCAGGTGTGGATGTTATATTGGGTAATGATGTGGCCATAAATCATGTTGTGGGTGAGATTGATCCCCGTTTGTGTAAACAGCCAGTTGCAGACCATGTTTATTCTGCCTGTGCTGAAGTTAGTTCTATGAATGAACCTGTTGTAGAAGATGGTTTTGTCCATTCTACCTGTGCTGATGTCAGTACTAATATAAATCCAGTTGTCAGTTCTGATGTTGTTACTCAAGCATTTGTTCCAGTAACCAGTACCCCTTCAGTGGAGAAGTGGGATGTGGTTGTTCCAGATTCCTGTGTGGCCGATTTAGTTGTTGAGAGTAAGCTTGATACTATGACTCTGCTTTATTCCAATAAATTGGGAAAGGATGTCCATGTACCATTGTCTTGCCCGCTCACTACGAACGTTGTGCCAGGAGTTGAGAGAAACTTAAAAGCCACGACTCTGTATTCCAGCCAAGTGAATGGTTTAGGACAAGATGTCGGGTTGGCAGAAGTGTTCCCGCTCACTCCAAGTTTAGAATCAGTTGTCGAGAGTAAGTCCGTTGTAGAGGCCCCGCCTCACCCTAGTCAAGGTGATATAATAGGGGTGGAGGTCAAACTACCTGTTACTTGCCCGCTCGCTTCAGATTCCCTTCATTTATGTGCTTTGAGTAGAACTGACCCTAAGATTTCAGAGAGAAGCAAGGAGACAGTCTGTACTGTAGATCCAGTTTTGGAGAGTGTGGGAAAGCAGCCAGAGGATCAGCTTCTGTTGAGTAGATGGAGACCCATTGAGCCTCCCTCTTCAGTTGTCTGTGAGGATGTGACCCAGCTTGGTAGTGATATTGTTGATTGTGAGCAGACAGTACTCCAAGCAGCTCCAGAAGTCATGGGAGGAAATTTTGGTAAAATCATTAAGAGTGGTAAAGTAGCATTTGGATCTAAGTTGCGGAGTTGTGATTCTTATTCTATATGGAGGAAGTATTTCTCATTGTGTACATTGAGTCAGAGTGTGTGTAGGATGTTGAAATCTACTTTTATTCTGCAGGAGCCATTTTCTTGTGAAGTAATGGACTGTGGGACATCTTTGTCAAGCCTTGTGGTGGAGCAGAGAGAGTTTACTCAAGTAGGTTGTGCATCCAGTTCTGAGGAAGTGGTGAGTTATGCTAGAGCAGTGTCTCTATATTCAGATCCAGTTAATTTTGATGCACGAGTGTTAAAAGTGTATGTTCCACTTAAGTGTGGTGATGACTTTCAGAGTCATATTGGAGTTGACTTTCAGAGTCATATTGTGGGTGAAAGATTAAATCATACTGGGGAGCAGATGTTTGAGGCTCCAGGTGTGCAATTCAAGTTGGAGGATAAGGTTATCCTACCTAGTGTTAATCATTGTGAAGGGTTTCAGATTGTCCTTGGGCGTTTTCCAGGTAATCTGCTGTTCATCTTCAAGATGTTAAGACCCTTAAACCTCTTGGATGATTGGTTGTCATCAGACGTAAATCACTTGGGAAGTGATGGTGAGGGTTGTAAAGTTTTCGGCATGTTTTATTTAGTCTCTTGGAAGACTAGACGGTTGATGAACGTGTGTGTTGTGTTCAAGTTCACCATCAGAGGGTGTGAACTTGTCTTGAGAGTTATGATTGAGATATGGTGCCTAGGCATATGCCTGTTTTCTTTCACTGATCGTTATGACAGAGTTATGAGGCAATTGATTTCTGTGTTCCTTATGGATCATCTGAGTCAGTTCGATCAGGTAGTCTTTGCACTTGTCTTGGGTTGTATTTCTTGGTTGGAAGGTCAAAGGTTTGATAAGTCGGTGTCTTGTGTTTCGGAAGGTTCTATGAATGGGAAAGTCTTATGCATAATTGTGAGGTTTAATGCTACTTTCTCTAATTTTAGTATCCATTGGGCGAGAGTATGTGTTCCACAGAGGATCAAGAGTGATGAGCAGATGTCTGTGTCAGAGCATACCCAGGAGAAGTCCCAACTCAACTCAACATACAGCCTGCTTCACTTAAGCAGTTCAGCTCCAGAAAAGGGGAGTAATGGAAAATCGAGGCTGTCTTGGGAAAATTCACCATGTGGAAAAGGAATCAAATGGAAAAATGAAACTGATCTTGGAGAAATAGTAGAAACATATGAAAAGCAAAATTGCCATGATAACTGTGTGAAAGCAGCTACCTTTATTGACAATTCTATTCATACTGTTGTAGATAGGAGTGTGAAATATGATATAAAACAAAGTGAAATAAATGAGATAGTACCTTGGAGAGATAAATTTGCATACTCCAGTGACACATATGTTGAACATAGTCATAAGACTGAAATTTCTGAGTTTCCTGTAAGACTATATTTGGAGTGTTTTCATTTTTGTCCAGAAATGTGTTCTTATTACTTATACATGTTTGGTGTAATTAATACCATAAATCTCAAGTGTCATACATTTTACTTTGAAAAAATGCCATTGATCTTCAATCTATTGCATTTTTTTTCTTGGAGGTGGAAGTGTTACGTACTCCTAGCAGAATACGTATATAAATTTAAAATAAATATTATTTTATTTTATCATTGCATGTATATGTACACATATTGTGTTTTGGGTAAATTGTCGTGTGGTTTGGCAGCGTCAGTGGACAGGAGAGCGGTTGTCTCTGCACACGTCTATTACTTGATTGATACGGGAAAGCTGGACCTGTTCAGTTTGAGAATTCCAGATGTCACTTTTATTTAGTTAAGAATTGTTTTATATACTGTAATTAAACAGGTGTCATTATACTTATATATTTTGTAAGCAACTATTATATGTAACTTGCAGTCTTATGTGTTTTGAGAACAAGTGGTTGTTCAATTAGTTTATAATATTAAAAAGTCCTTAGTTTCCATCCCTCATCCTGGGATGAGGCAGACGGGAGGTGAGAATGTGGGTGGCGACAGAGCGAGAGTTCAGTAGCTGATACTGGACCAGGAGGAGTAACAAGTGGGAGATAAGTCTGTTATTATTCATTTGTTGCCATAATTACTATTATATATATTGTGACATGACTATACAATCATATTCTATAAGTTAACTTTACCCTCTGTGTTTTTATATTATACTGTCTTGAATATATATGTATATAATTTATTCATCTATTCTTCAGTCCTAAACGAAGATTGTTATATATGTGCTCATTACTTATCAAGGGGTTATACTGGTGATTCGCTATTGAGAACAGCAGTTGTGTCGTATCCCTAGACTTATTAAAGTTTGGCTGCTGTAGGATCACGAGCCGTAACGTACGATAGGTAACACAGGCCAGTCATATTTTTTATGCACATTACATAACCTCAAATTGTATGTCCTTAGTCATAGACTATAGAGCATATACCTAGTAAATAGTCATATTCCTGGTTGAGATAAAATATTTCCCAAGTTGACAAAGCATCTTCAGTAAAATGTTGCCTGGAAATTATCCAATTCTTTTGAAGTGATTTATTTCTTTATACAGTAACGAGGAGAATTTGAATTACTGTAGCTTTTTTTTATGAAATTATGGATTATTATATTATTAATTGTTAGACATGGTAATGTTTGTTTAAATAATGCCAAGATTATTTATAAGTTTTTAATTACCTCATATAGATTTAGATAATTTATTATGTACCCTGTATTTGTCCTGTGAGCATAGGTGGAAAGGTTACAGAGGCACATAATGGGCTCAAGGACTGGGTCCCAAATATTTATTTAGTTAAGTAATTTACAGCATTGATGAATTATTTGGTCTGTTAGAATGGAATCAATAGAATCTTTACAGTTCTAGCTTAGTCTACTGTGCATATTGGTTTCCATTGTTGGGTACAGGAAGACTGTTCTGCTTATTGCGGTCCCCCCTTGCCAATGACTAATCCTTCTCCAGGATGTGAGAAGGATTAGTCATTGCACTGCTAACATGAACAGTCACACATTGGGCTTGGGCATTAAAACTTGTATTCTTTGTCTCAATATATTTTGTGAAAACGTTTCAATGGTAAGTCTAACAAAAGTGATGTCTAAGAGTACGATGACCTTATTGGATGACCCAGACATGTGTGGTTCTTATCAACAGGTTGCATACAACATGATCATCTGCCATACAATAGGAATTCAATATTATACCAATGCATTATTTGCTGAGATACTATTCAGAAACTGTAATGATTAATTATGTTATCTCTTTGCAGAGCATCTGTGAAATACAGTATTCAGCATGCATTGCCACTGAAAATTATACCCTGTACTTCATATACTGCCATAAAGGATCTAGGGCAGCTTAATCACTGGTATTAGTACCAGTGCCACATAGTGAGTTTACTTTCTAACTCGTGCTAACCTAACCCATCTTAGTCTAATTTAACTCTTACTAACATACCATAGTTTGCCTAACAAACAACTTGTAATGAAGAGAATGGGAATTTTGTTGTTGTACTGGCTGCAACTTTCCAATTAGTAACTGGTATTCCAGTGACTGGTGACTCTTACTTTAGGTTTGGCTATCTTTGCTTTTGATTTTAGGCCTAAGAACATAAGACTAAAAGAATCTGTAGGAGACCTATTGGCAGTTCCACTTCCACTAGTATACTGTATATGCCTAAATGATGTTTAAACCTTTCCATTGAATTGTTTGTGATATTACTTGGTAATTTGTGCCATAGATCTGCAACCCTATTCCAGAGGCAGTGTTTGCCTACCGTATTTATTTTCTAAATTTAAACCTATCAAACTTGAATTTATTTGTTTAAGTTTGATTTTAATTGGTATTTTTTTCTCCCTATTTATATTCATTTATTAAACCCTTTCATCCATTTGTAGACTTCATTCATATCAACTTTTATGCTACCTCTATCTAGAAAGTAAGTTGATCTTTCTAATTCCTGGCATTAACTAAAGAATTTATATCCATTCTATAATAGAGTTGCCTAAACTGTACTGCATAATCCATATGGGGGAATCTCTTAAGTGTAACATGATGAGCCTGTTTATTTCTCATTTCTCCTTTAATTTATAATCAGTTAGTGCTGAACAGGTGGACAATATGGTTTGAACCAATAACTTTGACTAGCAGATCATTGGAAATAAGTAATATTCAAGAAATTTGTTGCAGAAATGTATATTTAATTTAGGTTGAGAGGAGTCAGCACAGATCAGTTAAGGTCTGAAGGCTCTTGGGTAATCACAGTATGAGCAGCGGTAGTGACACAGAAGTGATGATAACATGTAAGCAATGATAATGGGACCCCTTAAAGTATGTAAGCCGAGGCTCCAGTATCAGTTTGCCAGTTTAGTTATGTATGGCAGCATCTGTATTCCTACTAGGATCGGCAATTGGCTTCAGCAGTCTGGTTCATAAGCTTTGTTTGGCAGGCTTCGGAAGTGCCATCATGTGGGACGTGGCCTTTGGATAATAGACCTCCAGTACACTATTGACAAGCACAGAAGTGCTAAGGGCTGGCAGTTGGTCACTTCAAGACAGGAAATTTTTAATAGTTTTTGAAAGCAGTGAGGCAGTGTGTGTTACTCTAACTGTTCTAGCTACCAATATGTAGTGTTAGTGATGTTGTGAAGAACCTGATAAGATTACTGAGAACTGTAGTACATGAAGGACGATGAAAGTGAGTGAGTGGTGTTCAATGAACATTTTTAATGAATAACAATAAACAATTGATATTAGTGACAACTAAAATTTGTGAGGTGACCCACTAAATAGTAGTGGTGAGTAACAGTGACACAGTGCCCATAATTAATGATAAAATAATAAGGGACAGTGAATTATGAAGTTTATTGCACAATATTTGTTTAATATTCACTGAGGGAGTGATTTGCAAGACCCAGAGTTTATTATTGGTGATAAAACAGTGCATGGCTGTAAGGCAGATCACAGTATTGTTGGTATAGTGACTTAAAAGCCATAGTATACTAAATTAATGGCAAAACTGCAGAGGATAGTGATGTACATGTATGTGATGTTTATGAATAATGTACAATAGCACTTTTGTTACAGTACTTAACAGAGATATGTAGTACCTGGTGCAGGGCACGATAGCTACTGTATTTTTGTGACAGTATGAGAGCCTTCAGACAATGAAGACAAGCTCTCACAGATCAGACATTCACTGGGGAGAGCTGCAGGGGGTAAATTTCAAAATCATCAACAGGTAATCAATTGGCAATGATTTATGAAGTTCAGTGCCCAATAGTTATTTTAAAAACCAATTACCAGTGGGAATATAAATTATCAAGTGCTGATAAACAGATTACTGGTGGATTAGTATTTCTAAATATCAGGGTGTAGCCCAGTAGAGCTTATGGACTTGTAGTGATAACAATGCTTATGAACTCACAGTGATAACTCTACAGCTGGAGGAAAAAATCTGTGGAAGGAACAAGCCAAATTTGAATATATTGTCCATACAGTATAAGTAAATTGCAAACTAAACATAACCTATTAGAATCTGAGGAGAATCAGTAGTGTAAAGAGGGGTCACAGGACCTGATTGGTAGGTTCACTTTTTTGTTGTACACAGGAAGGTATAGGAGTAAATGACTTTTGACGTTTTGACGCCTATTAGTAGGCTTAGTGGCCTTAGTTTTACATACAGGGTATTTTATTTTCTCCAAGTAAAGCCTTTAATCTCGTGTTGATCCATTGTGGGTTGTCATTGTGTTCTTGAAAGCTTTAAGAAGAATATCTTTTAGTGTTTTGTAATATTCATCTTCATTTGGGTAGTAGTAGTAGGCATCCATCAGTCTCGGGAGACTATGGAGTTGTGCTCTGGTTGTCGGTCTGGAGTGACCTACTCATGGCGCAAAGACAGGGTAGGATGATACGGGGGAGAAGCTGTCACCCATGCAGCAGGTCCCCCTTATCCACAGCGCAGAAATTCTCCAATGGAAAGGCAAATGCCAATACGATTGGTTCCAGCGCCGTCGCAGGAACTGTCATTATGTAGTTGATTCAACAACGTACTGTCCTAGGGGCTCCAGCTCTGAAGTTTACCTCGAAGTTGGTAAAAGAAGGCACAGGGACAACAAACCCAGAGACTGCTGTGGTGGGAGCTGGAAAAGAACCACCCCAGCAAGGGCAGGAACGACCCCAGTCTCCTGAGGCAGAGCTTGGGCCACACGAGCCCCAGGAGGTGGATGTCTGAGCCCTGCACCTACGGGTTCCAGACAGAGATTGTCATAGCCCCCATTCACCCGAGTCCGGCTTCCTTCATAACCCAGCAGAGGAAGAGATAATTATTGGAGGAGCAATAATTATTCATTAATTTTATTATTATAATAATAATTGTTGTAATTAATATTTATTCTTCATTTGGGTACCTTAGTGCCAGGTCACTTACAGGTGGAGTTGCATTACATCCTGAGGAATGTCTATTACTGTGCTTAAGGTTGCCCAATCTACCCACATTTGGTCCAGTCAAATCCACCATAACTTGGTTAAGTGGCATTAGGTTAGAACAGGTTAACTTTGCTTAGTTAAAGCTTCATTCATTGATTGACTCAATTTTACAATTTGAATTTCAGTTCAAATATTGGCGCATGCGTAGAAGCACAAGTTCGAAAGCTCACTACACGTGAAGTCTCACTGAGAGGCACTGTGGGAAGGGAACTGGGCTGCACACTCACCCCACAAAGCACTATTGTAAGTTTTATGCACTCTTAATGTGACTTGAGCAGTCCTAGTTTAGCAGCATATTGATTCTGAGCAGTAGAAATACTGTACTGTTGTTTTATCCACTTCTCTCCATGAAGGTTGGTTTTTTTTTTTTTTTTTTTTTTTTTTTTTTTTTTTTTTTTTTTTTTTTTTTTTTTTTAGGCAGCCCCCCCAGTAACTTCCCAGAGCTTCAGCATTGGAAGGAGTTCAGGTCTAAAACCAAGCTGCCAGATACCTGTGGCAGTTTTGGCCAGGTATCTGAAGCAAGGACCAGAATCTTGCCTACTCATATAGGTAGTGATCAGAGATCAACTGACTACTAAGGAAAATTGCCCTGAAAGCCAAAAAGTCATAAAAGCTCAAAACATGCTAGATAAATGTGCAGTAAAAAGCAATCTCTAAATACTTGGGACAACCAACACTCCACCTCAATGACTATCCCACCATGACAAGATGCCAATGTCAGCCATCCAGGGCTCCAGTGAGGTTACCCTCTCCCTTTCTTGCCTGGTGCTAACCTGACCTGACTAGCAGATGATGAGTCCCAAGAACGTGGCTGAAGATGTGATGACCAAATCACACACCAGAAAACGAAGAAATGACTAATTTCTTCTTCCGTCTAGTGTCCTGCAGAGGCCAGTTTTAATTCGGTGTCTAGCAGTGCTTTGTATTTCCAATAAGTGTGTGTGTGTGAAAGTGTTTGCTGAACACTTCCCAAAATATGCTTGTTAGTCACCTTGCATGTTTTGGGCTGCTTTAATCTACTTTGGTTTTAGTTTAGGGTTCTCTTCCCTGAAGCTGTTGGTGAAGATCTGTAACCACTGAAGTTGCATTCTGTATGGTTTTTAGATGCCTTTTGATAGGTGGACTCCTTTCAAGTGTTTTTGTGTTTTAGGTAGTGCATCAGGCTTGGTCACCAAAGTAAGACCTGTTGAGGAAAGTGATGCAGGTAGAACATAGTACTGTCAGAGCACAGAGCACCACACACATACTACTTGAGACTGTTTGTGGTGCTCTTTCACTTCAGTAGGTGTCAGATTCCTGTCCATTTATCTGGGTGTGTGGAGTGAGTGGTGTAAAGTTATTAGTTAATTATTTCTGTAATTCCTCATGCCTTTTCTTCTCCCTGTTAGGCATGTACACCTGCCCTAGTGCCTAATTTTCTGCTTGAAAGCCAGTTTACTGTGTAAATTCAGCCTTATGCAGCACGGAGGTGGTCTACCTCTTATCTTTGGTAGTTGTACCATAATGTATTGCCTACCCAGTTCAAAAGGCTGCTTTGGTCACTTGTATTTTGGAAGAGTGTTTCAGGCCCTGAAACTGATTGAAAATTAATTGAAAGATATCTTTGTTATTTGTGCTGATTCTGCTCCTGGGGTGTTGTGTATTCTCCACCATGTTTAGAGTATATCTTGCAGTGTGTTGTGTTGTGTTTTTGGGCATCATTTGACATCCTTGTTGTCTCTGGAATATCTCTTGCCATTTTCTCCAGGGTATTATTCAGGCTTCCTGCCTGGCTGTTTTTTCCAAAACTTTATTTGGGGCTTCAGACTAGTTACCCATTCCATGTGTTTGCCTCGGTCTCAATGCTAATAGTGTCAGTGTCTTTCTTATCTCAGCGATATATATCCCTCTGTTATTTCTGTTCAAAAACTTTATTTATGTGGCATGCTTTTTGGGTTGTAGTGCACCTTTTGTCCCAGTTCAGAGGCTGCTTGTCTTTGGCTTGCATGTTGTTGATTATCTAGGGCATTGTATGCATCTCATGCTTGACTGTTTTTCCTGGAGCTTTGTTTGGGTTCGGATCTGTTGTTCATGCTGTGGAACTGTTTGTCTCTTATATATATTTATGATTTGCAAACTAGTAAATGACTAGTTTCTGCAGTCCATCTCCTGATGTGGAACAAAGTATATCACATGTATGTCACTTATTTGTGCATGTCATGCACTTAGGGTAAGCTCTTTGGCTTAGGTTAAAGAAAGCAGCCCGATATGAGGCTATAGTATTGGGTATGAGCTGCATGTTTGAAAAAGGAGGAGGAGGAGGAAGAGGACAGGAACAGAGAACAGAGAGCAGAAGGCTGAGACTGGGCAATATAAAGCTGTAGAACTCGCCAGACTCTCTGTTACTGGCGACGAGAACAGTCCCTGAAGTTTTGGATGTGAAGCATTACTACCTCCCCATGCAGGCAGTTGTAGAGATGCTATTTGAAACTCAACATATGATGATTGGTGAAGAGCTGAAAGGTAATTTTGTATCAATGAGGGCTAATCCTCTGTGTTAGATAACCAAGTCAGAATTGGCACCAAGAAAGCTAGCAAGATAACAAGACCCACAAAGCTTTCTAGCTTCCAAAGAACACCAAAAGCATCTGGACTTTGTGGAAACAGATTAATTTACTCCTACTGGTTTCAATAGACCCACAGCACCTTCACAACAAACTTATGATTGAGGAACAGTACCATGTACATGTGCAGCTGGTGATTCCATGCAGATAGACAGACTAGACTTACCTGAGGAACTCTGAATGTGTTGTATATCGAATGGAGGGAGGCCTCACTCAGAGCAGCATACTCCATCCCTATCAGACAAAACCAGGATAAACTGTGAGAACACTCAAAACTCCTGTAATGTTGGCTGTAGTGGGTACTTGATAGTTAATTAATTTCAGAACGATGCAGGGTTACCCTAGAGGTCCCAGGGATTGTTTAGAAGGGGTGGTGAGTGGTTTGAGATATTCTTTAATATTATAGAAAGTGGTTTCTCATCTGTGGTGAATTGAGATGTGTCTTCCATTATGCTTCCTGCTCTTAGAATGCAGGAGACTTTAGAAGGTTGCATATCTTGGTAATGCTGAAAGTCACTCAGTATGACATGCAAGCAACTCACTGGGTGAATTCAGTATTATGGTTTAGTAGAGCTACTGTTGCAGCTTTGACAAGCATTTCATTGCACTCGGTACTGTTTTCAGTCAATAGTTTTTATTATATATTAAATGTCTATAGTTTCCATGCAATTTTGGTGTTAAAATTTGTTTGAAAATGTGTTCTTTCTGTTTAATATTTTCTCTTGTCTACCTAACAACAGCCAAAAATTGCATTGTAGCACAACAGAAGACTCCATCCAGTCGATAAGGTAGTCCCAATTATTCTACTGGAGGGAGACTTCAGTCTGTTTTATTACCGAATAACAAACTTCTTTTATGTTGGAGCTCTTTGTTAATCTTCTTGGCCCCCCTTGTAATAAATTTCTAAAACTTATTTTGAATGAAATTGATCTGAGACATTTTGTCCCTTTTCAGTTGTCATGTTTTTATAGGAAAGTGTAAACAATAATTGTAAAAAAAGTTTGTTTTTAGATTGTTTAATTAGCCTGAAAAACATTGAATCTTTAATGTATACACTATTCTTGTCCAACAGATGGCTCGTAAGCGTGAGGAAAGGGCCATCAAAAATGCACAGCGTGCTGCAAGAAAAGCTCGTGCCAGCCAGGGTGGACAAGACCCAAGTTTTATGTCATTAAAGCAGCAGTTAGTTGCTATGGGACTCACTCTCAGAGAAATTCCTGGTGATGGGTAAGCTTTGTTTGTAGTTTCTGAGGCATAATGAAATAAGTATTGGGACTAATCTGACTTTCTCATCTGTGGTGAGAAAGTGGTGTTTCACATGATTGCACACACCAATGTTTCTATTGGCTAAAATTTAAAAAAAAAAAAAATTTCTTGTGTTTTCAAATCAAATATCAACTTAGTGCAGAAAATTTCAGAAATTTATATAAATACAGTATTGTATTAGAATTTGTTAAATAAATTTAATTTGGGTTTGTAAAAGCACATGCAACAGTTATTTCAAGGCACCTCCAAGGTGAGAGACTGTGACTTGCCTGCCTTCTGGTTGCACACAACTTGATCCAAGAGAGGGTTGAGAGCTAAATCTAACAGTTGCAAGTACTCCTGTGGACTGATGTGTGTTAGGTTGCTCCTCAGCCATTTAAAAGGGTTGCAAAACTAACATTAAGGTCATGTGGCAATCTTGAGGTTATCTTGAGATGATTTCGGGGCTTTAGTGTCCCCGCGGCCCGGTCCTCGACCAGGCCTCCCCCCCTCCAGGAAGCAGCCTGTGACAGCTGACTAACACCCAGGTACCTATTTTACTGCTAGGTAACAGGGGCATAGGGTGAAAGAAACTCTGCCCATTGTTTCTCGCCGGCACCTGGGATCGAACCCAAGACCGCAGGATCACAAGTCCAGTGTGCTGTCCGCTCGGCCGACTGGCTCCCCGACCGGCAAGCATAACCTTAATGTTAGCACTAGTAGTAGTAAGTAGTAGTTAGTAGTAAGCACTACTTCCAAGCAACTGGCTGTTGTACCAAGCTCTCACAAGTCAAGCCTTTGGCTTGGGGAATAGAAGAACTCCCAGAACCCCATCAAGCAGGTATTGCCTAAGAGAGCATCAGAGTGGCCTGCTAAAAAAAAGAAAGCTTTACTGTTCTCAGTAAGCTCGGAGTTCCACCTGTGAAGTGAATATGTTTTCTGTGGAGATTCTGATTTTACTTTTAGCTTCCTCGGTATGAAAAGGAAAACATAACATAAAATGTTGACCAAACCACACACTAGAAAGTGAAGGGACGACGACATTTCGATCCATCCTGGACCATTCTCAAGTCAATTGTGAAGTTGCATATTGAATGGTCGTCCTGGACCATTCACAATCACTTGAGAATGGTCCAGGATGGATCAAAACATCATCGTCCCCTCACTTTTTAGTGTGTGGTTTGGTCAACATATTTCAGCCACGTTATTGTGACTCCTCGTCTGCTTAACATAAAATATTGGTTTGAGCCATTATGATTGAATATTTTATTCAGCATATGTTTTTTTTTCCAGAAATTGCTTATTTCGAGCTCTTGGGGACCAGCTAGATGGTACACCAAATACTCACCAAAAGCATAGACAAGATGTAGTCGCTTATATGAGACAGCACCGAAATGATTTTGAGCCATTTGTTGAAGATGATGTCCCATTTGATAGACACTGTGAGTCGTGATTATTTAGATGTTTAATTTTCTGAGGTAAGGCTCCTTGTATCCTGCCTGTACCAGGGCCCATATGGTCCACCCGTCAAGCTTTCAGCAACTTTGTTCCTTACTATGGCAAGTATCTTTGCAAATGGTTTTATAATCCACTGAGGGACCAGCTCAATATCTGATAAGAGAGTAATGCCTTCAACACCCCCCTCCCCTGCAAGTAATAATTAGAAACACAAGGAATGCAAATTATTGCTCTGCTAACTATCATTTCAGAATCAAAGTTATATGTTATATTAACATATAAGTTATATACACATATATAACAAAGTTATATACAAATGCTGATACCAGGTGGTAGTAGTCACTGAAGGTGTAAAAGATATTGTTCACTCTGTTGTCCAATAGAGAGCTAGTTCCTCAGTGGCTCAGTGGTGATCCGAGTTAAACTTCTTACTGTCTACCTTCCCTAAAAATCCTTGATAAGACCATTTGCAAAGAATCTTGCCATAGTGCAGTAACAAGGTTGACGAGAGCCTGATGGGGTATTAACTCGTGCACTGTGCATAACGTCATTTGATCAACCGGTGGTGTGCATCACATCACGATGTTTTAGGTACAACACTTTGCAATATTTAACAATCCTGCTGGTATACAGTTTCCCAATTTGTATTTGAGGCCTTCCATAAACATCTGACATTTAGAAAGTGGCTTATGTTTTGGGGACCTTGTCCCTATGCTCAGAGCATGGTGTTTAATTATATTGAAAGACAAAACCTTATTTTTAAAACTATTTTGTGTGCATTCAGATAATGTTGTGCAACCCTTGCAAAATGCAAAGGTTGAGAAAAACGGGTGGACTGTATAGGTTCTGGCTTATGAAAAAACCAAGTGACTGGTTCAAAAAGGTATATTATATTTTGCTAAACACCCAGTCATTTGTATTTTAATTAATTAGTTAATTAAAATCTTTGCATTTGATTTATGGAAGATTTTGTTACTCTTTACTATTTCCTATAATCATTTAAATTTTGATTATTTATTATTCATATGATGACTGAATTTACAAGGACATTAATTTTGTATAAGATGTGGTGAAGCTTATTGCCATGTCATGTAATGTATAGAGGTAGTTATGAAAAAATTAATTTATTCATAGCCACACTAAATATTTTGAAAGTCTTGTTTATTGAAATTTAAGAAGTGTTGTTAATAAATATGCTGTTGTAAGTGTGGGGAGTGGTATGTATTGTCATTTTTTTTTTTTGGAAAAGTACTGGTCAGTAATTTAATGTAAGGATAGGGATCTGTAGCATAGCTAAATATTCTTGCCTCTAGGGGTCTTAGCATTGTGTTTGTTTCAAACACTCACAAACAAGCAATATTTGCACGTAGCTTTATCTGCCTTTCCCAAAGAGAGGGATGATATTTGCATATTTCAAATCCAGGGAGACTTTTCCTTCGTCTAGGGAGTTTCTGAATAAGAGTTGGAATGATAGACACAGTTCACTGGCCATTTCCTTTATGAGTTTGGATTGAATGCCATCTGCACTTGGAACTTTTGATTCCTTTAATTTGTTTATGCTCTTCCTGATTATTTTAAATGTCATGGGTTTTGTATATATCCCTTAATTCATTCTCTTCTGTTTCAAAGGTCTGTGTGGGTATCAACATGTCTGTTTCTAGTGTGAGAATACTTATGCAAAGTATTCTTTCAGTGTCTGCTGCTTATGCTTTTATTTCAGTTTCAATTAATGCAGTCTTGTATCCACAGTGAGCAACCTGGCTGAACTTGGCACGTATGCAGGAAATGATTGTATTGTTGCCTTTGCCCGTCTACATGAAGTTGTGGTTGTGATCCACCAATTGAATGCACCATTGTGGCAGGTTTGTATTTAACTGTTTTTTTTATATTTTTTCTGTTTTGGTTGTTTTTACCATTTTATATTTCCCTTTGCACAAGTTAGAAGATGCATAAATAATTTTTACTCAGACATATCCCTACTTGCAAGTACTGGTGGCAGTTAAGTGGTGTCCTTAAAGTTTGTGAGTCTTACAGAGGTTTAGTTTGTGCATTTCAAACCAGAGGTTCTTAACCTTTTTGAAGCTGGCCCCTAACGTCCCCTGTTGATCAAGCTTCAACTCTTGGTGTTCCCTCACAAAGTTCAACTAGTGGCACCCCCCATCTGTTTCTAGATGCATTTTCACAAGCTCATTCATAATCCATAGAAATATTGGAGTTGATTCTTCCTCATAAGCATTGATGATACATGAACATTACTCTGGCAGTAAACCTAACTCCTGCTTGAATGGCCAGATTAGTACGATCCTTCTGCTCCCTCCTGGACTTTGTTGAATCTGAAGTTCATTATTCTTTGCTATTTTATATCAAACATTGTTAATATTAGCATCAATAATTGAACATGCTTTTGCGTGCATTTTAATATAAAAATCAATTGAAACGTGTGTGAATAGTTTGTTGATTTTCTTACTTTTTGTCACCAAATTTCAGTTCTGTGAATTCACAGCCTCGCTTCATCATGAGACCTCCATTATTTACCATTACAAACAAGTATGATAATCATGCTCTTGAAATAATTTCTTCCCCTGAATCTGGCCTACTGGTGCACCGATTTCTTTTAATTCACGAGTCCAGAGAACTTTCTACATCCAGTTTTCCCTCGTCAGGTGTGTCTCCCTAAATTCTTAAGATTATAATTGTGTTCCACAGCAATTACAGTATATATTCAGAGTCAGATGTGTTAACACAGTCTTTGAATTTTTGAGCCCCCTCTGGAAAATTGAAATGTTCCCTTGGGTTAAGAGCCACTGTTCTACATGCATATGTTTTGTAATGAAGTAAATCTAGTAATCAAATTAAAACTGTTTGGCTATAAAATAGGCAGAGTGTTAACATTTTTATTTGCATTAAGATATAGTAGTACACAAAATAGTGCACAAGGGTGAAGCTGATAGAGATATAGGAAGAATGGAAGTGTAGATAAGAGTTAGGTCTTGGAATTAAGGAAGTGACAAATAATCTTTGAGGAATTATGCAAGACTTGGGAATGAATACTGAACTGCCAAGTGGATGTAATAGACATATGGCAAATGAGCATGGATTAAGAATTTTGATGTCATTTTTTATATCTGAAGAGTAAATTTGTTGCAATACGTGGGAGAAAATAGTTAATATCTGTATATGCAGTATTTGAAAAATGTGTTGATAATTGCCACAATACCATGTACAGGGCCCTAGAGTCAAAATATATTTTATGATGGTCTGGATTTCATTTGAGTACAGTATTAATTAACACTTTCGCGCTATCTGGACGCGCTGGCGCGTTCGGTTTCGTCTAACACAAACGCATAGTGGACATAAAGTTATGTCTACTTTTAAAATATTTGTATAAAATTAAATTTTTATCCGATTTACTTTGGGTTTGTTTCAAACTGCGCGCTATGAGGCTCTCTTTCTCACCACTAGGCTGCATGGTACAATAAGTTCATGAAAGGTGTGGATAACTTCGATCAAATGGTATTTTGTCCCAAACGGGTTGCAGGTGGGTGACTTTAGCCGTTTATACTGGTAATTCTTCCCCCATATCATGTATTATATGCATATGTCTGTTTAGGGAATTTTATTCCGATCAATATACAACCAAAAATAACTGTGTGCAACAAGTATAATCTTGACAAACATAACAAAAGTAAAAATATTTCGTGTGTGTTTGACGCTCACTGATATGTTCCAGCGTTGTTTTATATTTGTCGCTATTCTAACTTACGCTTTGTTGATATTTTTTACCTATGGGCACATAGAACATTCTATTGCGAACACATTGACATAAAAATGAATGACGTACATAGAAAATTAATGTCATGAGAGTGAAATAAGTATAAACTTTCAAAGCGCCGTGCGTCGTCCCGTCACCGATATCGGGTAACAATTTCACCACTTCCCACACTCTTGCGGGCGGGCTGCATCATTATTCTACGCTTATATCCATATCACCGTGTTGGGAATTTCATTGCGAGTCCATTGATACCAAAATTACCGCTGTAGAACAAGTGTGGAGGTGATTACAATCCCAAGAGTAAAAACATTTTGTTGCTGATGGGCGCTCACGGCGAGTCATCTACGTAGTTATTTATTTGGTGCTGGTATCCCTATATGTTTCATGACTTATTTTACTAATGTTCTTCTAGAGAATTTTATTGCGAACACGTTGGTACCAAAATGAAATACGTAGCATGAGAACTAAGGTCAGAAGAGTAAAAAGAGTACTGTATACACATTTTTGGTTTTACGCTTAAGCGATAAAAACGCAGCGCGCACATTCGGTTGGCTGAGTGACCTTTGCGGAGAGCGCGAAAGTGTTAAGAAATTTTTTCGCTTCTGGACATGGAGATAAAAAGGAAAGGAGACTGTATGTGGAAGGCGTATGACTTTAGACCATTGTTTATCCAATATAGAACTGGATCATGGAAATGGCCAGACCCCTAGGTGAAAGGGATATTATATATGAATACACATGCCTTTAATTAAAGATGAGAAGACTAAAGGTAGAAGTAATATTGAAACTAAAAACAACATATTTTTGGGAAACACTTGGACACACATGAAGATTTGTTGATTCCAGGAATCGGTAAAAAAATCTTGATGTTGAAAAAAATGAAGATTAAGGTTGTTGATAATTGTTTAGTTTTGAAACTGATGGTTAATGATTGAGCTCTGGAAATATTGACAGTAAAGTCATAATTAATAATACAATACATAACAATATTATCAATTTCAGCAACATGAGCAAGATACTTGATAAGAGTGCTGTAAAATTGTATATTCACTTGAGTTTGTACAGTTATTCATTAATAGCAGCTGGCCATTTACTGTAACAGAAAAATGTTACAATAATAAAGTCAGGAGAGTAGAGTGGTAATGATGGCTTCCTCAGCAAGTTTGGCAAGAAGTGTATGTTATATTCTGAGGTTTTGAGTGTCTAGAACACAAGGAAAGTTCCTCTCAAAGTTTTCTGGCATTAAGTTTAGGATATTGGTTGAATTTAGGATAATGTTGACAATCATATTCTGAGAAATAATTTTTAAAGTTAAATATTTGTAATAAATTTCTCATCACAAATATCTTCATGGTCCATAAAAGTCCTTGAAATTTTACATATCATCAAGGATTCCTACTATGGGTGTCAGTCAATGGATGGTGACTCACCTGACATGGTGTGTGGATTTTTAATAAAGCCGAGGAAGGAATCTCAGACTTTCTTGATTATTTTCCATTAAGGCAAATGATTGCCAGAGGGCTCTAGTGTCAAATGATGTTCAAATAGAATCTTTAGGACTTTTGAATAATACAGGGCAATACAGGGCACCAGACCCCTATCAGTTGAGGGAGATGGGAGCAGTTTAATGTTTAAGAGAGATGAAATCTAGTGTGAAAAAGTTCATGCAAAACCTATTTTTCTGTGGGGATAACTCTTCTGCTTCCTGGAGCTATCAGGGTAATGTGTGATATATTAGACTGGGGCATTAGTCTATGGAGTTCAGCCTACCAGGGACCATGAGCCAGAACCTGGCCCTATTGATCTAAAAATTAGTTATGTAACATATCCCTATTACTGCATACAAAATAGCAGAATAACATACTCAAGAATTAATTGAGTATGTTAGGGAAGTGTAGTGGAGTAAACTGGGTAATAAATATTTGCAAAAGGCATTGCCTAACTTGAGGGTTTTGTGCTAAAGAAAATGTGTAGGACTTTCATTGCCATGGCAATTAAATATTTGTTGAACACATGCATGGGATTGGTTGGAAGATGTAAAGCAAGATGATGGACTTGATTAAGGGTTAATATGTATCAGTATGGAGTATACAAATTTTGCATGTTCTGGGAATTTTAGTTAAAATGCTATCATTAGGGCAAATAAGAGATGAAATTATAACACTGAACAGAATCATGATAGGACCAGCATAATTTGTTATTGCAGGATTGGTTGTAGAGCATAGAAACGGCTTTTTTTCTTTTTTAAAGGGGTCATGATGTGACAAAATCCCTTTAGTAGCTCGTTTGGGATTATGTTCTTTGTTTATGTTTCTTTTAGCCTGTTTACACTATCAAAGACTAACTTGCATTTCTCTAGATGATGGAAGAGCTATGTGTGATACTTTCCACAGCTTCAAAATAATTATGAGGTAAGGTCTAATTATATATTAAATGGTGGAAGGTAGACATGTTTTTGCAAGGGTTACTAGGCAGCAAATACTTTCTATTTTAAGAATATTAACAAATATATTTGTTGCATAAGTGAAGCTTCATTGGTGAAATTTTCTGTAGGTTAGTAGAGCCTTGGTGTAGTGGTAATGATGCAAGAGTGTTGTGGGGACAATGCTGGAACAGAGTAGTGATCAAGGTAAGGTTAAGTAATTATGAAGAGAAACCACTAAGCCTGTTTGACAATAAGGCACATGAAAGGGATAGGAACTAGGATACGAGGCCGGGGTGAAGAAACTGTACCCAACCACTTGGACCATTGGGGACCGAATGCTGACCTGCACGAAACGAGTGCATCAATGTACCGACCAGTCCAATTGGATGGACCAAATAATTGTATGGTTTTTCAGGACGCAATTAGAAGTGCTTCTATATCTTTTAGATGATCGTAGATAAAGGTAGGTTCATTGGAAAATTCTGTGAGGCTGTAGAAGATGAAGAGGCTAATTATTGCATTGTTTTCAGATTCATTATGGGAATGAGGTTTTAGGTAGTGGTGATTATGGAAAAGAAGGACTAAGACTTTAGTTAGAGACAAAAGCAGAATATTTTCAGCTTGTGCAACTGAGTCACAAGGTGTAGGATTTTTTAAATTTTCAGAATGCTATAATAAAAAAAGACATGTACTGTATATTGAACATTATTAAGATGTTTTGAGAAAGTTGCATTTAATACCAACCCATCATAAATATTTTGTTATACTGTGTATTAATTAACTACAGCTTTACAGTAGGGCTGCACATTTAACATATATAATTATGCTCTAATTTTTTTTGGGGGTGGGCTAATGTAAAAATTTGATTCTTTCACAAAATATGGGTTTCTTAGAAGATATTGGTTTCTGAGCTATCCCACTTGATCCCTAAAGCAGCCAAGATCTTACTTGCCTCTGGACAGGATTGGCAACAATCTGGCAGTTCAAAACTTCCACAGTGGCCTACTGGAGAGCCTCCCAAATTGTTCCCTCTAGATCATACTGCCTAGGTAAACACAGAAGAACACTCAAACCCGTCCAGGTTGTAAACAGGAAGTGCTTACCTTCTAGGTGCAGCTTGGCAACACAGATCATCAAACTGTGTCCTGGCAAACTATATTTAGGGTACAACCACTGATTTCCACCTCACCACAATAATGCTTCCATCTTTCATTCTGACTTGCATAAGTGACAAGTCTTGCCAAATGGACATTGATTCTTTCACAAAGTCATTTGTTATCCTTAGGGTCTTCTCACCATGTGTGCAGTAGGCTTTTGCTACATCTGTAAATGCTTCAGCACATGTGTGCATGGGTGTGAGGGATGTGTATGTGTGTTATCATCATCCAGTAACTAGAGTTTTCTGTGGTAGGCATTCAGTTATCTTTTGTGTATTTGGTCAAGCCGTGCTGTCCAACAGTGGGTATCACCATCTGGATATATCTATTTGTCTGAGATTACTTTAGTGTTGGACCACCACTGTGTAACACCCAGAGACTTACCCTTCTGCCTGGTCAGCCACCTCCAGAGTTGAGTTGTTTTGGTTGTGCAAATATCTTGATGGAAACATTCCTTTCCTCCCTCACCCTTCCATAATTAATCTCCTTCCCTCCTTGAGAAGTGTACAATAGTGTCAAACAACTTTGATGGAAAAATTCCTGTGTATTGCAATGGGGGGGGGCTAAGTGATTACATCTAAAGAAGAACCCTCTCAGTAAGTTGCAATTGTTTCCTGTCACCTTACTGCATTTGCTTTAATATCTCACTAAGACAGTTTTTTGGCAGCATTAGGGACACACACACACACACACACACATTAATATACTGTATTTAACTTTTTAATGGGTTGATGGTAAGATTTTAATTATTTTAGCTGTAGAAAATTGTATTAGCTAAGCTCTAAGAACAATTCTGAAATTTAAAAAACTGAATTATTAATTATGTCATTATTTTAATCCTGAAGATTTGTGGAAGAGACGGCAAAAAGAATATGGCAGAACTTCACATATCATACCATAATGGAGACCATTATAACAGTGTGCGGAGAATTGGTGACTGTTCATCTAGTCCTGCTTGCATCAAATTATCTGTAAGTAACTTCTACATGCCTACTGATAGTTTTATCTAATACATTTGGTATATGTTTGTGTTATACTGGCTCTGAGCAATGTTTCCCCAGTAACTCCCCTCTGCCTTTACATTGATACCATCAGGATATTGAATATGTCAGGTTTGGATGTCTTTTATGGCTACAGGGACAAGTATCCTTGCAAATTGATTTCTCTTTGACAATAGATGGGGCTGCATAGTGAACATGATTGAATTCACTACTGATAGAAACTACCTGCCTAGGCACAAATGCATCACAGTACACAAACTCCCCTTAAATTTTTGTGGGGTTGTGACGTGTTGGAGATAGCGCAGCTACTTCCCTGGCAGGTGTTGTGTGCCTAACGCACATTAAAGAAAAAAAGATAAGCAGTTTTTTCAATTTGTTTTATGTCCCTTGCGGTGATACCTGCTTGATGGGGTTCTGGGAGTTGTTCTACTCCCCAAGCCCAGTCCGAGGCCAGGCTTGACTTGTGAGAGTTTGGTCCACTAGTCTGTTGCTTAGAGTAGCCCGCAGGCCCACATATCCACCGCAGCCCAGTTGATCCGGCACTACTTGGAGAAAATGATCTAGTTTTCTCTTGAAGATGTCTGAACAAAAACACTTTATTTTACTTTACTCAAAAATAGTTACTATAGAATTATATACACTGTGCTGTACTTCCTCCGTCACACGTCATAGACGAGACCACATTGAGTGAGGGAAGACATATGCACCAAGAGAGAGCATCAGGAGTAATCTGAGTGCTGGGTCGCCAGCCACTGTTTATATACACCAGCGGGTGACGTCATGCTGGTGGGTAGCAGGGTTGAAATAGTCAGCCGGCAGAATAAGGGTAGTTAGCCAGGCTGAACAAGTAACTGGCGAGCACCTGACTTGTCGGGCTCTCGGGCAGGGCAGGGGGAAGACCGTGGTGGAGTGTTGCACCCGTCTGATGTTGAAAGCGGTAGGAAGATGCATATCCATTGCTATGCAGGGGAATAATGTAACAGGGTAAACAAACAAACCTTGGCTGCCTCCAGATACTGACAAGTATATAAGATTGGAGGATATCTCACTCTTAAGGCTAGCTCAACAGTTGGATACATTGCTGTTTTTTCCAAGGAGTTTTATGAGTGTTTAGTTTTCAGCACTTGTGACCCCATCCAGGCAGCACAATTTGGGTTCCAATCAATTGGCAAAAGTTTTACACTGGGGAGCTAACTAAAGCCAGCCCAGAAATTAATCTTTGAATGTAATGAAGTCCTTTCCTGGAAGATGTACATAATTCCCAATACAGTACCTGTCCTTTACCCTTCTTTCTTGTAGAGCTCGGGACATTTTGGGGAAGGCATGCGAGTAAGGCAAACAGGCGGGTTGAACTCTTGAGTGACCTTTGCTGTCACCTGGTGGTGTACTTGGATAGTAGTGCATGGTTTGTTGACATTTGGCAAATTACCACTTCCCTCAATACCATCTTTTTTCTCTTTAATCGTGATACAGTGGTACCTCGGAATGCGAGTGTCCCTGTATGCGAGTTTTTCGGAATACGAGCAGGATTTCCTCGGAAAATATGTCTCGGAACGCGAGGGTTACCTCGGGACGCGAGTTTGTTGATATGCGTACAGGCCGACCCAGCGCGTGGTGGTTCGGCGATCGTCGCCCCTCCGCCCCTCAGTTTACCATTGTCTCGCGCCCAGTGACTACCCCACATCAATTCTTCTCATGGATTTTCAGTGTTTTGTTGGATTTTTGGTGATTTGACTATACAATTTGTTATCATATATCGCACCATGGGTCCCAAGAAATCCAGTGGTAAGGATAAATGCCAGAAAGCCCATGTGAGGATGACAATAGAGGAGAAACAAGAGATCATTCGGAAGCATGAGAACGGTACACGTGTTGTTGAACTTTGTAGGCAGTACAACAAAGCCACATCAACAATATGCACTATACTTAAGAAGAAAAATGAGATTGAGTGCTAAAGTGGCAAAAGGAGTCAGAACAATAACGAAACAAAGACCACAAATACTTGGAGAAGTGGAAAAGTTATTAATTTGGATACACGACAAGGAGTTAAGGGTGATAGTGTTTCGGAGGCCATTATTTGTTAGAAAACCAGGGTTTGGACAGATTTGTGGTGAGGAAATCGAGCAGTGAGCCTCAACCAGGACCTAGTGGCACTCAGATAAAACGTCCCAGGGAGAGCACACCAGAAAGGTCCTCACTGCCTGATGTGATAATGGAAGGGGACTCCCCTTCCAATCAGTAACTCCTCTCCTCCTCCCCCTCCTCACCATCTTCCATACGCCTACAGCATTCAACAGCAAGGTAAGTAATAACTTGAACATAGTTTTGTAGGTTTATTTAGATGAATTAGGTATAAAAATTTAGTTTGATGTGGGGTTTTTGGGGTAGTCAGGAACGGATTAATTCATTTCCCTTTATTTCTTATGAGGAAATTAGCTTCGGAATACGAGTTTTCGGAATACGAGGTGTCTCCAGGAACCAATTAAACTCTTAAACTGAGGTATGCCTGTACAAAGTTTTACTGTGCTTTATTGGAAGTTTTACCCAGTTTTGAGATTCTTAGATTTCCTTGCTTCCTTTGTCTCTTTCAAACACACCAGGTTCTGGTCTGCTCTTTGTTAGGTTTATGAAAGTCCAGGTACCTGGTAGTTATGTGGGTCTGTATATTCTATCAGAGCCAATGCATCAGGAAGAGTGCTGCCCAGAAAATTGTTTTATTATATTCAACATAATTTTTATAATTCACTGAGAAAATCAGTGTATAACTTTACCTTTCAACTCGGAAACAAACCGTCGGTGATCTATGTAACTGTACTTATTATGATGTATAATCAGTCTTTTCATAATCTTAAATTTTTATTTATCAACCATAGGTTCAAGAATCAGAAGAGTGTAAAGATAAAAAGAAAAATGGAACCAAAACCTCAGATAAGGAGTATGCAAGTGATTATCCTGAAGATTACTGTCAAGACTATACAAGTGAAGAATACAATTGGTCAGCGGATGGTTTGGATTATTCTGAACCAGTGTATGAAGGCTTGTCCAAAGCTGAACAGATGGTCATGGATCAGACAGAATGTGACGATTTGCAGTTGATCCGTCATCAACTTCAGGCTCACGAATACGATGTCCATGAAGCTATTGAATCTATACTTAATTATATTGTTCTGCAGCATAAAGGTGAGCATATGATGTGGAAGGAGAAGGTAACAAACTTTACACTGTATGGATGTAATGACATTTATCATTTGTATCTTGCATGATTAAAAAAAAAAAAAGTGGTGGTGTGTGTGGGGCAGTTAAATACCTGTAAATGTGGGTTTGCTCCTGCAGGTGCTCATGGAAGCAGTAAATTAATATCAAGTATTGTTACTTCCTGAAGATAAATCCTGTGGATGTTTACCGCAGTCGCTTGCTCACGTGATACTTTGTCCACGATCCCATCCCAGAAGTAATCTAGTCACTGTAGCAGTGATATGTAGCCAGTTAGACTTCTTGAACACCACATGGCCACCATACATGAGATCAATCAACACCGAAGGACTAAGCTCAAAATCATTAAAATACTTGCTGCTTCAATAGTCACACTTGCAACATACATCAAAGCAGCTTCCACACATCCTTGGTGGTGCATGCTGTAGTGGTGAAGGCAGTGAAATGATGGTGTTTGGTGTCATGTGGGCAGCTTGAGATGAGATTCTTGAGATTCACTATTGGCCTCTTTCTGGCTGTCTAGAGGTGGCAACTACAGTGGCACTTTCAGGCCTAATAACACCGTCTGGGGCAGAGGATTACAGTGATATCACCATAGGCCAAAATTTCTTTCAAGTTTTCCCTATCTCAACCAACTGCAGATTGTCTTTTAGTTATTTTTCTATTAATTTGTATTTGTAATTAGGGTGACTTGTTGGCAAAGGAGGCTTTAATCAGATATCAAAGATGGCTGATCTGGATTAATACCTTGCATGATTACTTGGCTGTAATCATGCAAGCTAACACAGTCTCCATTTCTTTCTATGAAGTGAGCATATTTGGAAAAAACCTGTTCACATTATTGTGAGGTCTAGGGATACTATATGTACATGTTATTATATCTACACCTTTATCTCAACCTTGACACTCTGCATGGAATTAGTCTGTTTAATTAAAGTATAGTATGACTAAGCTGTGTGCTTCAGGTAAATGGACTAAATCAGAACCCAAAAAATAATTGTGGAGTGCATTTCCACATTTCCACAGAATCCAAATTGGGTAATTATTTAATCAAATAACCATTAATCTCCAATAAAATTTTGTCTTTAGAATAGGATTTTTTATAATAAAGACTTGTTTTATTTTTTATATAAAAGAATAGTAACATTAATTTTTTAAGTATAAATTCATCTCTTGTTTAGGAGAATACCCACAAACTACCTCTAACAGTAGTAGTGGTCTCTGGGCTCCAAATGGTACAGGATCTCGTATATTCGGAGAAAATGCTGCTGCACCTCCTCCACCTTCTATTCATCCAAGCTATCAGAAGAAGACTCCGCAAGAGAAGATTCAGCAACGCCTACGTGCACAACAGGTATATTATGTGAAGAGATACATTTATTAATTTGTAATTATTCTAAGATGTTTCACTTGGGTGCTTCCTAAGAAAAGATCTATCCTGGTCCCAAAAATGTGCAGCAAAGCAGCAGAGATCTTTTCAGTTAGTCGCTGTTGGTTGATCACGGAACGCTCACTCATAAATACTAAAAACCTTTTCAAGACCTACTTTGCATCAGAGACTGCCAAATAGCCCACAATAGCTGTTGCCCCTCTAATAATTTACCAGATGGCAGCACCCATGCCAACACCTGATCCCCTACCTTGAGCCAATCACTTTCTTCTTGATTGTTCTCTATAGTGATTTGGAAGGCTCAAGACTGGATTCATTTAAACTACTTATTTTTTATCCTTAAAAACTTTACTTTCATTGAGCAGTGTGGCTGGCTGGTTCACTCTTCTTTGTAAGAATGAAATTCCAAAATCTCTGATGGGATTTTGTTTGCTGTCTTGTTTGACATGTCTTCTTGTGAATTTAATTGCACATGGAGGAATCTGCTCATTCTCTTTCCCATTGGTGATGGTTCTTGTGGACAGGGGCACTCTTTGTTTGTCAGAACTTTGTCTTCATGGCAGCCTAGATCTGCTGGGTAGCGACTGTTCTCCTGGATCACCTTTTCCTGCTTCAGTCTGTTCAGTGTAGATGGTGGTAAACAGGAATTCTTTCTTGTGGTTTTGTGAAAAGTTTGCCCTCAGTGAAGATGCCAACAGTGGTATGGGCAGTTTAATTTTGGACTGAAAGGGTTTCTGTAGATACCCTTCACCTGAGATGGTCCCAATAGAATTTCTATTCCATGTCCTGTTTCAGGTTCTTCTTGGGCCTTTCATGTTGGAGACTTACTGATAGTGTTTTCTTTCTTTTTCTTTGGATTCACCTCTCCATGAGATCAGCATTTACTCCTCTACCAATTGTCTCGTGCTGTATATGTATGCTGGGCCTGATGTCCCAGGGCACTGACATTCTCGGGTAAGCTTCTTTTTGTTCCTTTATATAAATTTCTCATTTCAGGTTCTCACGTCTTGTGGTGATGTGCTATGGGTTTCTTATGTGAGACACTGCAGGAAGTAAGCCCTAGGGAGCCACTGCCCTGTTTACCCTATGTACCTGATGGTTCTAGGCATGTTAGTTCAGTATAGATTGTCACTGATGGCCTCACCTTGCTTCTGGTTGACTAGCGTCACCATCTTGTGGCAGGAGGGGATAGCGACGAGGTGCTATTTTGGTGTATTTGAAGTACTGTAGTTGTGATTTTGTTTGCTATTCGTTCTAATAAAATATTTATCTGTTCATTTTTTTTAGTTTTTGTCACTTCTCTTTAGCCATATTGGCAGGATTTTCTTTGTGTCGGGTATAATGACTTGTTCAGCTTCTCCTTGTTTTGAGGGGCCATTACTGTGGTACCAGATGCTGATAGGTCATAAGATGGGGTATCAGCACATAAGGTTTTGGGAGCCATTGAGGGGCACCCACAAAGAAGCATTTCATTATTTTTAAAGTTGTATTTATAATTATATGGGAAGAATGCACCAACTTCTTAGAAATGGTATAATAATGGAGATACCTTCACCCTCGCCAAAAATTACTCGATGATTTTTTTTGTTTATAGACTAAGAGTGCAGTAGTTAGAAGATGATAGGAATCACTTTACCTTAAGTGAAAGTAGGAAGTATTAACATTATTGTAAAATTGTAAAATAAATACAGAACAGTAATTGTACACATTTGTGCTTGTGCTGGTTGTATTTTGAGGATGTCAAATGAAGTATAATCTATGATCTACAGTCGTATATACTGTATTGTACTGTATATATACAGGTACATTTTATATAAAAAAGTTAATACAGTGGTGCCTTCATTTATAAATTTAATCCAGTCCCAGAGATGGCTCGTAACTCAAAAATTCATAACCACGAAACGAATTTTCCCATAAGAAATAAGGTAAATTGAATTAATCTGTTCCACATTCCCAAAAATATTAACTTCAAAATACCTTTCATACATAATAAACACAAATATTTTGTACTATAGTATGTACAAGTTATAGCTTACCTTTATTGATGATTCTTGTTGGTGTATGGAAGACAGTGAGGAGGGGGAGGGAGGGGAGGTGTTAGTGTTTGAAAGGGACGTCCCCTTCCATTATAACATCAAGCAGTGATGACTTCTCTGCGGTACTTTCTCTCCTACATTTTGCCTGCATACCACTAGGATCTGGTTGTGGCTCATTGCTTGTATTTCTCTCTTAACACTTGCTCGTTAACGACGCAGTATGGCGTAAAAAATTTAGCAGACGAATGCTCGTTAACGACGCAGTATTGCGTAAAAAATTTAGTAGACGAATGCTCGTTAACGACGCAGTATGGCATCTTTTTTTTTTTTTTTTACCAATTTGTGTAAAAATATAATGACACTAACATTGTTTTCTTACAGCATATCTCCAATGCCAAGCGCAAAGAATTAAAGAAGCAGTTAAGGAAACAACAAGCACACGATCGTAAACGACAACACCAAGCTGGTCTTGATACTGATGAGGTAACCTCCAACTCTAATGATGAGTCTGAGGTAATCATTGTTAAAGATATTGGGTGTCTGAGTATCTAGTTATTAGTTGATAAGGTCTTTTTTGAAATGATAACTAGTAAATGTTCCATTATATCAAGGCCAGGAATGGAGTGCTGACTTAATGGCTACAACAATGTCATTAATGTTAGCTTCATAAAGTATGTATGACAATATTGTTGACATAATCCAGAAGCTATACAAAAATATTCAACATGAGATATTTGCTAAAAGTATTGTATAGTTTTAACATAAATGTGGATATATCATTGTAATCTATATTTTGATGTTTATAAATTTCCACTAGTTTTAAAATTCACAAAGTGACAGATGCTCAGCATTCAATATTTTTCTCAGAAATGATGTGTGTTCCAATACTGGTATATTTTACTGGTATGCTGTATAAGTAATTATAAATAGAGAAGTCATAAAACTAGTCCTACATTAAGTTAGCTTTTACTACAATCTTGAGCAAACAATGTAACGATGTAAAAATCTTTATGGCTACATGCTCGACCCCTTGGATCCATAGGTAAAAACACCAAAGGAATACTTCAGTGTGATCAAATATACAGTACAGTAGATGAATAATATTTTTTAAGTGAGCAACTTTACATTTTTCTGGGCTCGCATTGTAATGTTTATTTCCAACAAACCTTATTTGACTGCACACTCAGCCTTGTAATCAAGGTAGTTTATAATTTACGAATTAGAGATTTTATTTATTTTGTGGGTGATCCTAAGTATCTAAGTATATACTGTTGTGAATGTCTTGAGAATCTGCATTTTTCTGACAATTATGCTTTTTATTGATATCAAGACAAACTTGGCTGTCATCTGAATTTGAAAAGCTTATCAGTAAATAAGAACGAACTTCCTCTGTAATTAGAGGCTTTGGTGTGAACACTGACTTTTGGACACAATGCATATTAAACATTATATTGAAACCAATGTGGGATCTATTTAATTATTATACCTTTTTGATATTTGAACTTACAATTGCTTTAACCCTACAAAAATACAAATTTGTGGATACATAAAGTAAAATTTTCTACAGTTAATACTATATATGTATATTTGTGAGCAGGAAAATATTGTTATGATCTAGCAGCTCTATTGGAATAATTGACTGAAGTACAAGTACCTCACTGAACACTGTAGACTGTACAAGTACCTCACTGAACACTGTAGACTAGCACAAAAAGTACCTTCAAATCAATTTTAACCGATCTTAAAAGGAAGTTCTGTGACTTAGGACACGTAGGTCATGAATACAAATTTCACCATTTTTTTGTTGGCATTGCATATGAAATATACTTTCAAACAAAGGGAGAAGAGCTTTAGCTTTAAATTTTCAGTATCTTTTCCTGCATGTGTAAGCTGGCATGCATGTGGACTCTGATGAGATACTTTGTTAGACTGGATGTGTTGCAAGTGAAGTACAATACTTGTCTGTTTCTTTCTCAATAAGAAATGGAAGGAAAATATTAGTTTTTTCCAGCATTACTGTAGATTATGTGGAGTATGAGACATTGAAACGAGGCACTAGGTGGATGTGCTATGTACTTGGGGCCAAAGAAAAATGACATCAGAGGATAGATAGCTACATCAAGTACAATTTTTGTTAGTCTTGAAGTTCTGTACTATATTGTATTTAGTTAACACAAGCACACAAACATTTAATGTTAAGAAAGATTAGTTTTCTTTCTATTTTAAATTGTCACATGTATGTACAGTGGACCCTTCAAAATCCAGATCTCCATATAACGTTTGCATTAAACATTTGACCAAATCTGACCATCAGATCTCCACTCTGATATTCTGTGTCAAAAAAAATCTGATTCTAGACAGGATTCTAATACATCATAAAATCAGGATTAAGTAATTTCCATCAGGTGGTATTTTGTTTTTAAAATTTGTTATTCTTGTCATACAGTAAAGGTCGGAGTGGAGGTGCCAGAAACCTCATTCTGAAAATTGTTCATTGTACAGTATCGCCATAAGTATTAATTAAAAAGGAGCCCCATGATATTTTATTGAAAATTTTGAACAAAAGAGTTCTGGGCATGATTCATTTACGCTGTTTAGGGATCAAGACCATACTTTTGAACAAGCAAGTCTTAGGGTGTGGGAAATAATTCAGATGACAGAAGTTTCTTCAGTTAGGTTCTCTTGGTGGATAGCAAATGTATGACAGATTGAAAATAAAATTTTGCTGGGATAAAGTTGCTCATAGACCAATGGGGAAACTTAGGGTATGAATGGTAATTATTAGAAAATTAAGATTATTTGCAATTGTACTATTTGCACTGAATAGTTCAGCACTATATATAATAATCCAGATTTTGGAGGGTCAACTGTAGCTAGTGTGTAACGATTAAATATCTGCATTGTGAAACCTATTGGTGACTTCACTTGTATAATAAACAGATTAATATTTAATATACTTCTGTAAATGTTGTGCATATTGCTATTGAATTTTTACTTGGGAGGGCTTGTATGCTCACTAAATAGAATTTTTTTAGAGAAAATTGTTTGTCCTGCTCTACTTGGAATGAAAACAGTAAACCCTGTATAAGGAGTCTAAACAGGTGCAATTAAGTATTTTATATAAAAATCAGAAAGGTTAAATAATGTTTCCATTTTATTAAGAAAATTCAGTCAAGTCATGTGTATTTTGATCATAATATACGATGATAAAAAGATGCAGTAATAATTTTAAAAGTGTCAGGGATTTTTGAGAGAGAAAGCATGAAATATGCTTTGGAAAAACAAACATAATGAAAAGAAATAATACACAGTAATTAAACCAGTCATATATTTTGTGTATTAAAATTTATACAAATCTGGCAGATTTATTCATCTTTTAGAGTGAAACTGACATGTTCTCTTTCCTGTTCTTTTGAGTAATGTCATCAGCATCTTAAGTAAGCAATATCTGGCTTTAAAGTTTAACATAGCTTTTGCACCTGGTGCATTTATACCTCCCAACATTCCAATTCTTTGTCGACTTTCTCTTGAAGCAGTGAATGTAGGTTGTTTTGAGGCATTTCTGCTGTAATTTGTTCTACTACTCAATACATACAAGTATTGTCTTTAATCTTTCAAAAAGCTGGTTGTGTGTTAAAAAATTTCTACCCGTGTGCCCTTGTTCTGTTATTTCAGCTGGAAAAGGCATTGTTTATCTGCTGTCTATAGTCTTAATTCCCCGGTGTCATGTATGTTATCATTATATCGCTTCTTGTCCTGTCTTTTGGTGCCGAGAGATTCAGTTCTTCTAGCTCGTACCTCTTATCTCTTGTACCAGTTTCTTAGCATATTTTGACTCAATTTTCTTCTTGTGAATTATTAAATTTGAGTTTCATGCTTTGTTATTGTTGTAGGACTGGTTTAATGTATGGTCTAATGTATAGTATTTTGAAAATTTCCTTGTTTAAATTATTGAATGTTATCTTTATGTTTGCCAGTTTTGCAGATCATGCTGATGTTACATCTATTCCATAGGTCTCTTCTTTGTTGATCCGTATAACTCTCCCTCATACTGTACTTGGAGTCCTCAACTTAAGACACAATTCATTCCTGACAACCATTTATAAGATGTTTGGTTCTTTGGAACTTTCCCACAGGGGCTATGAAATGAATGGGAATTAGGTTCCTGGCCACCAAAAATTCTCAACATTTAATAAATTTTTAAGAAAATAAATGAACACTCGTTTCATTTACCTTGAATACTGAAGTTGTATCATACTGTAACAGAGGTTTATTGATGACTTGAGATTAATTACTGCTGGAAGAGCAGGCAGGTGATGCTGAAGTAGAACCTAAATAGAAGTTGTGATTTGAGGAATTTGTTGATTTTGGGTCAAGACTTTAGAAAAAGTAAGTTATGGATGATGTAGAAGTTTTTCATCTCTCCCGGAGTTGGGGTCTATTGTCTCAAAATTGCTGTGGCTTCATTAATATTCTTAGAAGACCTCTGCCATTGTTTCTGTTGGAGTAGCTTTGGGTGGAAAGCTCCTTTACTCCCTTTGCAGCCAAATTCATTTTTAATCTCAGAAAGCTCCTCTGAATCAGAGTCCAGCAGCTGTTCTACTTCCTCTTTCTCAAGACAGCGATCCTTTTTCTCTGTTAGTTGTACAAACGTTTTGGTTAGTTTCATTTATTCATGAAACCCTACTTGCAATTATTTACAAATGAAGGAGTGAGGAGGAATGTATCTCCATATTTTACATATGTAATGCTCCCATTTAGTAAGATGCCCATAATTTTTTAAATAGTAATCAACTTAACGAAAATGACTTGGCATGTCTACTCATGGCCTGATCATGAGGGTGGTCAATGCCAGTTCTCAGCCCTGGCTGACCACTGACCCTTGGCCACAGCCCATGATTAACTGTAGGCTATAGCTGATATGAGCATCAGCCACCCCATGTTCAGTGGCTTGTATCAGATGTTAAAACTCACAGAGAAGCATCTATCCCGGTTGACATTAGCTTATGAACTGGTGCTAGGCAGCCAGTGTGGTGAGGTCCGGGGCCCTCCCCTCCCCCTCTCGGGGAGGGGTGGGCTACATGGACGAGCGGCGCGGCAGTAAAGTGTGATGTTTGTTAGTTTGCTTGTTTCATTGGGATTGAAGGGAGTTTCTATCTCTGTTTGGTTTTTGTTTTAGTTTCTTGCCATGTGGGGTTTTTGTTTTGTTATGCCTACCTTTCTGGGTGCCTAACCCCGGTTGATGGTAGATAAGGAAAACCCCAACCACAAGGGGATTTTCCAGGGCCATTGCTCCCTAAAACCTCTCTGAAGGGGCCAGGTTCTGGCGCTGGTCCCTGGTATGCCTGAACTCCTTAGCTAATGTCCCTGTCTAATATAACATACATTAGCCTGATAAACTCCAGGGAGCCGTAGGGGCTCCCTCACAGAAAATCTGATTACACACAAGAAATTTATGATATATAACAGAAATGCTGAAAAAATAAGGATGGGTTTTACTATGGCAGATGGAATCCTAGGCTCAGAACTCAGATGGAGCAGAGGTGCAGGCCATAGTCACAACAGGGAGAAACATTGTGCTAATAACACCCACATGGAGCTCCATAAACCCCAGGTCCCAGACACGGACAGCAGGCATGTACAAGAATGCCAAATGTGCAGCTTACTCCTGCACAGCAGTGGCCACCTTCCCGGCTTCTGACTCGAGACAAGCAGGCTTCCACAAAACGGCAACTCTAAATGCAGATGGAGAAAGAGAACTTCAGCCACATAATTGAAGGTTCACAATGAGCTACAGTCACGAGGTATAAAAGAAAAAAATCATTAAAAGAGGGCACCAAGCAGAGGAGACTGTAGCAACGACATAAGAAAGGGCGGCTCCAAGACACAAAAGTCGGTGCATTTTCTCAAATTAAGTGCTATAAGTTTTTGGTTAACACAAATCCCAATTAAGAGTTAAACTGATTTCTTCTTTGTTTACATCTACTTTGCATAATTTTTCCTTTCTTCTCTACCACTACATTAATTATATCCATACTCACTGTATATCTACAGGTATTTCCTGCCAAAAAAAAAAAAATGCATACATCAGATTATTCTTCACTCCATTTGTTCATAGTATACTAAGTTCTTACCCTTCTCTTAATATTATCATTATCTTGATCTCTCATGACACCATCTATGAACATACTGAACACTGAAATGAGGGCATAACACAGCCCTGGCATACTACTTCATTAATGCTAAATTAGTTGTACATTAACCATTGATTCTTTAGAGGTGCTGTATTTCCTGAACAAGATCTCTTCACAACCTTTAATAAAATTTTCACACTCTCGATACCACCTCATTATTCTTTATTTACTTGTCGTATTCTTTCTCAGTCTATAAACACTTTACAATATTTCTTGTATGTCTTAGGATAACAAGAAGGATAATCAAAGAGTATACTGTAATTTGGTTGAATTTATTAGCATCAATAATTCTTAAATAGAAATACAGGATGGTTTATAAGACTAGAATGACCTGGAACACAGTAGGAGTGCCAGGCTGTAAGTGGGGACATAAGTGAGGGGCAAGTAAAAAAAAAAAAATTGTGTTCCTTGAATGCATGAGATTCTTAAATGCCTTGTTAAGTATTTGTTATACAAATAACCAATACAGCTTTACCACTGGACACTGTTTAGGAACTCTTAGAGAAGCTTTAGCTATACAACTGCACAGATATTCAGATGGGAATGTATTTTCACATACTCGGTAACCATTAACACTGGTATACTGTACATCTCTCTCAAACTCCTGAATTTTACTTTTTAATGCTTTTCCCCTCTTTGTACTTCTTCTCTCATGTCTCTCTTAAGAACAGTCCTCAGGCTTCTCTTACATTCTTGTTTCCTGGTGCCAATAAATGGTTTCTGCTCCAATTTTATAATAGTTTAGTGACCAGAGTACAAACTGCCAACAATGACAGTCAAAAGTAGACTTTATTTGCAGATAACATTTACTTGTGAGGGCTTCATCAAATCTAACAAGAGATACACACAGGGCTAGGATTTATAAGGGAAAAATGTTTGATGGTGTGAGGTTTAAATGCACTATATTTTAAAGTACTGTACCAGTATTAATTTGGAAAGTGGAATAGCAGTGCTACATTTTCCTCAGTTCTGTTTGACACTAATGGATTCTATACACTATCTTCTAATGTTGTTTTATTCTCTGATGAGTTTAACATCTTAAAAGCTGATGAGGTGTTGCTTCTGGTTCCTGTGTGTGATGCAAGTAGTGTCATCTACAAGGCAGGCATACTTGTGTGTTAACCTTGTCATTCAAGTTCCTGGATGTTTCTTTCATGTAAACTTTGTCAACTACTGAACTACATGGTGCAGTGAAAACCTATGCCATGGTGACCTTGTCAGTTCTGCTTTTGATGAGCACATTGATTGTAAAAGATGTTTGTGCACACACACTGTATTGGCTTTATTGCATATGTTGTCTTTTGTTTGTCTGCTTGGAAAAATGTTTTGGTGTTACAGTAGATCTTTGTTGTTTACTTTCTGCATTCTCTCTTGAAATATATAGGATAAATAAAGTTTAGGAAGGAATCTGTGATGTGTTAAGTGTTCGTCTTCAAGGAGTTACCGGTTACAAATCATAAATACATTCTGAAGATCAACATCCCCGCAGCCCAGTCTCTGACCAGGCCTCCTGGTTGGTAATCTGGTCAACCCAACCCGTCCTCGACTCAAGTCCATTACATCCAGCGGTCGACCCCACACTCATTCATAAATTTTACATGCTGTTCATTCAAAACAGGAATTTTCTCAAATATAAATTAATATTATAATATATTAGCATATTGTGCATATATAAGGTTAGGTTAGGTGTTTAGGTTCTGTTTGGGATTATTTTAATTTGTTGTAAGTGGGTGAAGCATTTACATCGTTGTGGTTCGAACAAAATTCGTTAGTGAAGCACTTGTTCTGAAACTGTTCGAACGTCATCGGTCGTGAGAAGTGTATAAACCATCTTTCATTCATAAACAGGGGGTTTGGGGGGGTGCATAGAATCACTTTTGGGTCTTTGTTTGGAGTACAGGCTGGGTCAACCAGGCTGTTGGACGCAGGTGCTCGCAGCCTGATGTAAGGATCATTATATCTCGTTTTCTAGACACCCTTCCTCTACTGTTCAATGATTTAATCAATTTGTCAATTTGTATATATGGTACAATTATTAAACTTCTACTTCAGCTCTCAATTCTATCATCAATTAGTGATGCACTTGCAAATTTATTTCTAAAATTAATTGAAACAGGACCATTCTCCAGCACTGAAATGGCTTTCTTCTGTTGACAATATTTTGATTAGTGCACCACACCACATCACCTGGATAATCTTAGGAATAGACATGGTAAGTAGACCATACTATACAATTTACTTAAAAGAAATATGACTGTCCTTGACACAGTAATAATGAAAAATGTAGCAAGCCAAGTTTAAAATCTACAGGAAGCCTACGTACATAAATGACAATTTTACTCTGAACATATTGCATAAAACAGAAAAAAAGAATGAAGCATGGTACTTGGATTCTTTTTCGGGGCATTTAGAGTATGTAATTAGCAGTTCCTAGAAGATGAGTATCAAAACATCACTAATTCCTTTCTAAACATTAATTATACATTGTGTTTAGTTACGGAATACAGAAAGTGAGCTTAAAAAATCAACAGTAACAATTAACAGAACAGAACTAGAATGCTGGCTTATTCTCTGAACACACACACACACAACTACATCACCAACACCACAATACAATTACCTGTATGACCACTGTAAATGACACCAACAAAGAAAATTTATTTTTGTGACCCCCACTGACTAAATCCCTCAAGTACGTAAATTACAACTTGCTTAAAACTGTCTCATATCTGACACACAATCATTCAACTTACACTATTTATAAGCACGGTGTATCTCTGTTAGACATGATAAAATCCTCACAGCCACATAATTGTCTACAAACAAAGCCTACTCTCAATTTGGTATTTTTCTATACTTATATAAAACCAGCATAATAGATATAGTTAAAGAATCATATAATTAATATATTTATTAATGAACACTGTACATACTGGGACTGCATGTATTTAGTTTTAAAAACCTTTGCATAGACGTGAAAATTTTAAATACTGTATATTTTATTACTGAACTTTTGATTATAATTCTATTATTTATATTTGTGAGGAATTCACCAAATAGCACTATGTATACAGTAGTAACTATTTTTGTAAAAAATTCTTTTCAATTTTCTAAAAAAAAATTAGAACATATTTGGTACCTAACAGAAATATTTATCCAAGGCAGAAACATCTTGTACTGTATTTCTATACCTCTTCTTATTGGTATCGTATAGCTCTTGGTTTGTACACATGTCTATATGTTAAGCCAACAGATGTATTTGGTATTTCCTTTACATCTGTATTTCAGGTAGTGCACAACAGACAAGAGCATCTGATATACTGTACTTAAACTGCTATTTCTCAAAATTACACCATTTCACAGATATAGATATTAGGTGCTTGAAAATGAGAGCGAGACAAAATCTTACAACACTAACTATAAAATGATAACTGCAGAGAAGAAATTTTATATTGTTATTGAACACTGCAGAAATTCCTTCAAAGTGGTATTGCATACATTGTAAATAGTTATGAGGTGGCACTGTAAAAATGCTACCAGCTACAATATAATACTGGTACATGTATTATATACACAAATATCACATGCTCATTATATGCGTCCATAATGTAATAATAAAGAATGTCGGCTAAATGGCAAAAGGATCCACTACAAAATGAGGGATCAGAAAAAAAAAATTGACAATTCTTGTTAGATTTACCATGAATAAGTATTTGTCTAACCATTAAATACACCACACACATACTGCTGTGTCAGAAGCAAGCAGTAATTCAGCAGTGTGAAGAATGTGCCCCTTCCCTCAGTCCATATACCAGTTACTAATCATGTGTTTCAATTTAAAAGATTTTGTTCAGAAAACATAAAACAAGTTAATAATTAAAACAATATAGTTTTAAGGATCTTTTAAATAACAGCACTATAATAAGATTTTTTTTTACAAAAAAAAAAGCACTTTTAATTTTTAGTAAAGAATTAACCGATACATTTACTAATGTAAAAGGAGTTTGATATGTATGAGAAGCAACACAGTATAATCTAATTATTATACTTAAATTATTAGGTAGAATATTGGTAAAAAATACGTGTCTGATGTGATCGCTTAGATGTCACGTGCTATGGGGTCAAAATTAGTAGGTTCCTCCTTGCTTGGGTGCCATAACAAAGAATTCACATTCAAACAACCACTTTTACCTGTGTAAATACTGTACTCAAAGATATTTTATATACTGCGGTGCCTAAAATTAATTTGAAATTCAGGTTTCAACCAAATAAGAAATTCAATATTAAATATTTTTGCAAAGATAATGCTGTTAGATATGATATGCTTAACTCTTTCCAGTATTTATAACAACATTTTTATGACATTAAAACGTAAAATGTATATATTATGTGACCAACATAGTGTACATATCTAGTAATACTGTAATCCAAATAATCTAAGTATTTGATGCATTATTCAACTATGCTTATCCAGATGTTGTGCATAATATGGGCTTCAGAAATAATCCTGTAATGATTTTGAATACATGTTATTAAATTTAACATAAAATGTTATATCTGGTATATGACATGTCACTTTAAGAATGCACTTTGACCGGCACATTTGAAATAAGAAGCATGTGAATTGGTAACAATAAACTTATTACAGGTATGACATGATTACACAGACCTTCGGGCAAATTATTGCAATATTCCTCAGTATGTTTTTATATGTGGATGTGTGTACACATCTGCACTCTTGAATATACTGTACAGTACAAAAATTACACTATACAGTACATCACAAAAATTACATAGGTGAAGAGAATTCTAAATTACTGTATAATATTTAATAAAAGTGACTAGGAAAATAGGGAATTTGCGAACACATACTATATAACTTTGCATCATCTTTTTATGCAATAAAATGGGTTTGCAAAGAGGTCCCTGCCACCTACCTTCCCTCCATGCCAGCAATAATTTTTCATGCAGGATCCTGAAGTGAACCTTTTTGGCTTGTTTTTTTTTTTTTCCTGCATAAAACATATTGCTTTACAATTACACAACTTCATTTTTGTTAAACCCCACTTTGTGGACAGCAGTGGGAATTTTGATGCAACTACTCTTGAAAAAATACGGAAGAAATAACTGGTCTATGTTACATATACAGTAGCCTCATTTTCCACAATGAAAAAGTGGCAGATATCTTAAATGCTACTTAAAACTATGTTAACTTACATGAAAAAAAAGAAAAAAGGCTAGTATTGTTTTCTATCCAGATTTCAAGACATTTGGTGAACATATTACTCAGTATTATGAATACATTACTGTTTACTCACAAATGTATGCTGCTTAAGTTCATAGCTTCTACCTGTCACATATAACTGAAAAACTCAGGGAAGCGAGCATAAGAACATAAAACTTAAAAATACCTTAAAAGTCACACACCAAGTTTACATACACTGTACACTATCAAATGATGCTCAAGTATAGATTTGTAGACTGAAATACTGTACTATAAATTCATACTCCAATGTTTCACATTTGTTGAATTGTTATTCCCTCCAAAAGTTTAATGAACTTCTACTATTGTATATGAAATCTGCCTAGACACACTTACAACATCAATAGATGCCAATTTTCTTTTTATTACAGTATACAGTATCTCGCTACACCACATATCTACACTTTGCATAAAATTATACAAGAAATAGATATTCTTAGAAAAAATATCTATGCACTATACAATTATAAATGGCTAAAATTAAATATAAATTATATTAGCAATTGAATTCAATTATAAAGTAGATAATCAATATTTAATCTCTGAAATAAATATTACTTATTCCAATACGAAGTCTTGCATATGCAACAAAAACCAACAAGATACTTTTTATCAATTAACTTTAAGTACCGTAGTGTACAGTAATTTTTGTGAAAACTATTCCAGAAATGAGACAATTTTTTTTGTCATAATCAATTATGATAACAATGAACAAAATAGTTTTTGCCATAATAACCTAAGAAGTAAAAATTTATACTCATAATTAACTGATGATTTTTCTAAAGTGCTTCCTACTAAAGCAAATTGTTTCACCACTAGACAATGAATAATATGTGGAACCGAATCAAGTTTATCAAAGAAACAGGTAACCTGGTATTCCATGTACTGTACATTATATTACTCTTCTGTCTATTATAGCAGAAGCTTTATGCTTTGCTCAATATCAGAGGAGCATCCACTGGAGTACGTGGAAAATCTAACTTGGGACAGTTCTGGAAGAGTGCAGCACGGTCCTGACCCTCGCCCTTCTTCACCCAGTGTCCATACACGCGGAAAGCACAATTGTCGATTACCTGTTTACGAGTAAAATAACAGAACACTGGTGACCCATTCAGATCCAAAATTTGCGAAGAGGTAACGAAAAACCAGCATTGAATGTAATGAAATGCCATTTTTTGGTTGAGCACTGGAGGCTCCCTGGAGCTGTCGGACTGATATGTGATATATTAATGTAGGGTATTAATCAATAGAGTTCAGTCTACTGGGGACCACGAGCCAGAACCTAGTCCCCTCAGAGAGGCAAGGGAGCAATGGCCTCTGGTTAGGCACTGAGGTTAGGTATCCAGAAAGGTAGACATAATAAAAACCCCACTTAGTAGGCAGGCGATGAGTCACAATAATGTGGCTGAAGTATGTTGACCAGACCACACACTAGAAAGTGAAGGCACGACGATGTTTCGGTCCATCCTGGACTATTCTGGACCACAATTGACTTGATAAGTCTGTTAACTAGGATGACCACAATCGACTTGAGAATGGTCCAGGACGGACCGAAACGTCATCGTCCCTTCACTTTCTAGTGTGTGGTCTGGTCAACAAAGAGCAGTCTGCTAACTAGGATGACTCAGGAACCTCATGACGCACCCAATAAGGAAAAGTAGAACCGAACTCAAATGAGGAAGGGTCCAGTATCTAGGCACAATCCAGGTCGTGCAGGAGGTATGCCACAAGGGCCTCCCGAACCTCATTAGGGAGGATGTGGGAAGCCGAAAACCTCTGGAAGAAAGGAACCGAAGAACCCAAGGAAACCCGGAACCGAACCCGGGGAGGAGCCAAACCCATATCAAATTCGTACAGAGTGTGGGGGAGTGGGTAAGAAAACCCCTCCCCAAGCAACAAATAGCCCTGCATCGAGAGTACCAACACCCAAGCAGGGTCAAATGGGGAACAAGCCCCCCCCCCCCAAGTCAACTCCTCCCCAGCCCTGGGATCCTCCATGCCAGGACCTGGGGCAGAGCCGTCCTCTAAACCCTCCGCCCCTAAAGAAAAGGCAGTCTTTTTTTTCCCCAGCTTACTAAAATCTGGGAAAAGGAGAGGTACGCTGGTCAGACCACGACACCCTGACTGGAGGAGCAGGCCCAAATGCCTCCGTCGCCGAACCGGATGGGACAGCCCCAAGACCGTCCAAGTTTCACCACCATCTAAACTCTGCTCCGACTCCGAAACCTTCAGATGTTTGGAAGCTGGCAGCAGGGAATGGGGGGAAAGGATCAGGACAAACAACAATAGGGAAAGGACGAGGGAGTGCAAACGAAACCAAAGTCAAAACAACTAACGCACCCAAGTTCAGGCCCCTATAACCAATGCGTGGCAGCTGCGGGGCATCCAGAAAGCAAACCAACCTAATGCGTTGCAGAAATTGAAACCTTGCATGCAACGCCGAAGTCGCCTGCATCCGATTATCAGTATTAGTGGACTGGGTGAATTGGAGCACCAGCAAGGAACACCACTCACAGGACTCTGGGTCAAAGGTGTCATCGACCCAACAGGCAGCATGATGCAGGCAAACCCAGTGAATGTCACCCTGAGCCAAGGGGACAGAGCAACCTTCCAACTTGCACAAGGCGAGATGGGACCCAGAGGACGCATCCATTGGACCAATGAGCCCCAATGGGGTTTCCCATGGCCCTTAGGCTGACTGCTAAGGAAACCCTAAAGTATTGTACTGCTAATCGGTTGGCCCAAACTACCAAGAGAACAATTAAAACTGAACCCCTGCAACATGTGCAATCATGGGAACCTAGCAGGGGACCACCAGAATAACAGAGGGTGGACAATGACCAAGGGGCAGACCTCCCACCAGGCAACAAACAAAAAGAAAAAGAAAACCCAGCAAAAGTACAATGCCTTCAGGAGGAACAGAACCAGCTGCTGTGATAGTAGGTGACAAGCTGCACAGTACCTTGAGCTCATACCAGCGACAATACAGCCTCCTACCCAAGGTCAAATAGCGGCTATGAAAACCCCAGCTGATCCCAAAGGGGAGTGGGGGGGGGGGCAATCACCGAGCAGCAAAAGACCTTTACAAAGGTAGTCCCTGAACGACTTGTGGAAGATAACCCCAAGCCGCAAGGACAGTACAGAGGAACCTCGGGTGACGAGCAGCCCCATCTATGAGCATTTCAGGTAACAAGCAAGCCACTCGAAGAAAATTTGTCTCAATTGACAAGAAAACCACACTGTGCTTCCTCGTGTTCCCGCTGATTCTCGGACGCCTAAGACGCCTGATGGAAATTCGTTTTCCAAAATGAGCGTTTCACATGACGAGCTCAGTGCCGAAACGGATTAAATTCATTAATCGAGGTTCCTCTGTACTTACAGGGCACCTAGTGAAGATGGTCCTAGGCGCATGCAGCCCCAGTACTCTGTGAATTACTCCTGGCTTGCTCACCACCACACAGCAAGACAACACCGCTAAGGCACAGCACTGCAAAGAGACAGAAGCCAGAGTCGAACGACTGTCACTCAACACATCAGCCTCAGAACTGGAGTTGGATGGCCAGCACACGGGTCTGGGGCTCACTGCTTTTCCCTCCCAGGGAGGGGAAAGTTACGCAGACAGTGGTGCAGCAGCAGTTGTGACGTCATGTTTGTTTGCTTGTTTTCGGATTGGGAGTTCTGCTTGATAGTTTGGCTTTCAGTAGCAAATTTTAACCAGGTGGTGTTTGTTTTGGGACGTCTACCTTTCTGGGTGCCTAACCCAGTTGATAACAGACATGGAATGCTTCCAACCACATGGGGGTTTCTATAGGCCAATGCTCCTCGTGCTTCTCTGAGGGGGCTAGATTCTGGCTCATGGTCCCCGGTAAGCATAAAACTCCAATCGAACTGACTGATGCCACGGTCTAATACATACATATTAACCCGGTAAGCTCCAGGGAGCCGGAGGGGCTCTCCACATAATCATGTGTTAAATGTAATGAAATATCCTTTTCTGGTGATTTGCCAAAAGTTTAACTTTCAAACCATCAAGCTGCAGCCCAACACACCAGGACTCTCAAGGATTCATACCCCTAACAACCTGTTTGCTAAAGCATTGGTGCTAGGAGAAAATGACATGTTGAGCAGTAGGCAGGCGACATACTCTGCTCATAGTAGTTGTGTGGGCACTGAGAGACTTGCTAATGTTTAACAACATTGCCACTCTGTCCCCAGATGTCCCTGTTTGTCAGATGCACCAAGCATGCATCAGATGACTTTACTTCAAGTAACCCAGATGTTAAAATGCTCATGAATACAAATTCCTTCAGTAATACAGGGATATCTTATTTGGACCGCTGAAGGTGACAATGCAACTGAATTTTCACTTTAAAGTAAAAAATTTATTTTTTATACAAATTTACTCTTTTTTGCATATTTAAAAAGGGCATTTTTATGATGACTGATGAAGATTATGCCACCCAAGAGGTGGCACAGGCATGAATAGTCTGTAAATTGTTATGGTATATTAAAAACTGTTCTACCATTCACAATAAAACAAAAATAAGAAAAACTGTGGAATTGAGCAAATTTGGATGCAATGGATATTTGGTTGCACTGGGCAGGGTGTTACAAATTTGTTCCTTCGAGGGGAGTTTAGTATATTGTGCTTTGAAATGTTATCTTAGAATGTAATGGCGGAACCACTGTTCAATTTCATTAAAAGGAGTTTAAAATCAGTTGATTCGTAGATGTGGGAATCAACTTTTTCACCGTATACCCAATGGATTTCAAATACTGTATCTTTGTTCTGGTTATAATTTAATTTCAAAACTTCTATGCATCTTACTATATAATGCAGAATGTCCTGTTGAAATTGGGCAGTAGAGTATAGCTTCACGGTACTGTATCTTTTGTGGAAACGATTGGCGAAATCTGTCACTATGAGATGTTGGAGAAGAAATTTGTGAAACTTTTTGAAACAACTCTGAGAGTTGTGCTATTTTTTTAATTAGGCTATATTTTAATTTTTTTTAATGTTTTCATTACTTTGTGTTTTGAAATGGAAATAGTTGAGTTTGGAAACATTTTGACAATAACGTTACCCGAATATTTATAAAAACAACAAAAATATGTCCTTGACAATTGCACTTTTGTCAACAGGAAGTTTTTGCTGAAACCAGGTGCGCAGTGCAGTGGTTAACATGCGAGAGCCCGAGAACAGAACGTTCATCACCCATCTATCATGCAACTTTTAAATATACAGTACTGTAATAATTACCACTAACACTTCACATACAAGGTAATACTAACCTTTCTAAGTGTCTTTATCCTGTATGGATCAACCCGAGTAACTGCCAGAGATACGGGTTCTGGAGTGAAGCGAAGGCGCTGTATTCTGATCACCGCACGTACACACAATACTCCAAATTGAAACATCTTCTTGGCATTGAAGGGGCGACCTTTGTAATGCTGATGAAACAGGAAAAACATTATTATTTTCCAATTACATTCAAATTTTAATGATTTTTTACACATTCCAATTTGAAGCTAACTTTTATGAATACATAGCACACAAAATTGTAAGAAATATAAGAGTTTTTATCTATTCAAATATTAAAAAAAAAATGACATGAGAATTTCACTGCATAACTCAAATATATACGAATAAAATTGTGACCTAATATTAGAAATTTATATGCCATTCGAAAACATATAGAAACAAAATTGTACAAATATAAGTATCCAACTCACCTCCTTTCTGAGAGTGGCGACAATTATTTGACTCCGGCTAGGCTAGAAGATGCATATAATATGAAAAGCTACAGAACAGATTCATGCACAAACAGAAAGCAGTACAAGGAAAAATATACCTTTTAACCCTAGAAACACAGGTTATGGTTACTGAAACAAGTGCTTGTAATAAATAAGGACAATTGGTATGTAATTATCATCTACAATCAAAAGAATTGTGGAATAATGAATAAAAGAGCAACTAATCTATGTGTCAATATAATACCACTGGCAACCATCTCTGTCGCCCATAAGACTGACAACCATACAATACACACTTATCCCTGCTAATCCTGTAATTATTAAATAGTTATAAGAATAAAACTGATTATACAAGCAAGTTTAAAATGCATCAAACATAATATCTGGGATTCATCATGCATGAAGTTATTATTTACTTTAGTTTCTCCAAACTTCACTAATAACTGCACACACCATAAATAGGGTGCAAAAGATAATATTATTAAGCCAAAATGAGTAAGAATGAGGTCAAATAGGTAGGTAAACCTATGGCCCTGAGACTTGAGTATAAACAGCTGTACCCATAATCTACATTGAAACTACAGGATTATACAACATTTTTAAGTTGTGCAATGACCTCTTCAAAATTACAGGTGCAAAATAATGTTGAAAGGTATAATGTAATACAAAATAAGCAAGTGAAAACAACTCCATCCCACAATGTGTGTCCGAAATATTTGGTGAAATTAGCATGAAGTAAAAAAGAAAATAAGCTAAGAAACAAGGGAATAATAAAAAAAAGGAAATGCAGTAAATGAGGCCAAAAAACCAGTGTTGAATGTAATGAAACCCCATTTTCTGGGTGAGTTCTGGAGGCATCCCAGAGCTAAGCAGGCTGATATGTATCTAATAGCTTTCTGAGATCAGTCAAAGTCCATGGAGTTCTTGCCTACTGGGGACCACAAGCCAAAACCTGGCCCCTCTCAGAGAGGTACAAGGAGCAATGGCCTATAGAAACCCCCCGTGTGGTTGGAAGCATTCTATGCCTGCTGTCAATCGGGTCTGGCACCCAGAAAGGTAGGTGCCACAAAACAAACCCCTATCCTGGTGAAAATATTGTTACCGAAAGCCGAACGAGTGGACAGAACTCCCCAAACAAAAATTAGCAAACGGGCATGACGTCATCCCGTTGCCACACCGTTCTGTGCATCCTCCCCCCCCCCTCCCTGGGAGGAGAAAGGGGGAGCCCCAGACCCTCGCGCCGGCGATCCAACCGCCAGTTCTTAGGCTGGATGTAAAAACAATGTGAAAAACACTGCCGACTGGGAGGGAGGGATGCCGGGAAGCCTCCAGGACTCAGGGACTCTAAGGAGATACAGGTAACCCCACCTCACCCAGTCCTACCTGAAGGCGTCGACATCGATGGCCTCGCAGTCAGGAAAAGGTGCAACGTATACTGGGAGACGCCTCGACCACGCTAACACAAAGAAATCCACTTCCGGAGGCCCGAATATCCGGCAGAGCCACTGGCGTCGACCGTCTATTCCGTGGACAGGGAAATGAACTGGAACAGGCCGTCTGCCAGGACATTGGACAACCCCCCCCCCCCTCCCCCAAACATGAACCACCAGGAGAGCCGGACTGATCCTCTGGGATGTGTCCACTCTTGGGGGGCCTAGCAGGGGGGTACAACCAAAATCACGTATATAGAAAGACCCACAAATGTAGAAAAGGTGCAACCAACCAAAGGCAAACCCCCCCACCAGGCAGGAAAACCCCGCAAGAGGACAACGTACCCAGGCGGAACAGAGCCAGTCGCTATAGTAGGTGATAACTAGCTGTGCAGTACCCGGTGCCCCTACCAGAAACGAAAACTACCTACCCAGAGCCAAACAAAGGCAACAAAAACTAGCCGATTCCAAGGGCGGCCAAGTACCGAGCAGTAAACGACACTGCAGAGGTAGGTGACTTGTGGAAGGTGGCCTCAAGTTTCAAGGGCAGTACTTACAGGGCACCTAGGGAAGGAAACCCTAGGTGCATGCAGCCTGAGTACCGTAGAATATTACTCTGCCACAAGGCACAGTAACTGAAATCAAAACAGGAGCCTGAGGCACCTGACCTGCCAGTATCACATCAGCCAAGAACTGGCGGTTGGATTGCCGGCATGAGGGTCTGGGGCTCCCCCTTCTCCCTCCTAGAGAGGGAAGGGTTGTGCAGACAGCGATGCAGCAACGTGATGACATCATGCTCGTTTGCTAATTTTCATTTGGAGAGTTCTGTCCACTCGTTCGGCTTTTGGGAAGCAATATTTTCACCAGAATAGGGGTTTGTTTTGAGGCGCCTATATTTTTGGGTGCCAGACCCAGTCGATGGCAAACATAGAATGCTACCAACCACACGGGGGTTTCTATAAGCCATTGCTCCTCGTGCCTCTCTCAGGGGGCCAGGTTCTGGCTTGTGGTCCCTGGTAGACAAGAACTCCATGCACTTTGGTGTCAGAAAGCTATTAGATACATATCAGCCTGGATAGCTCTGGGGAGCCGACTGGGCCTTCCCCAGAAATGCTCTGATTATAGGGCTTACATAACTCAAGATATGATTTGGGTGGAGTAATGATTACAAGATGGCATGATGATTATAAGTAATACAATTATTACAGGGTATCATAATGAGCACAGGCAGGGTATATGGAGTTGAGCGATTCATAAATAGAAGTGGTATTATCATGACAGCTAATGCTATTCTCCAGCTTTATGTTGTCTCTTGTTAGGTCCCACAGAGATTATGCAGCACAATTTTGTGCACTGTACTATAGAATGAACATAAATTCTCTACAAAGTGTACAAATGAAGTTAATTATGACCATTAGAAACCTCCCATAAAAGAGATTTATAATGCTTCGTTACAATCTTTAGAAAGCTGAAGAGTAAAGGGAGACACAACTGAATGCTGAATGGATGATATGGTATAACAAGGGGAATATTAATAGGGGTACTAAATATATCAACAAAATAGAAAATGAAAATGTATACAAATTGGAAAAGTTTTGGTTCAGAAAACATTTGATTAAATACTTGTTTAGCACTAGTTGTTGATTTCCAAAAGGAAGGGCAAAAGACTCAGGAGTTTAGACAGCCCAAGTCCAGAATGAACCTCAGATCCGCACAGTCTCGTTTCGGAACCGGAAACAGGTGGGAAACCCACCTGAGGGACAGGGTCGTTTCGACCATGCCCAAGCGAACCCACTCCAAGATGACCAGACAGAGCACAGAGGAGGCCTGCCTCACGAATCTCGAACCCCCGAAGGAGTAGGAGCCACCCAACACCAATGCAGGCCAGAGGAAACGACTCAAAATGCCCACAAATTGTGGGACCAGGCGTGAGCAAACAGAGCGAGTCTCCCCTTCCCCCACCGCTTTGTCAATGGGGTGAACCATGAAAGGGCCAACTTGAACGCGAACCCGAACGACGTGCAGAGCAATCACCGCACCGATCAGACGCCGCCGGGTCCGAAGGAAGCGCTGGCTCCGAAGCTGACATAATGGCTTGGCACTCCCTCCCCCTCAAAATTCCTTTCCAAAGCTGGCACCACTGGCCCACCACAACCGGAGGAACCCTGAACCCTGGCACGACCTCCTCAGGAATGACCTCCACAGTCCCCCAAAAGAACCAACAGTCTGACATAGGGCAACAGCTAGTAGAAGCCGCTTGCAGATACTGCATAACTGCAGAATACGCAAACAGCAACAAAATGGTAATGAAAATCTAGGAGCCAAAGTCCAACGGAATCCATAGAATGAAAGAGCACATCCTGCCTGCACGTGAGGTGGAAAGCAAAGAACAGAGACACCACCTCTTTCAGAATCGGCGCATACAACTTCAACAAGGCAGCTGACCTCCGAGCCGCCGAGGCAAGTGCGCCAGACACAGGCCTGGTTCCCAGCGCCTCCACATCCTCCTCAAGACAGTCTGAAGGCAGCTCGAGCAGGGGAAAAGAAACGCATAACCAAAGCCAAGTGCCCCAAGGCACTGTGTGCCTTGGGGCACTTGGGGCACTTGTGCCCTAGGGCACAAATCTGCAACCACCAGGAATGCCAAAAGGACAGGAACCTGCACATGGAGCTGCACCTGACCAATATCCTTAGGAAGAATGCAAGTGAACAAGCACGCATTGAGGTGTCCCAACTTGCACCCAAGGTAAACCTAAAGCACAGTAGACGTTTCCCGCCACTCAAGCATGCAGGTCCAACAAAACGAATGCCACGCCCCCAATGAAAAGAAAGTGCAGTCTGCTAACCAGGATGACTCCGGTACCTCGTAACGCACCCAATAATGAAAAATAGAACGGAGCTCAAACAAGGAAATGATCGTTATCGAGGCAAATTCCAGGTCATCCAGGAGGTAATGGCCTCCCGAATTATGCAGCATAATTTCCGTATCCCGCATAAGTGATACGGAAAGCCGAAAACCTCCGGAAGGAAGGGACTAAAGAACCTAAGGAGGAGCTGAACCCCTATCTAATTCATACAGGGAAGGGGAAGGGGGGTAAGAAAACCCCTACCCCTGCAACAAGCCCCATGCCGAGGGTACCAACACCCAAGCGGGGTCACACAGGGCCCAAGCACCCAAAGTCAACTCCTCTCCAGCCCCAGAATCCTCCACGCCAGGACCCGGGTCAGAGCTGTCCTCCTCTGCCCCTGAAGAAAAAAATCAGTCAACCAGAAAAGCTGGGAAGAGGGGAGGGTCCGCTGGTCAGACCCAGAAGCCCCAGTTGGAGGAGCAGGCTCGAATGCCTCTGTCGCCGAACTGGAAGGGGCAGCCTCTGAGACCGCCTGAGTCTCGCCACCATCTAGACCCTGCCCCGACTCTGAAACCCTCAGACATTTGAGAGCCAGAAGCAGAGGGGAAGGAAGGGGGGGGGGGGGAAGGAGCAGGACAAACCACAGGAGGAGAAGGATGAGGGGGGAGGATGAAACCTAAGTCGAAGCAACTAACGCCCCTAAGTCTTATAGTCCTAACATACCTATAACCAAAGACAGGCA